ATCATTTGCACCTATTCATCCTCTACCTCCTCTCTTCATCTTTTATATTTTCTCTTGTATTGGTTCTGGCGGCAAGCATAATTTGCACTCAGTATTCCAATTTCTTTTTTTTCTTCTTCTATCCTATCATCAATAGGAGGGGTTTCTGGGGGCAAGCATACTTTGCACTCACAAGTCCCCTCCTCCATTCCAAACTTTCCATCCTTCTCCATTCTATCCAAGAAAATTTGACTCACTCAATCTTCTGGTTAGCCCCAGGAAACGAACCCGTCCTGGCAGGGCCTCCAAGCGTTGGGCCAGATTCCGCGAAAAGGCTGAATCCTCATTCATTCTTCCCGCCAACGATGGTGAATCAACTCCAACACCTGAAGTAGACGAAACAATCACCACCGCGGGCCCTTCCAACAAACCCTTCTATTACTTTATACCACCAAGTCGTCAACATGACCCAAACCCCTCCGAAATCCTCACTTCCCAAGAGACCCTCCTTTCGCACTATACTGGCCTCTCCCATGGAACCTGTGTCATCGCCCCACGAAACATGCCAGCCTTTTGCAAATTCAAAACAACTCCCTTCTCCTCCATGTCGTCTGAGGAGCTTCAAGGTTGGGAGAAACTGGTTTGCTTTTTTCTCCAACAAACCGAATATGTGGCGCCAGTGAAAAACAACGGACCTTCCATGGGCGGTATAATGTGGGCCTGTGGGTGGCGGAAGAGCTCAAAAAAAAAAGAAGGTTTTGGAAGATATTGTTCTGTCGAACGGCTGGCTGCTATGATCAGGAGGTCTCAATTTAACGCCAAGGACGAGGCTTCTGCGTTTGAAGAGGCTAACAAATGGATTGCTACACACCTCGAACAACTTGCTCCCCGTGCATTCAAAGAGTATCGTGAAGCTCTTATCGATGGCCAACTCCCTTCAATGGCTCACATGGAATATCCCTCCCCTTACACCATGTTTGACTTTGCCTCTTTCTTCACTTTCACGATGTACAACTTCTACAACGAACCCCACAAGGATACTGACGTCAACAACTGGACCCTAGTCTGCTGGATTCCAATCTTCAACCCTCGAAACTGTAAAGACAATGATCCGATTTTAGCTGATGAGGGCTTTGACATGATTGGGGGTCAGTTTACTTTTCGTGATTTTCAGGTCTATATTGACTTGAATGAAGTTGTAGGGGTCACCATGTGTGTCTTCAGATCCCAGGAAGAAGTTCATCAGACATTGGATGGTGCTTCACCATCTGACAAGTATACAAGGATTGGTTTCTCTTGCCAGATGTCTCAAAAAATGTCTAATGCTGTTGTTGAATACATTAACTCTCATACTACCATAGCTGGCCAGAAGGTACAAATAGCAGATGCTGAAAAACGTATTGAAAAGGAGAATAACAAAAAACGTAAACGAATATACTACCTTCTGTCTTCCTATGTTTTCTGTTGTTATCTTCAGACAATTTTCTCCCTCTCTAGGTAGATTTTTTTTTCACTTGTCCCTATGCTTCATTTTTTTCTGCAATTTCTCAGTGAATCTCAAATTGTCCATTCATACAAATTCTACAGTCAGTCCAAATTATGAACTCATTTACCTCCGCATATTCAACAATCCACATTCCACTTTGACTCAGCTGTCTGTTCACTGCACATGGTATGAAATCTGTTCTCCGACCAAAAATCTCTTGCTTGCTATGGTACCCAAAATAAAATTGCTTCCAGGTTCTATTATACTGGTGATCTCACTTCTGAATACTCAAAATCCCGGTGTAAATTTCACAAGTTCTCCTTAAAAATCCCTCATATTGATAGGTGTTTGTCCTCACAGATATACCCCATGGTGGTATCAATGTGAATCTTAATTAGTGCATACCAAATCTACCTTATCCTTACACATCTGGACAAAATGCAGCCTACTTCACCAGGAAATGTGCTTGAAACAAGATTCTTGGAATCACCTCAAACAGTGAGCTTTTGGTTCAATTTGGATTCTTCAACGGAAGGCCACCCTCATTACTCATTTTCAGTTGAATTTCTGCACAGTTTCCCAGTTGGTAGTATACACTTTGAAGAAACCTCAGCAAGCTAAATTTCAAAGATTCAGTGGTGATAAGTCTGTGAATGGGATATAAATTACACATCTTGATATGTTTGAAAAAAGGATTGCCTCATAATTGACATTACTGATGAACAGACCAACTTATCATTTGATAAGTTCTTTGATCCATTCAAGGGTATAAATCCTTCACTTAATGCACACAAAAATATAGCAAGTTAAATTTGTGATAAACTGTCTGGAGTGTTGGCCAAAACCCTATAAGTGTGTTATAATTTGACCAGTGAACTCCATCTTGAATCACACCTGCTAAGCTAAATTTATACAGATTGGTTCATGTTCATGATTGAAAAACCAAAACAAGAACAAGTATAATATAAATGGTTCCATTAATTCTTTGTGATATGTGTTTTTTTTGTTATCACGTCTTCAAATATATCCTTACCAGTGTCCAAAATTTAGTAACAACATGATTCATTAACAAAACCCATTTCCATTGAAAAAGCTCCCTTTTTGGGGCAAACTTCTATGATGCCTGGCAATGCAGTTGTAGTTCCAGAGAAGTTCTACTCACATATATATCCAAGTTGGAGGTGGTTTCAAGTTGACTCCAACTTATTTCCATCATTAATTCAGCTCACTTGAGCATGAATTGAACTTATGTTCATCACAAATTCAGCATCAACAGGGGCTAGGTTCTAGGAGACTTCTGACAGGGTTCCAGCAACACATCAAAGGAGGGCACTTGCATGCAAGTGCCAAGCAAACTCCCCTGGTGAGTCACATCAGCATAATTTTGAATGAGTGCCATGACAGTATTACTTCTGGCCACTTTTCCAAAGAAAGGACTCTGAATAGAGTCCAGGGTCTGGCTTGGTGGCCAGATTGGAAAAATCAAGTGTCAGATTACTGTGATTCTTGCAACAGGTGTCAAAAAGCCAATAAAGCTACAGGAAAAAGATTTGGCTTGTTACAAACGATTGATGAGCCAAAGTCAAGATGGGAAATCATCAATATGGACTTTGTTACAGCGCTTCCTGCAGCAGGACCAGAAAACTATAATGCTGTGTTAGTAGTCTGTGATAGATTTTCCAAAAGAGCGAGATTCTTGCCTTGCTATAAAGATAGTAGTGCAATGGATAAAGCACTTATATTTTGGAATAATATTGTCAGTGATGTTGGATGTCCGAGAATCATCATCAGTGACAGAGACCCAAAATTTACATCAGACTTTTGGCAAAATCTGTTTGAAATTTTAGGCACTAAGTTAGCTTTTTCTACAGCTTATCACCCTCAAACTGATGGGCTAGCAGAAAGAATGATCCAAACTCTTGAAGACATGATCAGGAGATATTGCGCGTACGGAATTGATTTCAAGACTAGTGATGGTTACACTCATGACTGGGTTTCTCTTTTACCAGCACTAGAATTTTCTTACAATTCCAGTAAACATTCTGTCACGGGCATGACTCCTTTTGAGCTTGAAAGAGGATGGATTCCACATATGCCGAAAGACTTTCTGCTTTCCAAGACAATTGAATTGCACCCCAGTTCAGAGTGCTTTCAAAAAATGATGTTCCAAGCAGAAGAAAAAGCTGCACTATGTGTAAAAGAAGCTGCTGAGTATAGCAAGGAAAGGTGGGATAAAACTCATAGAGACCATGATTTGAAAATTGGTGACTTAGTTCTTATCTCTGCAGTAAATTTCAATAACTTAGGGGGACCTCGAAAACTAAAAGATGCTTTCATAGGACCATTTGTTATTAAACAATTTCACGGTAGAAATGCTGTTGAGGTTATTTTAACAGAAGAATTTAGTCAGAGACATCCTACGTTTCCTATAAGTCTTTGCAAAAAATACATTGTTCAAGATAATAGTTTTGACCGGTCATCTAATGAAGTCATTGCTCCTCCCATGACAGATGAGACTGTACCAAAAACTGCAACAAAAATCTTAAAAGAAAAAGTTGTAAGGAAAAATGGCAAAGACTGCAAGTTATACTTAGTAAGATTTAAAGATTGTCAGCCTGATCAAGACTTGTGGCTAGAAACTGATAAAATAGACAACTGTCAAGTCTTGTTGAGAAGGTTTAGAGCTACCAAAAGATCGAAAAATTCCTGATGGAATTTTCCTTTTGGTGGGGGCGAATGTCAGACACTGAGACACTAGCCCAGGTGTCTACAATAGAATGTAACCCCCTTGGGTTACATAACAATTATTATTATGTGTAATCTTTAAGTTAATAATTATTAAGTAATGTTATCCCTTTTTACATGTATTTTTTATGTTAATAATTATTCTGTAAATTAATAAAGATTCACCTCTTTATTAATTTACCTCTTCCATGAAAATTATAATCAAGTTGAAAAGGATAATTATCTCCTGGGTGTATCCAAGAGATGATTATCCAATTTACCTCTCTTGTGTGTATGTTTATTATGTTTATCTCTCTTATGGTATTTTCTGAAATAAAGGATATTCATCACATGTACATTTAACATGCTCTGAATATCCTGACACTTTCCCCCAAGGAAAAGTGTACCAATAAGGGGACTGCACCGGTCCCAGCAGCAGATTGAACCCTGCTCTGTAATATTTAAGAGGATGGCTCTCCCCCTGAGATTCATCCCCCAGACAATATTACCATACCAACCCAACTACCTTACTAAAACATATACTTAGTGAGTGGGGTTTTTAGTAATATATTATCTACAAACTAGTTGTACCTTTCTCTTTACCTTATTACTAGTCTTTATAAGTTACTTTATTAACTTATAAGACTAGTACCAACTTTATTCATCTTACTCTCTTAAGCACCGGCACAGTGAAGCTCATTCCACTGTTGTCCCTTATTATTATAAGGAGCTAGCCCCTCCACTGTACTAGTGTTGAGGAGAGGCTTAATTCCACTGGCCCTCTTGGCTATAGTGTGACCCAAAAACCCTATCAACTCTAGGTCACATAAGAGACCAGAGCTGACAACGTTGGTGGGAGCAGCTGAGGGTGGAAGATTAGCGTCCAATGGCTGATGTGGAGGAGCCATCTTTCCTGCTGTTAAAGAGGCTAATTGTCTTGTGAGGTCTTGAATCTTTTTCTCGTAGGATTCTGGCTGTGGTGCTGGTGCTGGGGGTCTGGGAATGGGGTTTCTGATAGGCTTAGCTGGCTCTACGTTGGTCTGTTCCAGCCTTCCCAAAGATCTTCGTTCCATTACAGAGGTTGACAGAACTTCCCTCTGGATATATTGAACGATAATCTTGGTGACCGGCAGAATATTGCCTCCATCCTTAGAAACGCGCATCTTGTTATCACGAATAAGCTCCCGTGTGACAGCAGTTTCTAACGGTAGACTAAGAGCCTCCAACAACAATTCTCGAAAATCTTCTAAGTCAGAGTTGTACCCCATCCGAACCAAGTAGTGAGTGATCATTTCGAATTTTGTCCGAAATATCTTAAACTCCTCCAAAGTTCGAATGCCTCCTTTCTTGGCAGCGGTGTTGACTAAATCCTTCAAGTCTTGCTTCGTATATTTCACCAGGGGCAGAGACTTTCCGAACCGATCCAACAATTGTTTCTTCAGCTCCTCCCACTCAACCATCTCATATCCTTCCATCTCCTCAACCTCATCCTTCAAATCGCCTCCTCTTACGAACGAAATGATCTGTTTCGCCAAATCCGTAGCGCTAGCTCCATCCGCTTCTCCCGCACGCTCATACCGCTTAATAAATTTCTCTACCGGCATGTTCGTTCCATCGAAAAATAATTCCTTGTCTAAAGGCTTAATCTTGACTACCCTTCGACTATCAGTTGGTCCTGCGTATTTAGGAATTTCGGGTTCTTTTTCGAGGAAATGGGTGTTGGATTCTGCTACTGAGTGATGAGATCGGAGATGGTTATCTGGAGTAATAGGACTGGGTTGCGGCATGTCTAATCTGGTGTCCAAAGGATGGATGAGGGAACTTCCAGAAGAAGCTACGGATGGTTCTCGATGCTGGGTAAAGGCAGTGTTACCGACATTGATGAGAGGGGTGTATTCAGACATGTTCTTCTAATCTGTTATAAAGGTTCTTTATAATTTAAGGTGAGATTTGAGAAAGGTTCAGGTATTCTGAGTAAGACTAGCAAGGGGAGTAGTATGTTTTTTTTTTAAAGACTAAAGTTATCTGAGGAAATAGGCCACTGTTGGGACACCACTTGTGGAACTGCTCAGCAAGTGAGTAAAGAGCTTGGAGGGGATAAAATAGCTAATAAGACTATGAAATAGTAGAATTAGTATTGGTGTGTGGGTGAGACTGCCCTCCTGTCTAGCTTGCGGGAAAGTTACACTAAGAAAAATAAGAGTGTGGCTTATTTCTAAATTTATCTTAGTGTTGATACTACTGTTGTTGCTGCTTAAGAATACCTGTTGAGGAGGTAAGGAGTTTTATGGGGTTTTCTGAGTGTTAAGGGTTTCTGTAGGGTTTCTCTGTTAAGTCTGTTATAAATTTTCTCTGGTTCTCTGATCTTATAAGTCTCTCTGGTTTCTCTGGGCTCTGATAAAAGGTACGCTGATTTCTCTAAATCTTTCAAAGAGGTGAGAATGGCTAAGCAATATTTCTGAATTACTTGTCTATGGCCAAAATTGAGGTAAGGGAAGTTCAGGGGCTCTGATGTCTCTGGATCTCTTAATCAAGGGTGATGAAAGCTGAGTAATATCTCTGATTACTGTTCTGTAGCTAGCATGAGGAGGGAGAAAGGAAAACATGAGCCAGAAGAGCCTCTATTTATAGACAAATTGTTCTGCAGTACATGGGATTTTGGCCTGAACACAAGTTCGTCTGAGAAGGGTACTTCTAGAGTGGTTTTTACTCCTCTGAGATGGCCTAATCTGATATGAATTAGTCTCTAAGTGCCTTTCTAATACAAGAGGTTGTAAATCTACTATATGAGGCCTATTCTTAGATTATTTGCTATGAGAATGGTATTCTTAGACTAATTAGTATAAGAGTTATTTTCTAAAGCTAGTCTGTGAAGTACTTTCTGATCAATACCTTGATTTACCAATCTAAGATGGATGTAGTATCTCTTTATGTGTTTTTACAGTCTATTTGTATAATTATTATTCATAAGGATTTATGTATTTTAGGCCTGATTTGGGCTTTATCTTAGCTATGTTTTCACCCAGTAATTATTATACATTGTATTCTATATTTTACCCCTTCTTCTCTAACATCTTAAACACTATTTATGTGTAATAAAATGTTTTTAACTAGATCTATGGGTTTGATCAATCTTACCACACCGGTCAGGTTCCGATTTGATTGATTTTGATCAAGGATGGCTAAAGTCTGGAAGGCAACTACCTATCTTCCAGAGGCTCCTCCCATTTGCCAAGCAGAGGACCTGTTAAGTAAGTTTGTTTCATTTCAATACAACATGATGTGTTCACTTGGTCCAACCAACTAACAATTATTTGTCTGCCTCCTTTTTGATTTGTACTTTAAGCCATCACAGAATTCACCCCAATCACTCTCCAATTACCCTGAGCAACTCTGTCATCCTTACCTATCTTCCAGGGGCTACTCCCATTTTCCAAACAGAGCACCTGTCAAGTAAGTTTGTTTCATTTCAATACAACATGATGTGTTCACTTGGTCCAACCTACTAACATTTATTTGTCTGCCTCCTTCTTAATTTGTACTTTAATTCATCAGACTTTTTGTCCCAATCACTCTTGGACTCTGACCAAGTTGATAATCAAAGGAATTGTGAGTCAATTAATTAATCTCTTCATCACATCCTCAGCCATGCCTTAAAAGCCAAAGAGTAGATCAAACCACAAAAAGAGGAGGAATGTCCCTTGAAGGCAACGCTGATTATCATGCAAGTGTGATGGGGATTAGTAGGGGGTACCAGTGGTTGGATCAATTAGAGGCTAATGAATCAAGGCAGCTTCCCAACACATGAATCAGTGACTAGCTGACATTTTTTTGTCTGCATCCTTCTTGATTTGTACGCCATAGCTAGGTGCGGTTGATAAACAAAAGAATTGTGAGTTAATTAATTAATCCCTTCATCACATCCTCCGCCATGCCTTGAAAGCCAAAGAGTAGATCAAACCACAAAAAGAGGAGGAATGTCCCTTGAAGGCAACGCTGATTATCATGCAAGCATGATGGGGATTAGTAGGGGGTACTAGTGGTTGGATCAATTGGAGGCTAATGAATCAAGGCAGCTTAACCTATTAACATTGGAGATTATTTACTAATTGGCATCTATTTGATTGCCTTGTTTTGCATTTGGGTTTCAATGATTACAGGATTTGTAGATTATATAATGTAAGGGTTTTAGATATCACTTACCTGCTTGTCAAGACTCAACCAAATAATAATACCATTTCTTCATATTTATGAAGTCAGAATGACATTCCATCTGGATTACAATTCCAACTCCACCTTGTCGGATGTACCTAGTGAACCAGAAGATCAAATGCAGACAAAACGAGGAGGACCTGTGGGTAACAAATCAAAAGTGACAACGAACCTGGGGTATGTGAAATTTAATTTATATTGTCTAGAACCATTTAAACAACTTCTAAAAGCTTGCCCAATTTATTGTAGTGTTCAAGTGAATAAGAACGGACATTGAAATGCAAACTTCACAAAGAAACAACAAATTGTGTATCAAAATGCTAGACGTGAATTGATTACCAACCTACCACCAAACTGTGGCTCTGTTACATGGGAGGTCCGGGTTGTTGTTCAGCTGGATCTCTTTCCAGATATTACAGCTGAGGTTAGAAAACTCAAGTTGGAACAAAAGAAGGCACAAAAAGCTTTCAAAGATAAACGTGGCCCCAAACCTTCTAAGGATCCTATATATTGTTGTACTCCTACCCTAGAGGAGATTGAATTGGCCAGCTCCATTGTTTCAGATCCCAAAAAATTCCGTCTCTATGATCATGGCCTTGTCCATATGTTTGATAGGAAGATGACTAAAGAAAAGAAAAAGCCAATTATTGCTGAGATCAAGTTCACAGACCTCAAGACCATATCCGATCAGATGCAGGGTGACTTGAATTTCTTTCTTGGATTTCTCCACCAATCCAAGAAGTTTGTTAATACTGTGGGTCTGAATCACAATCTTGTGGGGGGTACATGTGGGCAATTGGATGGCGTAAATCTATGACTCACCTTGAAATAGTAGGCCACTATGTCAATTCTCAAGCTATTAAGGATCATCCCGATGAATTCATCCAACATGTGCGTGATGCCAATCAAGCTTCTCAGATCCTCTGGGACCTCTTCTTTCCAATGGGTAACAAGGCCCTTGAATCCAATTGCCAGTTTATGATCAAGCATAACCTACCATCCTTCTCAGACCAAGTCATCCCTGGTACCATCCCTGAGTAAAATTCTAGTCAAGCCGATCCCAATGAATTTGGGACCACACCAAGCCATCCTAACCCTGAAGATGATTGCACTACTATTACTACCAACCAATCCGTGACTCTGAGCAACGATGAAACGATGCGATACAATGCGATAAATCGCCCTGTATCGGTATTGCATCGTTTTAGCGATACACGCTTAAGCGATACCCGTGCATCGCATCGGTTAAGCGATGCCGTGCATCGGTATCGCATCGGCTTTGCGATGCAATGCCGATACGATGCATCGCTTAACCGATGCGATGCATGTATTTATCGGCCGTATCGGACGCATCGGGTCAAAATCAACGTTGGTGCATCGTCGGGCACAATCGATGGCGACTTTGGCGGATGGAGGGTGTCGTCAATCTCTCTGTGATGACGGGACAGAGGGTGTGAGGAGTCTTCATCTGTTCTGCGATGGGCTTCATTCGGAGGAGGGATGGAGAAGTTTTGGTCGGGCGCCGGCGAACGGTCGTACTGCTGCTCATCGAAGAAATCCGGGTTCGATGCGGATGAAGCGAGGTGTTGTCCGGGCTGAAGGAAGTGCTCGGCCTGCTGGAGTCGAGGGGGCAAGGAGGAGGGGTAGTCGAGGCTTGAAGGACTGGACTGGCTGGGCTTGAGTGGCAGAGGATGGCAGTGCGGTAAGGGGTCCAAGCCGTTGTTCCTGAGCACAGTCCCGAAGGGGAGGCTGATGGTATTGGTGGTAAGGAAAGTGGAGGAGTTGTTGTGGAAGGAAAATGAGAGTGAATGGTCGACTCCTCCGACGGCACGCTTGACTTGATCAAATTGGAATCCAAGCAAGCGCTCACGCTGTCGAGTTCGGAAGGCGAATCGCGATTCGCAGTCGAGTTTGGACTCCGGAGTGACTCGGAGTCGAGTCGGACTCGCAGGCATACATTACTACAACCCCTCCTGAGTCCCTCCTCATGTCAGGGGACTCCGGAGGGAGGTTCAGGCGATGCCTGCCGATAACATCGGCATCGCCTGCAAAATATCGGGCATCGCATCGGGAAATCGATGCGATGCCGATTCTCCGCATCGGTTTTTCCGATGCGGACGATGCGATGCGGGGCCCCGCATCGCTCACTCCGATGCAATGCGATAAACGCACGATACGATGTGATGCCGATGCACGCATCGCATGCGTTTCATCGTTGCTCTGAGCTCCAACAAGGTACCAGACACACCTGCCCCTACTAACAAAAACCCATCAAACGGTACAACTAAAGCTGTGGCCTCTACTGAAAGTGTTACTCATAATGAGGATGGAAGCGACAATACTCCTGAGCTTTCTCATAATAATTTTTTCTCAACAAACCTCACTTTCACATCAGATGGCTTTTATAATCATCCGCATAAAGATGGCTGATATGACAAAAGACTTCCTTTTGCCTTCCTATTATGTGTACCAACCTTCAAGGACAGATGGCTATGATGTCAAGGGGGGTCAGTTTTTATTCCTCCAATGTGCTTTTGGAATTGATTTCAAGCCGGATATGATGGTGCAGATGATCTTTGATCAAAGAAACTATACTCACGGCACCCTCAAGCCCAAAGAAAATGGCAAGTTTACTAAACTTGGCATGTCTTTACAATTAATTGCTAGGAGGACTACCAATATATTAGATAGAGTTCTCCTTGAATAATTTGTAAAAGATCCAAAAAGGTTTATAGCTGATATCCCTTACATACTTGAAAAAGCCCAAGCCTAAGAGCATCTCCACCGCGGGCCCTATTTGCGAGGCCCTATATGCCTCCAATAGGGACCCGAAAAAATGAATAGCGACCAAGCCGTGTTTTTTTTTCCACCGCTAGCGGGTGTATTGGCCTTAAAGGTCGGTGAAAGCCGATCGGTCGGAGCTGTGGTGTGCTTCAGGATGTGTGAAACCTTCCGATGTCGGAAGGTTCACACGGGATGGGACCGATCATCTGGGCCCTATCGAGTCTGTATATATACAGCTCGATAGGGACTTTCGACCCTGGTCCCTATTATAGGGCCCCACATAGGGGCCGCGGTGGCTGTGGTTTTGGGACTCGCGGGCCCTATATGTGGGATAGGGCCCCTACATAGGGCCCGCGGTGGAGATGCTCTAAACTGTTCTTGATTGTCTCTTCCAAATATAAATTTTCTTTTTATCTTACTTTTTTTTGCCTTTACTTACTCTCTTTGTTTTCTTTTAATTATGGCTACTATCCTTCTTTGATTATGACAATTTGAGCCTACATTTAAATGGTGCACCTAGCACTACTCTGGGCATTGCACTTTATACCATTTTCTGTCTGGAAGGCACAATTTTATAAGCATTGGGCCTTTGGATACCATCATGGGAAATTTGAAACTGTTGAGTTTCCATATCACATTTTATTCATTCCCACAAGAAATTCAAACCAATCATAGCCAACAGCCAAAAGACTCCACCCGATGACCTTAGCCTTGCAATAAGCATTGGAAACAATTTCTATTAATCACCAGCAAGATCAGCATTCCCACAAAAACTTCAAGCCAATTATAACCAAAGGCCAGAAGACTCTGCCCTAGGACCTTAGCCTCCCAATAATTGTTTGAACCAATTTCTATTCATCACCAGAAAGATCAGCATTCCCACAAGAACTTCAAGCTGAAATGATAAACAGACAAGTGCATGATTGCATAGCCAAGATTTTGTGATAAGATAGGCTGGTACCAATATACCAATCCCATGGTTAAGGCATCAACAACATAATTGACCTGAATCAGATCTGCAATTGATTTGATTTTCAAAAATCACACTGATCAGCCCCCTCACTTTAGACTTACCACAATTATGAACCCTCACCAGGCTGCCCTTATTGACCTTGCTTTTATTCAGTGGTGAGTTAGTAAGGTTTACAACTGATGGGGCTGTTTCTAAAGAGCTTGTCTTTTAATGAGAAGGCCCACCAGGGAGCCTCATTAATACCCTCTCTGCTGCTGTATTCCAACTTAAATTATTGATGGTCCACCCCTACTACTCACTATTGATGACTTCTTGAACCTTTCATATTTGACTATCAATTCCTTGTATAAATTGATTAGGTGTGGCCTAGAAAATATAATTATATTCTGAATATTCTTTGCAATGCCAAGAAAAAGTGGCCATCTACACTGGTTGAAGTTCTTCTAGCCAGATCAGTCATCTAAGACATTTTTGAAAAACATTTCTATCTTTCTAATTTTTGTTCTGCTTGAAATTGAATCATCTAATCAAGAAATCCTGCAATCAATTCCCCAATTCAAAACCACTGTGAGCACTTGTTTGATTTTTAAAGGACCCTATATATCAATATTATATGGTTTGACAATCATGTAATCATATATAATTATATTGTCTTTAATTGAACCCCAATTTGGAGTTGGAGTGATGTCAAATCCATGGGAGAATCTCTTCATTTTCCCCCATATAGTATAGCAAGGGTGAAAATTTTGATTGGCCAAGATCAAGTGTGGTTCACCCAAGCTAATTAGTATCTTTGGTAGTTTTGATGCTTGGGATCCAGCAAAAAGCTTGATGAGAGGAGAAAATTTTGTTGATTATATTGAACCACTTTGCATTGCAATTTTCTTGTGGCAAAGCCTTCAAAAACAGGGATCCAATTCACACATTTTCAATGCTTTTCATTTTAATTTCTTACCCATTTCACAGGCTATATCAATTCTGATAATATGGTCCCACAGGTTGTATTCCTATCTTTTTTGATTTTTTAACATTTCCAAAAAATCACTCCAATATCCACACCTTCTATGAGGTATGAGATGGAAAACTCAACACAACTGACCAACCAGACAGTCATAACAAAATACATCTCTTTACTGGTTCAACACATTATTTGAACTACAATTACTAGTTGAAAGGATTGTACTGTGTATCAAGCACAATGAAGACATTCTGAAGGAAGTTTAGAGCAACTTTACCTTTCAGGCTACAAGCACTGAAAGAGTCTATACTTGGGTAAGAGGCCTGCAGTGTTAGGTTTGAGTGCATGTGACATGAACTGTCAGGATATGAGCTCATACTTGACTCATGTGTTGGACAGTGAACTTTTGTCAATGGTTTGGAGCCAAGAGATTAATTCCAAGACAGCAGTCATAGGATTTTCACTGAGTTTCAGTACATGAGAGTCGGATTACTTTGAATGTGGGTTAGGCTCGAAGAGAGATTCATTTAATGATTTTTTGATTCTAGGATAGGATGAAAACGGTCAAATCTGATCAGAAGATACAAGAGCTGAGAAACCAGTGCTTAGAAGCCTGAAGCAATCAAATAATCGGCCAGTGCTTCGGTGCACTTCGTAGCTTCACCTGGTGATCCAAGCAAAAGTTTGTTTGTTGAGTCAGAAGGGTGATCCTCTCTTTTTCTAGGATAATGAAGGTGTGGGAAGTCAAAATACCTGGTTGAACACCAGCCTTGTATAGTGCTACGATAACGGCTTGCTTGGTTTTGACACACACACATCCAGCCCCCTATGAGAATCAGAGAGATCAAGGAGAAAAAAAGACGGTAAAAATGTCAATTAGGCCTCTTAAACGATGGAGACTGCGGGTCACTGACTCCTTTCTTTCCGTAAACACTTCGATCATCTGCATGGATGGTCAAATATTTGGTTCCGGCCAAGATGACTCCAGATGCTTGGATCGTTGGGTTATCCTCGAATCCGTTGACGAGTTTACTCTGCTCGTCGGGCGCAATCTGATTGGATCGCAAATTGGTTTAGCATGATTAACTTTTTATTGTTTTTTTGCCTGCCCGACTACAAAGGAATAGCACCCGGGAGGCTCACATTGAAATCTGAGGATGTAGCCCATACGCCTCCGGCTTGTCCTAGGATCGCTGCATTGTCAAATAGACCAGTTCCCAACAAGTTGGTGTCAACGTACGCTAGAAATCAAGACCCGGTCCCAACGTTACAGGTCAGTCTGAGGAGCACGACGATCAAAGACTGCTGGACTCGCAGAGTTAGACAGAGTGGACGGACCTTGCCAAGACATGATCGATGGAAGATTGGTGGGTGAGTTTCGGGAGTCCAAGAGATTTCAGGAGAGTTCTCGGGTGATGCTGGCTGAGAATAGTTTTTTGAGATTCTTCGTGGTTGGTTCGAATGCTTGAGGCTGAGATTGGGATGGAAATCGATCGAGGGATATGTACCGGGCGCAATCGCAAGTCGGTCCTATCGTATGTTGTATGTAAATGCATATCAGGTGTGTCGATGTCCTATAGGCTGCCATTTACAGGCCACCGGATAATGGCACTGTAAACTTACAGGACAACCTGTCATGACAACCAACCTTGACTCCATTCTCGATTGACCACCAAACCATCATCGATCTCCACACCTACCATGTCTTCATCAGCCGGCCAACCAAGGTAAGCAAGCTCCTTACATAGCCAGAGCGTCACCCATCAGCTAATAACTAGCCAACGACCATGGTTTGTTTCCAGGCATCCGATCGACTTGGACGCACTCGCTGGTTACCTCCAGAAGCACATGTCCCAGGTAAAATTACCCATCAAAATCAATCAGTTTGAGTATGGCCAAAGGTCCGTTATCACACTATCTGCTTGTCTAATCAGGTTTCCCTTTCTGGTCATCAAGTCTTTGATGCCAAAAACCCCCCGCACAAGTCGCTTATGCAGGCGCTCTAACAGCGCTCATGCAGTTATCTCATCCAAGGGGTGGTTGTTATCTACACTTTTAGTCCTTGGAAGAATCCGATTTGGCAATGACGCACCTGTCCATGGATTCGAGATTCTTGTTCGATGTTTGCCATTCATACAAGCTGTTCAAAGATTCTACCATCTTGAGACCTACCCAACAATTGTGATCAAAAGTGAAGTCTGCAAACTCACTCGATCATTGCTCTTTTCTCATATGGCACACGCAGTAATCCGACCTACTACATCACCGATCAAACTGGGGCTAGATATGTATTACGAAAGAAGCCTCCAGGTCAATTGATGTCAAGCACCGCACACGCCATCGAGCGCGAATTCAAGATCCTCTCTTCCCTTCCCCCGGATTTTCCATCGCCCAAGGTTCACGCTTTATGTCTGGATACGTCGATCATCGGAACATCCTTCTACCTCATGGAGTTCATCAAAGGACGAATATTCCAAGAGGTTGATCTTCCGCAGATCAAAAACCAGGACGAACGCGTGGCCATTTACAAGAGTGCGATTTCCGTCTTGGCACGATTACATTCATTCAAACCGGCTGAGCTTGGCCTCGATTCATACGGCTCTCAGAGCGACTTTTATGAGCGTCAAATAAAGTCATTGGGGAAAATCAGCGGGATTCAAGCTGCTACTCAAGATGAAAAGTCTGGCGAAGCGGTCGGGGATATCATCAAGAAGGACGATTTGTTGGATTGGTATAAAGCTCGTAAACCCCCACACCAAATCACGATCGTCCATGGGGACTACAAGTTAGACAACTTGGTCGGTCCATCTTACTTAAAACCAGGAAAGCGTTGTCTTTATCAGAAGTCTAGTTTATTGAATATTTCTATTGAATTTCAGGTCTTTCATCAGACGGAGCCTCGTGTCATCTCCGTATTGGATTGGGAGTTGTCTACCTTAGTAAGTCAATTTTGGGATCAAGTCCTTCCTAATCGGAAAGAAGTTAAAGAAAAACGTAAATTCTGTATCTAGGGTCATCCGTATTCCGACTTGGCCAACTTGCTTCAGCCATGGTACGCACCTTCGAGTCTCTCGGTGGGATACCAGCCTTCTCTCCTCCTAGGATTCAGGTACTTGACGTCTTTCAAATTGATTGTTGAATAAGGGCTAATCTGACTTTTGCCTAATAACAGGGATTTGCCATTCGATCAGATGCCTATCCAGATTACAGCTGATGATCTCTTAAAGAAATATTGCGAGCTCAGTGGCAAAGATTATCCACTCGTCAATTGGGAGTGCGCCGTATCTTTTGCCTTTTTCCGGGTAAGCATCCCCTGATCAAATTCGGTCATGTCGACAATTGAGCTGATTCGAATGAAGATCTTCATCAGCTCGCAGTGATTGCCCAAGGAATCGCTGCGCGCATCGCGAAGGGGCAGGCTAGTTCTGCTCGAGCAAGCGAGTATGGAAGCAAGTTTCAGATAATTGGTAAATACGCCATAGACACCATCGAGATTTATGAGCAAAAGAAAAGCAAAGTGATGTCGTGAAAAAAAGAAGCAGAATATGTATTTATTTATCAGTACTATCAATTGTATAGAATATTGCAAGGCATGGTGCTTGTATCAAGAAGATTTTAGTATGCATGCGCGATTTTGTTATCACGTTTATGGGGAGCAAGGTGTCAATTTTTTGGAGATCATCCTTTGATGTATCTTTTCTGTTAGTCGGCGTCAGTCGATGACGATGAGATATCGACTGCCAATAGCATGGAGGAGGCCGCAGAATTGAAAAGAACTGATGAAGAAGCTTGAGATTTTGAGTCAGCCTTGCCTTCCAGGCGAGCCAAAACAAAACACTCGGAAGACGGCTTCAACAGACAGCATCAGGATTGAATTACCGAGCCCTGTCACCGTAGTGCACGCGGAGAGCAATCTTGTCTGGGCTCGGAGGTTACAGCACATCTCCCTTTCAGCATTAAAAATGCTGGCGGGGCAGCATAAGCAAAAAATGAACGAGCAGCACATAGACTCGGCAAGGAATGGGTACATTATGAATAGCCCAGATTTCAGAATCTCACTCATCCTTTGCTGGGTCTCATCAACTATGAGTGTCTTCCTCTCTTTACCCTCTCCACCTATCCTCAGACTCAAGGCAAAGTAAGCTCTCCGGTCTCTCTTATCCCGACTGTCTGACCCATCGACTCACTGACATCTTCCCATGACTGATACTCTTTCCGAACCAACCAGTCATTACATATGGTCTTGCAAGCCCGTCTGGGCACAATCTCAAGTCCCGCGTGGCCGAGTGCCACCAGGGGTTTAGATTGTGCCCAGAGGGCTTGATCGGACAGGATGGGCGGGGGGCAGGACTTGGCACATAGCCAAGTCCCGCTAGGCCGATTTCAAGCCCTGGGCCGATTGGTAGCCTGTGCACCAGCCCGGCACTGGACCCCGACTCAGCAGATGGTCTTCTCGGGGGCCGGCATGCTGGCGGGCGTGGCACCCTCGCTTGATTTCGGCCAAGCGAGGCTTTGTCCCGACCCCCGCCAACTTTAGCATGTGCCAAGCGGGGGTTGGGATGGTGCCACACACGCTTTGGGATCGGCCAAGCGGGCTTTGGGATTAGCCCAGCGCGCTTGGCCTTTTTTTGACCAAACTTTGGTGTGTGCCCAGACGGGCTTGCAACACCATAACTCCCAAGATGGAGAGTTCTACTAGGTCTGACGCATCCAGAATCTATCGTGAATATTGTTTTTTCAGTTGAATTCATCTCGAAGCTTGGGCTCTGCTAGTCTTACTAACTGATCTTGTTTTGGCACTTCTCAGATGAATGGATTACACTTATGGTATTCAAATTTTCTTTTCAAACAACTTTCTACCTAAGATCATCAGATCATCAACCAAACATCTCCAAAATACTATTTTTATGAAATGAGAGCCCCCTGAAATACACCACCTCTCCCACCTGTGGCTGCATATAATGGGCTCCCAAATGCCACAAAAGATCTTGAATCAATCCTGCAAGAAATTGAAAGTGCTGCCTTCCATTCAATAGGTTAGTGGACCTTGATTGAGCTAGGAATTCACACATAATTCCCAAAACAAATTACACATACCAAACACCCTCCCCTAATTTGCTGTGGTAACTCTAAGCCTGCCTGTTTTTTTAGGGTGCAATAGTCCTTGTAACAAGATGACGATTTTCAGGGGATATTTGCCTTCATCTGTAACATTCATCAGACAATCCGGGCTTAAGTGAATTTGCAGCAAGGTTCAAGTTTGGTAACTGGAGCTTGACTGCACCCAAGAACAACACCCTATAAATTTTCCTTGACTAAGACGCAACTTCACTCCTGCAATGGCGTGGTTTTATTGCTGTCTGACTCAACCTCCCATTGTGATTCTACCACTGTTATAAAGTTTCCCATTGAGAATTTTGAGATTATCAGATAAACTTCTTACTAAAAAGAAGAAATAAAGGTCTTACTTACTCAACAAAAACAAGTGCTTTGTGTTCTGTGTTATATGTATGTACATGTTCCAAATCTCAATAGGACCAATAGTCACAAATAGTGGATTCATGCCTTCCATTATTCATTTTACCTGTGATGGTCCGAGTGATGAGTGTCAAAGGGTCTTTTCTACTTTAGCAACAAGTAAATGTCTCTAGCATGGCTGACCTAGGTCGGTAAGCTCAAGGTGTTTGAGATCCCGACCCCAGAAAGCCAAATCCGAGGTCGTGGATGTGCCGATGGCGTGAGGAGGTGAACGTTGCTTTGGGGAGGAAAGCGGCTTTGGAGAAAGGCTCCTGCCGATCGATGGCGGGATGCTGACTTGAGCTGTGTGGTGGAGCTCCCTCATTGAGGATGAAGGACGCAACAGCGGCTTAATAGGCCACTCACAGCAGCTGGGAATAGGGAGTTGTCCAGTGAAGTTGTAATCCGATATCATTATGGGATGGTTTTTTCACAAGTGGGCTGCTTGATTTGTTCTCTATCTGGGTGGGGTTCGGTTAATGAGGCCGAGGGCAAGCTGATTTGAACCAGCTGCTTGCTCCACATGCAAAATATCTGATCCATGTCGACGATCGGCGAACTTCGGATAGTAAAACCCAGCTACAATGTCTGTATGTTTCTTTCTTTTTTTGAGAAACAAGATCAAAACTTGAATGTTTTTCTACCTGAGTTGGCAATGAGAGTTTGGAAAGAGTCCAATATAGGCTTGGCTCATAAAATGGATGCCAACGCTGACATATAAGCTCACCGCGCTGATCAGGATCGGAAGAGGCATCCCTGATCGGATGCCCCCTTGGAAGCAAAGCCAGTCTGAGTAGCCCAGAGTCGACCGCACGTTCTATGATGAAAAAAAAAAAGACTCCAGCGTGAATTCGAAACCGACCACCACGAGCTCTGGTCAGACATGCAGTAACAGTGGTGTGCTCATTTTTGATCTGGAGGGGCAGAATTCGGTTTTCCGCTTACATTTCACAACAAAAGAGGGAATGGCTCTGCAGCAGACCGATACATAATAGGACAAGCACTACATATGGTGCCAATCCCTCATGAGGCTGCTGCTGCAGCCGGCGCAATCTTGTTTAAGGAAGCCGAGAACAACAAACTGTTTTTGTTTTTGTTTTTGATGTGAATGTCAAAAAAGACATTCGATCGAATTTACTTTTTCATAATATTTGTTTAAGAGCAGGAACAAAAAGAACATTCTCATAAATAATTATTAATTATAACAATCCTCAAGAACGAGCTGATCACGCCCCCTGAAGCATTCTGTCTTCAGGTTTTTGTTTTTTGTTTTTTGTTTTTTCATTTCCAACAGTCGACTGATTCCCTAGCCTGGCCATGATCAGCACCGCCATCGACGGAGAAGCAGCTGGCCGTACTTTTTAATGATCTGCGACTTTTTGAAGGACAGTAGAGCCGAGTACTGGCCGACTAATCGAATTCGAAGAGAAAAGCTCACAGTTCATGACTATTGATGTACTATGACTTGACCATCGAACAAAAAACCTCGTATTCAAACCAATCTTGCCGAAATCTTCAACAACAATCGGATCAATCTAAACAAAACCAAAGCCTGAATCAGTCGTCTCATGACTGGATCCAGAAAGAAGGACGACAAGTTGCTTTTGTTCTTTCCTCATCTTGGCGTGCTCTTCAATCATCCTCAACTTCCTCCCTATCCAGCACTCACACACACACACACACATCCAACCTACCATCATCATCATATCCTCTCAACAAGTATCCGTTGTCGTTCGTTTGATAGCCTGAAGATATATCATATTCAAGCCCTCACCCAATCCACTGAGTTGCTCCTACCCTCTCACCCCACCCCACCCCCCCTCTTTTCTTTTGTTAGCCGCTCTTGGCCGCGGCCTCTACCTTCGCTCTTCCTCTCAAGAAAACCCACACACGCACAGAAGTTTATTATCCAAGTACCAAAAAAATAAACACACCGTCTGCAGTCCCGCCGGCCCTGAGACATAATAATAAGACATCAGTATAGCATCCATCATGTCTCATCCCTCGCCTCAACATTTATCAGCTAACTCAAGATTGAATCCTAGACAGGGTGAGTTGTACTTGCGTTCGATTGGAGTCGATCCAATCGAAGATTCCAATCCAAACTTGCATTTGTTTCTTTCGTTCTCCGATTTCTATTACCTTCATCAACACTCCATCCAAGAGGAGGATTCCTCCAGTTGTATCAATATAACACATTTGGATGGAGCCAGTGGCATGAGCTGCTACTGCCGCATCTTTAAAAAACCTCCTTACTCTGCACAATGGAAATATCCTCTGGCTCTTCCTTCTATCCGGCATTCTTCAATCCAATGATAATCTCCTTCCTTAGGCTTGATTGGGAATGGGCTCATTCCAGATTGAATAAAACTCCCATTAAGATCCCCGATCCCTGATCTTTCATCCCGGCCTTTGATAATTAATTCCTCTCTTTTTGAATTATTGATAACTAATATCCAATTCTTCAATCTGCTTCCCTTCACTTCAATCTCTGTCTTGTGTGCGGATTGGCGGATCTTGAACGTAAGCGAGATCTGCTTTAACTTTAACTTTCCCTTTTCTTTCTTATAATTTCCTTTCCATCTCATTCAATGTGTGCTTCCAGCCTGAAAGCTCTCTACTTCATATATTCTTTTCAGCTTGAACAGGTTGCAAGTCTTCTTCATATGATGAGATCATCTCAGATGCTCTAAATCCTTCTTGTTGATTGATCAGCTTTTGATTCTGATGCTTGTGGTTCTCTTTACTGCTTCCAGTCAACAATTCAACTCAATCCTCCCCATCGCCCTCTTCACCAACTCCAACAACTTCCAACCCACCCTCGACCTCATTCACTCAATCTCAATCTCCTCAAACAACTGATACCAATCCCTCTTCTTCTTCAACTTCCTCACCATCGACCCCATCCCCATCCCCCACATCATCTTCAACAGACCCATCCCCCACCAGCAGTGATCCAGCTCCGACTGCCACCTCCTCCAGTCCTAGTCCTACTCCCACCTCATCTCCTGCCCCCAGCAGTTCTCAAACCGACCCTCAACCAACCCCAACCTCAACCTCAACGAATGCCCAGCCAACAGCTTCCTCGTCCTCAAGGTCCGACCAGCCAACCACTACGGCCACCTCCTCCCCCGCCCCATCCTCCACTCCAACCCAGATCTCGACCAGTGATCCTCCCGCTCAGTCCAGCTCCAATTCTCAGAGCTCAGCCGCCAATACTTCCTCTCCGTCTCCTGCTTCCCCCTCGCCTTCACCCCAACCAGGCTCAAACACTTTCTCTAGCCAGCCGCCTGCTGCTTCTTCCTCTCAAGCCTCATCCCAGATCGTCGTCGTCACTAGCAATGTTTACCGGACTAGCGCCGATCCTAGTGGTGGCATACACACTTTGACTTCCTACGTCGAGGTCACAGTGGATAGGCCGGCATCGACAGTGGTGGCTCCAGGCGCGACCTCGATTGCCCAACTCCACGACGGGGAGACCCACCAGCCGGGGTTTTTTGACAACCGTGGGGCAGTGATCGGCACGTTCTTGACGGTAGGCCTGATTGTCCTCGGCGGCTCGGCGGCCATCATCTGGCGACTGGCGCGACTCAGACGCGCCCGGCAGAGGGCCAGGGCAGATCAGGATGCCGAGGTGAACTTTGACAAGTTTGTCGGGACCGATGACGATGGACGGGTGGCCATGTTACCGCTCGAATCTGAACACGAAGACTTTCAGAATATCGCCCTCAGTCGTGAACCGCAACTCCCGCAGATCGACGATGCTCAGCTCGGGCCGCAGTTCTCCAACCAACCAGGTGGTGATCCAATGCTTGGTTATCTCGATAACCCCGTCCCCGTCCACTCCAACATGCAAGAGGTCTATCCAATCCGATTCAGCAATCGGACTGGCCGCTCGTCTGACTTGGATACGATGAACCCCGAGGAGTGGGGCCGATACATTAACACCCATTTTGCTACGTGAGTAAATACATTAGATATTGTATGATCTTGACCCTTTTTCCTGTTGACTTAAATACCCTTTGTATAGAACTAGTGGAGGGGCCAGAGCCTATGGCGATGCAAGCAAGCCGGAGCTTGTGAGGGTGGACGAAGAGGGCGCAGGGACGGCCGCAGGCCCCCCGATTATCATCTCGAGTGAAGAGCATGGCTCACAAGGCCTGTTGTCGTTCCATCCTTCACCCGATCCACAGCCAGAGATCCAGACGGTTGAGGAAGAAACCTTCAAAATGGTTAGCCCGCCCCAGTTTACTCTGGACGATCAGATCCCGACGACCGACGAACGTCTGGAGCCTACCGTCCTGCCTGGATACCATCTGCAACGGCCAGAATCCGGTCAACAGGATGAATTGGCAAGCTTAAGAGACGACGAAGACTATAGGTAAGTTCCCCTTATTCTAGGTTCTTCGATGGTAGACAAGTTCGGCGCTGATACCGCCTTGTCTCATGCTTGTTTCATCAAAAAAGTCGACGAATCTTGAGAGTCAGTAATCCTGATCTCGAAGAAAAGCAGGATCAGCCCAGCAAGCCACATGAGTAGTCCCAAACATCAGCGTCTGAGTCACCGGTTCCGACCTAAAAAGAACACAAAACATATCTCCTTTCATTGCCAAGATATCGTTCATTTTTTTCTCAAAGGAAATTTGATTAGGTTATCTTGTACTATTTAAGATTCACCAATCCCCCTTTATTTTAGTATATTAACAGGAGAGTGGAGAGCTGAAGAAATTTCTTAACCATTCCTATTCTTCCTCTCCCCATCATTGTTCTAGTTGCAGTAGATCAGGAAGTACAAAAACCTTACCATGTAAATAGACCCCCCAAAACAAAGGACAATCTTCTTTGACAAATAATTAGTGTAGTAAGACTTGGGACCAAGCAATCAGGTGTAACACTCTTTCTCAAATTCATTCATTACATCAGTATACATAACTCTCACTTGTTTATAATCACATTCAGTTTCAAATAGTACAATAGTCATCCTAATAATCTTATCATATCCGTGAACCTCAATCATTTATTATTAAATTGTAGCCACTCACTTGCTTAATTAAAAGCAACTCTTTATTTTTCTCATCCCATCTTTTGTCTATTCCACTCTTTGATCCCTTTCCAAAGTGTTTTTTTTTCTAGTTTTAAATTATCAATCATTTGTATCCTCCAGCCAACATAATATACCATTCATTTTTTCCTTTTCCACATCCATAAAGCAAACACCTAAGCATATATATTTAGCTCAAGTCAGAGGGGAGGATTTTGATTGACAGTTTTGAATTCTTGAGTGTCAATCTTACTTTTGTAGATGATTGGGATCTATGTGTCCACACCAAACCGATGTGAGTGGCCACTCATGTATGTTAGGTATTGGTAGCTCTGATTGCCAACCATTCTGGCATTTATTTGATCTCACATCCTGAAATCAGCCCTACCAACAATAACTGATGAAAAACAGGAATAATTACTGACAATAGAACCAGAACTTAACAAATCAAAGAGACACATTGTTATAAGAAGATTGTTCAATAGAAAACAAAAATAATAAATAACAATTAGAGAATTTTTAGAGAAGAAGAGAGATTTACCCCACGTGGAATTTTTCTTTTGAATTAGACAGAACAGAAAAGCTAAGATAAATGAGATCAAACAAAGAAATACAGTATAAACTATTGTGATGAGAGAAAATAAAAAAGGTGAACAAATGAATCAATCCTTTTTGAATAAGGTTGAACTTGATTGTAGTTTTTCTCACCAAATTGGCAAAATCCAGATGAGTATTTTGAGAGAGAGAGTTGGAAGAAGGAGGATGAGTGGATCTTGAGTTGAAGTTGAGAGGATGAGTAGCCGTTGTTAATGGGGAGTGAACAAGAAGTGATACGAGAGAAAGGAGATAGAGAAAAAGGGAAGAGAAGAAGCAAAGTCAAAGAGAGATGAGGAGCGGAATTTTTGAGCGAGTTTTGAGGATTGTTTAGTGACAGGCCAAGCAGTAGAGGGTAGAGTTGATAGGTTGAGAGGGTGATTGTAGTTATGCAATGTTGGATACTGCAGAGGAAAGGAAGGGAAAAGGTCGAGGGACAAATTGAGCCTTTGATGAAAAACAGGAATGATTACTGAGAATAGAACCAGAACTGAAACATGAGAAATAACAAGAGTTAGACAATTTCAAAGACAAGAATCAAAAATTAAAAATAACAAGAAAGAAAAAGAAAATCACCACAAGTTGAGCTGTCTTCTGACTTAGACAGAAGAGAAAGACTGAAATATACGAGATCAAACAGAGACAAATAGTAGACACTGTTTTTGAAAGAGAGATAGAAAATTAAGAAAGAAAAGGTTAATGTTTTGTTCGAGGGTGAGTATGAGAACTTTGATGATGTTTTTTCTCACCAAATTGGCAGTAGCCAAATGAGTATTTCAAGAGAGAGAGTCGGCGGAATAAGGATGAGAGGAGGCTGAGTTGAGTTTGATATGAATTGAAATCGTCGCCGATGGGAGTGAGCAAGTAGGGAGATGAGGGAGAGAATGTAGAGAAAGAGGGAAGAGAAGAAGCGTAGTCGAATGGAAATGAAGAGAGGAATTGTTGAGGTATATGATGGTTGAGAGAGAGGGAGAGGATAGACCAAGCAGTGGATTTGTTTTGGAGATTTCAGAGGATAGGATCGATGATGGAGTGTCGGAGACTGCTGGGGGAGGAAGCCGAGAAAGAGACAGGAGAGCCCATCTTAAGTACTGTTTTGAGAGGGCGTTCGACTTGTGGTTTTGTCTGAGTTGATTAGGTCTGTTGCGGTTATGTTGAAATGAACAGGAGGCGATGACGAGTTTGGAGACGGAGTTGTTCGGGAGGCGATGACGAGTGAGGAAGGAGGCGAGGCGTTTGACGAGTATGAAGTCGAGGCGTTGTTTGAAGAAGAAGTCGGAAGATTGAAGAGAGAAGCGGTACGAGTGAAGAGAGTGGAGAGAGAGAATTACAGAGCGGAGAGCGCAAAGAGCGCAGAGAGCGCAGAGAGCGCAGAAATTCCAACAGCCTTCATTTATATTTGATTGATTGTGGTTGCGATTGGATAGGTTTGATTAGGTTAGGGTGATTTTGAGAAGGTCAGTTGTGAGTTGGTCGTGATGAATTGAGAGACAAGGTGTTGTCGGAAGTGTAGTGTATTGGAAGAGAAGGGAAGAAATTTGAGGAGGAAAGGGGAAGGAGGAGAGAGAAAGAGAGAGAGAGTGGTAGAGAGAGGTAGAGAGCAGAAGGGAGCGGAAGGGAGCGGAAGGGAGCAAGGGAGAGAGCAAGGGAGAGAGCAGTGAAATTCCAACAATAACCCACAATTCAGTAAAAGTTGAATGATCCATCTGCAGATAAATTCTGGAACCAGAACCTGAAGCTGTCATCCTCTGCATACAAAACACCCCACATCAAGTGGTTTTGTCTAGCCCCAAACCCTGGAGTGATGAATGAGACTTGTTAATGATGTAGGTGGTTTTTTTTTTGACCTGTCAAGAAAGAGAGAGGATTGATTGTCTGAGAGGCCTGCTCAGGAACACATCCACAGCAGTAAATTAGTCATTGACTGTCAATCCAGTCAAGCACATTAACTTGTTTTCAGGGGATGGACATTCAACGCTGATACTTGATACCATGCCCCTTGGTGGAAAAACTTGGCTATAGTTCAATTGGGAGTATGAATTTTCAAGTTCACCCTTCTGGAATTTCAGAAATTATTGTGGCCTCAGTTTGATACGGGATGAATTTGATGATATGCCTATACCCAGTATAAATTATGCTTGTACTATCATGAGTTTTTGGCTTTGTATGTAGTCCATCTGGTCTCCAATCCTGGAGCCCTCTCCTCACTGAATACAAACCACATTTTTCTTAGTGTCAGCTCCCAGTGTCACAAGACACATTCTTTGAACTTCAGTCCTTGCAACCCTGTTCCCCTCAACAGAGGTTTAAAACTGCTTTTGTTTTAATAAGATGGCTTAATGTGGGTTTGGCTGTAATATTACCAGAGGGAATGGAAATCACAACAGGAATGGATGGACTATAATATGTGGAGGAGGGTGAAACAAGAGGGGTGATATAGAGAAGCAGAGAAGCTCTTATATTACCTGATTACATTCATCAATCAGCACATTCTACTGCCCTGGGAAACTCCACACACCTCAATTTGTGCCATGCATGGCCAGCATATCTGTACACCTTTTTGGGCCCTGCATAAATCTTGCCCCTCACACAAAACACAAAAAAGTGAAATCAACAGGTAAATAGACCCAATCATGTTGACTGGATTTTTTTCTCTATGCTCAACTGTCATGTCAAAGCCACATAAAATGAAAATCAGACAAAATAATAAACAACAATTCAAATTTGATAACCTAATTCATGAATCATAAAAATTGCAGAAAGGAAAAAAAAAATTCATTGAAATAATCCACACTGATTCCTATATAACTTTGAACTCTGATTCAATTTGAAGATTCAAAAAAAAATTGTATCAAAAATTCAAGTTGAGACATTCTCTGATAATAATTGGATATTTTCAATCTTGCAATTCTTCAAGGTGCTCTTGCTGCCTTTGAAATAGGCTTACCATTGGATTCTGGTGTGAAATCCAATTTGACAGGGCACCTCCTCCATCTATTGCTTGTGTGAAGGTCCCCAAAAACTCTTCAAACAGTTCCATTATTCTATTTCAATAAATCACATAGGTAGATTTCCATTCATACAGATTTATCTTGCGGTATTCATATTCTGTTCATCTCCTAATGGCTGAATAATATAAAATTGAGGATTCTTTTGTTTTACTAATATTTGATTGCAACAATTTTAACTTAATTTTTGATTCAAATAATTCAGGATCTTCAACCAGTCTTCTTGTCTTGTACCTCATCATCCCCAAACAAACTTCATGGTCAATGAAATGCAAAAATTCACAACTAACTGAAATAAATTTGTAAATATCAAAACTGATTATATGATTTATTTGGGTAAGAAAATAAATTAGTTTGATTTGAGCTTCAAGATCTTTTCTGTATGTATCATTTTTGGCTTCATCATGAAATCTAGCTTTATATCCTTCAAGATTTCCTGGCTTTCCTAATTCTTCATTTTCAATAACAATTTTGAAATAAAAATCAATTGGGAAGTTTTCCAATAAAATTTTCCATTCATGACCAGATGATTCATTTTCAAAACTCTCATTTTCTTTACACATCGAATCTTTCATCAAGGCATAAAAATTGATTATTACCACCTGTTTAGAGCTGAGGGCTATCATCAAAAATAAACAAAATAAGAGATTAATCTACCATGAATTTATTATGGTTAACCCATCAATATGAATTGAAATATATGATGAAAGATGATGGACAGAATATTATATTCCAATGCTCTGTTGAAAAATAGCAAGTACCAACATTCAGTGATACCAGTCTGGTATTCATTAATCCTATAACATTTCACAGGCCAAATGTTCCAATTATTCCTTATCATCAAGCTTGGATTATCTTTCAACAGTTGCTTCATTTAAATATCCATGTTTGTACAATAAATCAACTGCTTTGAAGTAATACTCTCTGAATGGTTCAAATTCTGGGTTTCTTGCTATCTCCTTTGGGGAATTTGGGTATAATTCCAAAGCCTTACATTGATTCTTCATTGTCTCCATTTCTTCTAAGATTGATAAACCGAATCTTTGAAATTCTTTATTCAACTTTTCTTCAAAAATTTCATGAGATAATTTCTCAATCGAGTCTTTTTTCTGATTGAATTCAGCTTCTGAGACTATTGATTCCATCTGTTTGATTTTTGGATAAGATCCTGTCAGTTCCAAAAGTCTCAATTGAAGAAGCTTGGATAGTTTTTCATTTGATCTTTTAATATTTGTGATCAAATCAGCACAGATTAGCTCAAATTATCACCTTCCAAACCAATCTTGATTTCTTGCAACTCCTTTGAGAAATTGAGTTCAAATTCTGGAATCTAAGTTGAATCATGATTTATTTTCACAGCTGATTTATTTGTTTGTTGCATCTTTTCATGGGCCTGTCAGATTGATGGTTAATCGCTAGTGTCACATAAACAGCAGGATTTCAAGTCCCTGTCACAGCCTGTCAAATATCTTTCACAGGTCTTTCCCCAGTCTGTGTGCAATATCGTGCAAGTCACCAGTTTTATGTACCCGTGACTTCCCCGAGTTGAAAGGGTGCCCAGTCGGAGAGTTCAGCTGCCCAGTCCAAACCGGAGCAAAGCCGCATCTCTTTCTCAAAGAACCAAGAATTACCAGATCTACTCTCAACCAAACAAAACAACCAACGAACGAACAAGAAAACCCAACAGAGAGAACGATAGGACAAGCGACTCTTCAATCAACCCGCAGCCTCATCATCCAATGTCTTCCTGGGCCTCATGGCTACTCGGCCGCGGAGCCAGCTCGGGCAATCAACGGGACAAGGCCCGTGAGACGATAGTCGAACTACGCCAGCATCTGATAATGCTAGAGAAGAAGGAAGACCACCTCAAGTACGTCTTTGCCGTCATTCTCAGCCTCTATATGCCCTCCCGGATTCATCGACATACTCATCTTCCTGCCTTCGTCTGTTGATAAAAACCAAAAATAGTAAGAAAATTGAAGACGAACTTCGCAAAGCAAAGGCCAACGCATCTACCAATAAACGCGCAGCTACCGCCGCTCTCCGACAGAAGAAACTGTACGAACAGGAGCTCGACCGTCTGGCCGGTCGTCGAATGACCTTGGAGACCCAGGTTAGAAAATACTCAACCTGAGATATCCCACAATTGACAAATCAACGGATCACTCAATACTTTTTTACTTCCCTACTCACTCATCATAAGGTCAATGCGATTGAATCAGCAAATATGAACTTGGAGACCATGCAAGCCATGCGTCGTGGGGCCGATGTATTGAAGGGCATCCATGGCAATCTGTCGGTTTATTTATACACACGCGCACCGGATTGAAATGTCACTGATGACCCTGTCTGACCCGTTGACAGCAATATCGACAAGGTGGACGCAACGATGGACTCCATTCGAGAGCAGATGGACTTAACCAATGAGATTTCGGATGCGATCTCGAACCCAGTCGGCATGGGCCAAGAAGTCAGTTTTTTATTCATCTCATTTGATAACTATCTGGGTCGATCCATGCAGATGTACATCCGGTTTTGACGATGGGATGACTTGTTCTTGTCGGACAACCCCAGCTGGATGAGGATGAGATCAAGGCAGAGTTGGAAGAGCTTGAACAGGACGAGTTAAAGAGCCGACTGGTGGGCGCAGACAGTGTTCCATTGCATTCACCCGGCCAAACCGAGAGGCCCGTCGGTAAGTTCTCCCTCATCCTCCCTGTTTGCCTGGACACGATGCGCTAAACTCGTTTATCTGCTGGTTCTAGCCGCACGGACGGTTGCTCAGAGACAGCAAGAAGAAGACGAAGATGCCGAGCTCAAGGAGCTGCAAGCCGCTTTGGCCATGTGACCCCAGACACCCGTCTCTTGTTCTCCCAATCCTGACTCTCTATCTCATCTCCGGCTAACAATGGTTTGTATGACAATCAACATCGCTTCTCGGTGTATCTTCAACCAAGATGGAATTTCTTTCATCGATATGAGTTTCCTTTCTTTTCTCTTTCGCTCGTGTATGACTGCTGCTTTTTCATTTACTTGATTGTTATTTTCCTAATTGAATCTATCCTATTCCTCATACTCGCCCTTTCAATTCCACTTCCATCTATATATCACCCACTATATCATCAATATTTCAACCGTTCATCTATCCCGTTGCAATTTTCTCTCCTGGGGAATATCAGAAATCAAACAAAACATCCAAAGCCCGTATTGCGTGTTTATGTATTTCTCTTGTTGTACAATTTTCATTTCTTTTGTTCCTTTTTATTATATATATAACTAACTCTTTGATGATCATCTCTTTGTGTTCATGAGAAGCTAGTGCTGTCTTCTTGGGATCACAAAGACGCAGACTGTGTCTGTTGCCCTAACCTACTAACAGAAACCGACAAACACCGGCAGAAGTTGTAGAAATAGCATGATTGTTGAAGCGGATCAAAATCGAAGAGGATTTTCTCCCCAGTTAGTAGTTTCGATTGAAGCGGTCTTAGAGTCAAAGTAATAATCCGGTAGGAGCCAGCGCTCGCTATCCAAGGGTGGACACACCCCAATATGATTTTCTTCATTCCTATCAGGCCTATCAGGGAGTCATCTGCTGTAACTTCTATTGATTGCTGTATATACAAAGAGATAGCAATTAGCCCATGTATTTATGACATAATAGGACGGTTCACAATTCAAAATTTTCAGCAAACTTTTTATCTGAACTTAGCAGACCAACTGGACTGCACAGCATGAGATTTATCCTGCTGCGCCTGCTAGTTTCAGTTGGTTTCAGCAACGGTGCCACAGAGACGATACGATACGGTATCAGGCGTTTATCTGTATCGTCTCAGAATTGGAATACCCAAAAATACCGGATTTGTGTTGTCTCACTTTCCTGAGACATATACATGTATCGTATTTGAAAAGTGAGAAATGTATTCTGTATCGTCTCAGATGACTGATCCCACCAAAACCATATTTGATACATAAGATATTTGGCTGTATTGAAGAAAAAACGGAAAAAAACAAAGACGATTTTTTTTTTTTCATTTTTAAATCCAAATCCGATACAATGTATTTTTTCACCAACCAAGGAAATACTGATACCGGTATCAGGCTCAAAATAAATACAATACGATCCGATACAAATACATGTCTCGTATCTGTGGCACCGTTGGTTTCAGCAGTCTTTAACAAATGAACCACACATGGAAACGCTCTGAAAGCTTGGGAATTCTTGTTACACTCTCCCCGGTTTCCCTTAAGATTACAGCCCAGGCTACTTGGCCATCTCACCTTCAAAATTTGTCATCACTCAGCTTTATACACCCCTTGACACTGGCACCCGGTACAATTCAACACAACACCACCTTCCAGAGCACCTTCAAAATCTATGTGTCAATTCAGTGAACGGCAAAGCGTTATACAAGAGCTATTCACCCTCCTCCTCCTCCAACATGAGGATGATACTGATGATCTCATCAGCAAAATTTTTAACCTTCCAGGAAGTCTGACGATAGGCAACATCTTCTTCTCCGACGATCCTGAAATGATGCTTCTGACCGACGAGCTTTTTAGCAATGAGGCTGATGTAGGGGAGCTACTGCAAACTGTCACCTTGAGCCGATATCTTAATTTACGGGCTCCACCGGTATATTGTGATGTTGAAGGCAGCGGTCTTCGTGAGTACCTTTGGTCCCACGTTTGTCTTGGTATCGCCATAAAGCTTGGAGAATTTTTTGTCATCCTCGAGGTAAGAGCAAATGTTTTTGTAGTCGGTGAGAATGAACTGGGGATTATTATCGTTCTCCGTGATAGTCTTCTGGGTTGACTGTGTCCCTTTTTTTTGAAAACCTCTTTGACGTTGACTCAATTTGTGACTTTTTTGACTAGCCGTTTGTTCATTGTTTGTTATATCTTCGCCTCGGGCAAGGGCCATCTGCTTTTTGGTGCGGCGGGTATGTTTTTTGTTGGGAGGTGGCTTGCTTGCAATGGAATTTAAAGATGGGACTGAGAATGTTGGATCTTGGGATGCCAGTAGTAAAGAAGGATCAACTTCCTCAAATGACTGCATTGCGGAGTTCAACCTAGGCTATAAAAGGAAAAAGAAAAAAAAAAAAACATATAATCAGCTTCTACATAAGCAAAAAAAAACTCAAAATAAAGCACCTGTTGATGAGAGAACCCAAAGGAAAAGAAAAGGTGGGAAGGATGGGTTTCAAACCAAGGAAAAGAGAAGGTGCGGATGTGTGCCAAAGCCAATGCTGACCGGAACTTGTGGAATATTCAGAAGTAGTGGTGACTGGTGGAGTAACCCGATTGGGGATCTGGGAGGTTTATGTAGTTGGTAAGTGTGTTGCTGAATTAACATTAAAATTTCAGATTTTCAGCAACAGGTACGTTGTTGAAAAGTGTAAAATTTTACACACATTTTAATTTCAGCAAGCAGATATTTTATTACAAGTAAGCAGACAGAAGTGTCAAATGTGAACCGGGCTAATCATGAGCAGTCACTTTCAAAGGACAGGAGATCAGTCAACACCACTATCATCAAATCTCAAAATCTATAGCTGAAGACAGGGAGTTGATGAATGAGTTTTTCCCATTCCTTCCCATTCAAGTTGTTCACATGTTGGAACTGGCAAGTTATTGATTGAACTACACTGATCTGTCTCCTCATCTCATCTGTTTGTTCAAATGACAAATTTAATGAATCAATACTCTGAATCCAATTTATATAAATCAAACAAATCAAAACATGACACCATATGGTGAGGTTGGATGCCAATTGAATTTAAAATTCAAAATCTGCTGAATTTGAGAGATGAATATGAAAAAAATAGATCTTGAACAAGTTGTTTCTAAACAACATATATACACATACATATATGCATATAAAGAAGATTTTGTATGTTCACCAATATAAATATCATGAAATGGCACAAATTTAGACATTTTATGATGGGTATCAAGAAAGTATTGGCCCTATGGTATTCATACACTTCTTTGATAATCCCTGGCAGACTTGCATATATTCTTTGTTTGATATGTTTGCATATAGTCATTTGTTGATCAAGCAGCTCCATCCTGGAGAATGACTTTCAAATCTTTGGAGGTTTCTAAATTCCTGGTTATTCTTTGGTGAGATCCTAATGTGTGTTTTTTTCTGAATGAGCTATGAGCAGTTCAATTATTTTCTGTAATTGAGCTTGGCCACCTGTGATATTTTTGTCAGGAATCATTTGATTCAAACAGTTTTTCTCAGTCCAATATTTGAAAACAGCTTCTGAAGTATAATACCAAAGAGAATGACCATGTTCCCAATTTTGATTGTAATTCCAATCTGGAGAAGTGTAATCCATCATCCTCCTTATGTAAAGATATTCTCTTGCATCTAATGATTTATTTTCTTTATTTTCATTCCAAACATCCCTGATGAAAGCCAAGACCTCCTCCACATCTTGCTTGTTCAATATTTGAGAATGATTTTCCTTAAATAAATACAGATAGGTGATAATCAGGAATGATGATATTTTGGTCACATTTGCCACATATTTGAGGATCCGATTCCTTTTCTTTTCAAAAAAACTCAGGCTGAGACAGTTTAGTCCTTGGCCATTTTCTTGAATTTCTCTTTCCAATGTGAGCCATACTTGAAGCTTTTCTCGAAATGGCTTCATGATTTCATTTTCAAATATAGAATATTTTTCAAGATGCAATCTTTGACTTGATGAATCCAACAAGACTTTTCCAAACTTCCGCTTTTGAGCTTTGGAAATGCAATATTTATCAATGTCAGGGTTTCTTTTAATCATCTCTAGAAATCCAATCACATCTTTTCTTGGAATCCAAAAATAATTATCTTCAGGTTCTGTTTTGGTTTTGAAAAAATCTCTGGTATAAATCGGATTGTTGATGTTAAGACAATCAGACAAAGCATGGCTGCATCCTGCATCTTTGTGGGCTAAAATTGAATCTGGTATCAAATTACATATGCCTTCTTCTATTTCACCATGTTTTCTCTTTGAATTATTGGGGGTTGGGTTGGAATGCTCTAAAAAACCGGATCTATTGCTGACTTCTTCTTGTGAAGAGACAATCTCTTTTTCTGTTGATATCAGATGTTTTGATCTTTCTGGTGGTGGCAGAGGTAGGCACTTCTTGTAAGGAGTTTGGATGTTGTGAGGAATTTGGAGGTCATTCAAAATATGTCCACTTGGATGCAGGATCTCATGATCAAATTCAGGAAGAGATAGTTCATGGGAGTCAAAATTGTACTCATTAGAAGTGATATCATTGATAGGAAGTCCATAGTCATCCTCTTGATGAATATTTTTCAATTTGGAAATTGGTTGATCAGAGAATTCTGAATGTGGAATGGAATCGAAAAAGTTTAGGGGCTCTTTTAAATAACTATCTATTGTTTCTTCATACCAGTTGTCTAGTTGGGGTGCTCGGATTTCTTCTATAATTTGTGCTTTATTGAGAAGCACCAAATAGTATGGTGCAATGATCAAAGCTTTCATATTTTGCATGATCAAATTGCCAAAGTGAAAATGGGAGGTTGAATATTTCAGAAATGGGTTTTGCAATTAGCTTCCGGGGCAGTGAGGCTTTGTAAACCCACTTGTGAAACAAAAGATGATCAACTCTTGCCAGACATGCAAGAGCTTGGGTACAAAGATTGAAAAAGTTTAACCACAAATTTAAGCCTCATCAGAAACAAGCAAAAGTCAAGGGTACGTTTCATATTTTATCGACAAGGGAAAGTAAAATTGAGTTCTTTCATAGTGCATAAGCACACAATCAATTTATTTCAATCAATACAAAATGTGTTACTATGTATAGGTTCTAGTCTCTCTCTCAAGTACTCAATGCTTTTATATTGTATTGGAATATCTTTGATGAAGCTTCAAGTTTCTCTAATATGGGTAATATCTGGTCTGTCTGGCTATCACATCTCCAACATAATTATGTTAATTTCATTTCTGACCTCAGCCCCAAATAAATTTCATTTTGAAATTGCTTGATTATATCATTGCCAACAATGGGCCACTTATGCTAACTGTAGTGCTAGTCCAGCATAATGTAGCAGAATTATGCTAATATTTAGCATATCACAGAGGAATTCTGCCACAACTGTGCTAAAACTATGCGTTCAGGACATATAAAGGGTGCACCATTCTGTGCTACAGTGACCCCGCTATGTAAGCATAAGGATGTTTGACACAAATCCTATGCTTACATGGAGGTATGCTTCTTATGGAGGTAATTTTACTGCAAAACCAAGAAAATGGTTGCTGGAAATCAATATTTATGCTATGCTTACAACGCGGTTATGCTTATATCGTGTATGCTTACAAGGTGGGGTCACTGTACAGCGTATTTTGGCAGTTTTTTGGTGGTTTTTGCCGCTATAAGCACTATAGTGTAGCATAACACAGTGTATTGTGTCAGCCTTAGAGCCAGCCAAGCTGGCCAAAAGACTGCTTAAGTCATCCTTTTCAGCTATGTTCCTACTGTAACTTTTTTATCTCTTGATCTTATTACATTCTGACTTCAGAAATGAATTCCTCATGTGATTTCAACCTTAGTGACCACTACACACTTTTACACTACTCTTCTCCTTCATAGACTTTGTAATATTTCACCGTACCTTGTGAAATATCAACCAAGTTGGAATTCCAACTCTCTACCACATGTACATGTCGTGATTATGTAATCCAACTCTGAAAATTCTCTCAGAGTATACTGAGTTCGCATTTTCAGGATCTTCAAGCTTCAGACCCACCCAGAACCAACTCAGACCAGAAATCATCAAACTCAACTTGGATACTTCACCGCCGCATCATCGCCGTGTTATCGTTTGGAGTCCCTTAACTATTGGAATCTTCCCACTCATCGTGTCAGGATCACCAATAAGTAAGTAACTCCACAAGTTCAGCTTGCATCTTTCTGCTAAGTTCTTTCTCTGTCTCTCTGAATGATCACATCATTCTGTTTCTACTAAACCTCTGCCTTAATCATCATCAAATCAAATCAAGTCATCTTAATTCTCTGTTTGGTGGTATAACTAAAAACCACATAGTTTTCCCTTTAAAGACCCTTGATCTTAGATCTAAAAAATAGTGGCCGGATTGATTTATCAATACCAGGAACCCTTCTCAGTTTCAGTTGATTAGGAGGCGTAGATTAATTCCGCTTAATAACAGCCATCCTCTAAGGAAAGTAAGACTGCATAAAAACTTGATCATAAAATAAATAAACAATAAAATTATTATTCATTTCTTTTCTCTTTCTCTTTCTCTTTCTCTTCCTCTCCTTCTAGTTGTATTTCCTTATCTCTCTGAAATACATCTAGATTTGCCCCCCATCCTTGTGTCCTGCCGTCACTTTTGAGACCCAGGCTCACATATTGGGACTAAAATTAGCATGCCAACACTACAATTTTGGTGCACTGTTTGCTACACTCATCTTAGTGGGATATTTAGCATAGTGTAGCGTAGAGGCCCATTGTTGTTGTTGGTAAAGATAAAATATTCAGTCATATCCGGAAATGGTAAGCTGTTATATTTGTTTAATTTGGGTATTGTTTGAAATATTTTCCTTTTGAGATTCACTAATTTTCCTTGCCCTGAAAGCATAATGGACTGTTTTATTTGGATACCCCTCAATTTCAGCTATATATCTCTGAGAGTTACCTCAGTTGATGGGTACTTCTTTGGGGGGAAGGATACTCAGGATTTGGCCAAAAAGTAAAAATGATAAGGAGGTGTATTTCAGATTCCCTCAAAATATCAAGAAAGTATAGCCTTTTATGTAGCACAAATGTTAAACCCTGATGGCAACTGGGATGTAGAGGTCAAATAAACAGACACTTTTATTGGAAACACAGAAGATATTGCAAGAAGAGAAAAAAAAGAGAAAATTATAATTCATGCACCAGAAGATTATGAGAGTAATCATAGAAATATGACACACCCTTCATACCAGGGTTCAACAACTTCAAAGAAAAGATTCATGTAACATAGATAAGGCTTACAAACAGACTATAATATATTGGATCCAAGATCATACTTCAATGTATACTGTAGATGAGGAGAAGCAGATGAGTCATAATGAAAAGTGGAAGTGAAAGAAATCTGATTAGGAGATAGGAATTACATTAGTAAAAATCTCAAGTATGTTACATTGAAGTATTATTTCTCTGATCTGCTTGTATATTTCTTTGAGAATTTCCACTTTATGAGTTGAAATTCATTTCTGAAAACAACCTTTGTACTCTATTAGATCACAATTTATTTGACAGATGATTTGTATGTCAAATCCCTGTTAATGTATACACTTGGCTTCATCTGTGATAATTGTTTCTAGGCAACAAGTGAACTTCATGGATTTAAAATTTGATGTAATGTTGACATTTGGTGAGGTAAAGTTGTGTATGATCTATCTTTTGAGCTAGCTATGATAAGTTCAACCATCCTAATTAATTTGAATTTAGCTGCTCCAATATAAATCTCATCATTTCTACCATAATTCCTCTTATTTTTATTGATCCAATAATTAAATATATCCTCAGAAGTAAAAAACCAAAGAGAAGCCCCATTATCATATTTTCTGTAGGTATGCTCATCTGGAGAAGTCAAATTCTCCATCCTTCTTATGTGTAAATATTCTTTTCCTTTTAGTGAAGCATCTTTTTTATCTTGGTTCCAAAGATCTCTCAGGAAAGCAAAGACTTGATTGAAATCTTCCCCATTCAATATTTCACCATTATGTTGCTTGAATAAATATAAATAAGTAATGATAAGGAATGATGAGATTTTGGTGACATTTGTAACATATTGGAGAATGTGGTTCCTCTTCCTTCTAAGACAATTCATATCAAACCATTTACTTCCTATGCCATTTTCCTTGTTTGATGTTTTTAATTTTATCCAATGTTCAAGTTTCACTTCAAATGATCTCATTATTTGATCAGTAAAAATTGAATTTTCCCTGATATCAAGTCTTTGGGTTGATAAATGCAAAAGCATTTTTCCAATCTTTCGCTTTTCCTGTCGGTAACTGTAACTTCTACCAACATGATTGAATTTGCATGTCTCAAGAAATTCAATAGCCTCCTTCCTTGATATCCAAAACGATCTTATGGGCTTCCACTCTGATCTACAGGTCTGTGACAACCTGAGGGGCTTATCAAAACCAGCTCTTCTTTTCTCTATTTCCTTTGCAGGTGATCTTATGTAATGAATTAAATTTTGAATGGAAAACAAATCGGATGATATATTTCTGGGTCCTTCGGCTTGCTGGTGAAAAATTGAAGCTGATTTCAAATCTCGTGCATGCTCTTCCGATTCTTTTGTTCCCAGCGACTTAAAGAGGTTTGAGCTAGCCGGATTCTCTGTGATTTCCGATTGACCATTTCTGTAACTATTCCTGATGGACTTTTTTATTCGCTGTGGTGAAGACTCAACCGCTTTCTGCGTTGATGTCAGTTCATTTGGTTGGAGCTTCAGTGGCAGAGGTAAGTCGTTATCATTAGTGATTAGGGTCTCATTAGGAGGATGCTCACTAGGATGCAGGAGTTGTCGTTCAAGATCATGCATAATTAGTTCATGTGGATTAAGAGAAAACTCCCCAGGGGTGAGCTCGGAGCCGGGATGAAGCCAGCATCTTTCTTCTTGATGAACATTTTCGAAGTCAAACATTGGTACAGAGGATTGAGAATGTCGAGTAGGCCCAGAGAAATTCAAAGGCTCTGCCAGATAACGTTCTATAGTATCCTCGTAATTGTCATAGCAATGTCTTGACAGAGAAGATTCGATTCTCTCGACAGGCTGTCCTTGATTGAGAAGCATCAGATAACAAGGCGCAACGATCAAAGCTTTGATCATATTCCCCATGATCATAGTGCCCAAGTGGCATGTGGAAGGTTGCACATCTTAGAAATGGGCAGTGCGCTTTTAAGAGGTAGTGAGTTTTCAAACATTCACTTCCAAAGAAAACCTTAATCCTTATCAAGACAAGTCAAAAGTTGTGTATTGGTCCGATGTCTTTCTATGCAACAACCTCAGAGAGCACGAGGTGAGTGGCCTGCTATGACCAGAAAAAGCCAGCCATGCTGCGTCTGGACAAGTCTCACCGACCAGTTGAGCCTATTTGGAGTTGTTTGACTATGAAGACTCTGTAGTAGCAAAAGACTAATTTGTGTTTTTGGTTGAGGTGAAACCGCATCGACCTCCACTTCTATCGCCGCGCAAGTCAGTTGCAATGTTGCCAGCCGCCAATTCTACACCGCCGGCATCAACCGGTCAGCTCAACCGGTTAGCGGGCAGGTGCTGAGTTTTCTCCTGTTCTCCGGCCTGGATGATAACCGGCCGACCAGACATTCATTGCCGGCAGAGCCAGTCATATCAAGTCATCCAATGCTATCCAATCCACACACGTATCAAGGGAAAAACATAGATAAGGAGATGTTTATATGCACGTACAGGGTCAATGTTTGGTCACTGCGCTGATCTGCTACGAGGGTCAGGATCGTATCCCACACAACTTCAAGGGTAGGGGCACCATCAGGGTTATTTCCAGAGTCGGCCAATGGCAAGGAATGTGGTTTGGCGACCCGATAAAAAATCAGCTCAATCTCATACATACCACAAAACTCGCGCCCGGAATCTCAAAGAGCCCAGTCGACTCCACAGATTGGCCGATTACGACCCCAGGACCAAGTAGATGTCTAATAGTTCCTACCCAGAGAGCTAGGATGGTTGCCCCTCAGCGCCAGAAAAATTGGTATGTACGCGCTACACCAATCTTGAGGAATCATCCTAAGCAAGATTGCGCCATTTTTTGATTCCTGGAAAATAGGCTTCTTTCTTGCTGGTCAATCTGCCGATAAATTTGGGTTCATAGTTTGCTTTGTTCTTCTAATTTGTAACATTTCTGAAAAAAATATATATATATATATCTACATATCAATATTTCTGATCCCTCCTGGAATTTTATTCAGATCAAAAACTGAAATTCCGGGTACATGAATCAACCTCTGTTTAAATTCATAAGTTTTATTCTTATTGGGAAGATATGTAGAGACAAGAAATGTTGTAAAAAGAGACTATGGGAAGTAGAAATGTTTGGCTGCAGCTACGACGAATACGTCAATTGTAACAGGAAGATATCTTGATTTTTTTCGCTCTTCATTGCCAGAAAAAGAACAGGAAATTACTCTTGTTGGAAGCTTGCTTCCGTAGACAAGATATGACCGCCGATCCGCACGATATGAAAACGGGATTGTGATACGTTGCAGGCCATCATCATCCCTCGCTTGGTCGAATCCGGACAAGCTATCTGAGAAGTGTGCAACCCTGACAGACTGATAGGTATAATTCAAAACGAGCTCGTGAGTCAGCAAAAGTTGGTCTTGATCATTTGAAGTTCAAGAGAGACACTTACAAGGCCTGAGAGGGTTCTCCGCCATCGTACAGTCGTAGTAGTCGAGGGTGGGATTGTTTATATCACCCGCCTGGATCGCTGCAAAGAGGGTTGTGATTTAAATGAGCGAGCGACCATGTATTTCACTTTTTTTTTTTTGAAGAAACAGAAAATGGTTGTATAATGAAGGAGAAAATGAGTACATATATTTACCTATTCTGCCATCGTCGACCTGCATGGACACTATGTTGGAGACTGTTTTCCCTGGGCCAGTGTAATCAGGAGGTTTGCAATTGCGAAAGACCATCTTGGAAACTTCAAGCATCAATTCAATCCACACATCGCCCAGAAAAAAAAACAAAAAACAAAAAACAAAAATCGATCGAGAAATTTTGATGGGTGTAAGTACAAAATAGGTCAATTATAAATTTTCTTGCTTTGATCATCAGCTACACAGACACACATCAAATTCAGATACATATTTGTTTTTGAACTCACAAGGATTTTTTACAGGGTCGCTATTTGGACCCAATCCGGAGTTGCACCTACTTCGATCACACTGAAACTCGGTCTGTCGATAATCCGTGCATACTATGTAGAAATATTTAAGGAGATCGGTAAACAAAATAGGCATCAGATTTCTCTGCAAAGAACTTTTGACCAGTTGCATAATCTTTTACATGATGCCAACCCGATCCGCAAGCTTGATCAAGCTTACCAACTCTAACACTCGAAATCCCAAGTGAATCGAGGTAGTTGATACAATGAACCAATCGGCCCCCGCCCGCTCTCCGCTCAAGGTTGTGTCGCGCCTCTGAAAGCTGGACGTAGTAGACAATTATAGCAATCCAGACCATGTACGCCCGAATCATCGAATCTTGAATCCCGAACATCTTCTTGCAGGCTGGAAGGGCTCGCTGGAGACGTATGTAGAAAGCTTGGTAAGGAGTAATCGATCAGGTCTATATATTTGCCAACGAATATTTCAATCGGCAAACGGATTAAGCTGGGTGTTGTTCTTGAAGCAGGTTCTCCCGTTGACAGGTAATACGTGGCGAGCCCTCTTTTATCTATGGATTGCCAGTCAACAGCCTATCAACGAACGCAAGAGCCAATGGCGGCATTGTACACACACAAACGGAGCAACGCCACTATGTAGGCCACACTGTGCCTCACGAATATCGCACTGGCAACCGATACACAACAATAGCATGACGGCGTGCGGCCATGCAAGTTTATAAGAAAGGTCGAGGATTTGTATGTCCACAGCCTCATGAGCCGAAACAGGGCGAAAGCTTCTGGCTCATAGGGTTTTCCCTCTCCTACATATCCAGAAGTGCTTCACAACCGCCAATATAGGATCCAAGCCATTGGAAAATGCTTTCCGAGCCACTTTGGAGGATGCCATTGTAGGATCGATGCGAGCACGCGGTTCAAGCATGTTAGCTGGTCCTACCATGGTAGCTTTACCATCACCCTTCGTTGTGCTCATTATAAGCAGAGGTCTGGAGGAGATATATTTCGGTGCGGACAACATATGAACCGCCCAAAGGTTGTTCATTGGCAAAGTAAAAGCTCATCATCTGAGTTTAAATTGGGAGGAGAAAATTCCAAATTGACTTGCTCCCCTCGGGGCCTCGGCCCCGTGGATGCTCGAGGGATACTCGTCCACTCGAAGCACCGGGACGGGGGGGAGGTCCCCTATAGAAAACGTTTAGTATTCAATAATACGTTGATCAACCAAGCTTTTTTCTTACGACGGCTATGAACGAGATGGAAGTCAAAGAAGAAGTAGATGTGAGTAACCCCCCCCCCCCCCGCAAAAAAAGAAAGGAAGTTGACGAGACAAGGAAGAGAAAACAGACGGCGATCAAGGAGAGTGCGATCCTGGTCTATTCGAAGAGCTACTGTCCGCACAGTCGCCGGGCGAAGACGATCCTGGCGCGGGTCCCGGACAAGCCGAGCGAGGCGCGAGTGATCGAGCTGGATGAGCTGGGCGAACGCGGGGTGCAGATGCAGAGCTATCTGGCCGAGCTGACCCACCAACGGACGGTGCCTAATGTCAGTCGTCCGTCGATGATCAGCACCCTCCTCTGGATCCTTCGCATCTGACTAATCCAGATCCTCCTCCGCTTCTATTTATTCAAGATCTTCATCCATCAGAAACATATCGGCGGGGCTGACGATCTCAGTCATCTGGACCAAGCGGGGGTCTTGCGATCATTGATAGTGGACCATGAGTTGAGTTCCTTGTAACCTATACAATCACTCACTCTCTCTCTTCTCTTTTGTGATCGATCGACGCTGCTCTTTCTTTCTCTTGACAAGCAACCTCTAACCACCTTCTTCCTCCAATCAATCAATCAACATTCGTCATTCTTGTGGATACATAGTTCTTCACGAGACACCAAGTCTTCCTCCCGGATCTTCAAACGACAGCCCGATCTCAAAACGCTCCACGAAGGGGTCAGTTACCCGCTCCTGCTGCTCCTCTTGCTCGTCATCCTCGCTGGGATCGGCTATCGGATCAAGTCGCGTGCTTGGATCGCTCCAGTCCCTCAGAAACAGAAGCTTTGATTTCCTTCTCGTTTTGAGTTATTAGTAATGAAATGCATTAATAAAACTCTCTCTCTCTCTCTTAAAAAAACGCGTTGTGAGATTGTTGTTGTTGTAATTAAAGAAGCATGTTAAGTGTGTGTGTGTAAGAGAAGTTTGTATGGGTGAAGGGTAGATTTCAAGTGTCGGCTGATGGAGCTGAAGGCTGGATGACGCCGATGACGATCCCAGCGGCCTCTCGTTGGTTCTGGCGTTGCTGGTAGAGTGCTTGGAAGTGGTTCTGGAGTTGATCGAGTAAGGTGTCGATCTGATAGGCTTCTTCTTCTGGATTGGTGGAGGTGCTCGTTGGGAGTGCTCCTAGTCCGCTGGTCCTGAGTTGGGAGTGGAATCGCTTGAGTTGTTCTCGTAGGCTGAGTAGTTCTTGGTTGAGGTTGGTTGTTGTTGATTGGTTGTTGTAGATGTTTTGTCTGTTGTTTTTGATGGTTTTAGTTAGTTTTTTGTTTTTTTAGTTTTTTTTTTTGATTGTGAGTTGTTGGTTGAGGTTGGCTTACAGTTGGTTGAATGAGTTGATGATCTGGTGCTTGAGTCTGAGTGACTGGCTGATTAAGGAGTCCAGCTCAACCCTCAGAGATCCTTCTGCTGCAAATTGGTTCATCTTCAGAAACTCACAGCGCAGGCTCACAGCAGAAATCAAAAAAAAAGATGGAAAACAACAACAACAAACAACTCAAACATCTCAAGGAACTCATCAGAAGAATCACCAACAACAACCAACAACAACAACAACAATACTCAGTCTACCAACAAAAACTAAACAACAACAACCCAACAACAACAACAACAACAACCAACCAATCACTCAACACAATAGCAGAACAGATCAAACAACATCGTAAGCAAACCAACAAACAAAACAAAACACAACAAAAACTGACCATCATCTCTCTCACAGTCCAACTAGATCCAAACCAACCAATACAAGCCATCCAACACTTCACCTCACTACTCACCAGACTCAGTCCACTCTCTCATCCAAAGGAGAAAACTGCAACACTCAAATTCCTACTAGCACTAGCACCAAAACAACAACAACAACAACAAAAGCAACAACAACAAGAACCACCAACCATCATCGAAAGATTACCATCAACTGAAACAACTCAACCACAACCATCAGCAGCCCAGAGACTCAAACAGTATCGCAAACAACATGCATATCCAGCCCATCTACCAGAACATCTCCTACTCAGGGACATGATCTACCTCCTACAGGGAATCGATGGCCGATACATCTACTTCAAATCATCAAACTCCGAGGACGAGAGCTGGGAGGAAGGCGGGATTGGCTTCAAGGAACCCACCCATCATCAACTCATCACTCTCCCACAACGAGACCTCATCCTCAAACTCACCGAGCTCGGATGGCTCTACAAGAAGATCGAACGGGCAATCGACCAGCCAGAGGCCAACATCGGAACCGTCCAACAAGCCTTCGCCTTTGCACTCAAGGAAGAACTCGGCACCTACTATCGCGCCATCGCGATCATCCAGTCCCATCTCAGCTCAGACCCTTCAACCACCCTCTCCTCAAAGGCACTCCTCCTCCATCTCACTCCCACCGTCCTCAGACTCAGGATGTCCGCCGCCCTCATCTCGGCCACCAAGGGGATCCGTGGCGGCCAGATGATCTCAGTCCTCCACTCCTACACCGACCATGGTGACCCCGTCGTCCATCTCTTCACCTCAAACTTGCTCGAAAAAGTTAGCGTCCCCTGGTTCAAAACTCTCGTCAGTTGGATGTGGGACGGCGAACTGGTGGACCCGATCGAAGAATTCTTCATCATCCTCAATCCGGCCTTCGATCGTAAAACCAATAACAATCATCATCTCCACAATAACCTCGATCAACTCGATCATCTTCATCAGCTTCCCGGTGATGGATCGAACGTCTGGCAGAAAAAATTCAGCTTTCGAAAAGAAATGATCCCTAGTTTCATCAGTGAAGGATTTGCAAGAAAGGTGAAACCTGAACAATCATCATACATCATCGAAAAAGCTGACATCTCTCTCATCAATCAAGATCTTCTCGACAGGTAAATCGTTAAACTTCATAAGACATTCCTGTGGAGATTACGAATGGCATCAGACCCGCTCGAACATCTACCAAGCCTCCTCGAAAGCCTCCTTACATTACAAGGACATCACCGGGCTACAGCAGACGATCGACTCGACCTACTCGATCGCGACCCGTCAACTGTTCAACATCTTCTTCGTCAAGCTGAAGCTACTCGACCATTTCAAGGCGGTGAAAGACTATCTGTTATTAGGCCGAGGGGATTTCATCAGTCTGTTGATCGAGACATTAGGACCGAGTCTCAACAAGCCGGCCAACACGCTCTACCGACACAACCTGACGGCGACGCTCGAGTCAGCCATCCGGGCAACCAGCGACGAACGTCTCTTGCTCAACCGCCTCGACGTACGTATGTTGGAGTTCTCGCCCGCTGAGTCCGGTTGGGACGTCTTCATGCTCGAGTACAAGACCGAGAAACCCCTCGACGTCGTCCTCTCCGCCTCAGCTATGGAAAAATATATGCGCATGTTCAGGCTCCTTTGGAAAATGAAACGGCTCGAATACTCGCTCGATCGGGCTTGGAAAGTGGTCATCTTGGGCGTCAATCGGGCCCTCAAACACCTCCATTGTCCGTCTCTTTCTCTCTCTCTCTCTCTTTCGTTCTCTCTTTTTTCATCCAATCAACTTGATGTTAATATCTTCTCACTAAAGGTTTAAGGGGAGATTTCCACAAAGCAAGACTAGTGATCTCAGAGATGATCCACTTCATCCGTCAGCTCCAGTCCTACTGTCATCTCGAAGTCATCGACTGTGGATGGCAAGAGTTCGAGAAGAAGCTGACGACCGAGGGCGGCGATCTCGACTCGCTCATCGAGGGCCATGCCGCTTACTTGGATCGGCTCGTCTCCAAAGGGTTGTTGCTTAGTACTCGCGTCGGCAAAGAGGTATGATTCCCGTTCTCTTTTGGAATTTTCGTTTTTTTGTTTTTGACGCGTTCTTCTTTTTGACAATTTTTTTTTTTGGTTTTGTTTGTTTGGCTGGCAACGATGCTCGAAAGAATACCTGTCTTTTATTGGCTGAAGCGTGTTTCAAAGTGATCCTCGAATTCAAAGATTCAATCGTTCGTCCCTCAAACTTTTTCCCGGCTTTTCTTTTTTTTGACGAGATCGAATAATAGAACTTATGCTTTGATTACAAAAGGATAATTTGTATGCCTACGGGTTATCGAAATCCGCTAGACTAGCCACTGATCAACAAGGCACGAAATCCAAGCGTCCAAAAGTACGTCAATCCCCCTCAAAGAAAAAACACACATCGATCGAAACAAAAGGGGGGTGAGGGAGGCTGATGAATTGTGATTGGGATGAGTACATAGTATGAAGATTCGGAAGAAGAAGGGGGCGGATATGATTCGGATGAGGAAAGACGAGCAGGCGAGGGCGACGAAGAGGAGCAGTCGTCGGCCGATCGGAGCAGCGAGATCCAACTGGAATCGATCCGCATCCAGCTCTCCAACCATTCCAAGAGGTTCACCGAGCTGGTCTTGGACCTGATCTCTTCGCTCTCTACCCAGCAAGACTGTGAATCTCCCTTCCCCTCTCTCTTTTGATTTCCTCCTTCACATCCATTTCATCTTCGATCTGATCTCTCTTTGTTTCTGTTTTTTTAGCCGATATGAAATTCCTGGCCGTCAGACTGAACTTCTCCCTGTTCTACATGCGCACCTCCAAGAGCTCCGCTTCGTCTTCCTTGGCCGTCCCTCCTCATCCTTCGGGCTCGAAAACCTCCGCCAATCCGATCCCTCCGACTTCCAGATCGTCGGTCAATTATGACTCCCGCGCTTCCGCCCCGCTTCACGTTCATCGGCCGTTGTCTTATCAGATCCCGAAGAGAACTAACTGATCATCCTTGATCGGTTTTCTAAAGAGATTCATGCCCGATCGAATTCATCCCCAACACCTCTCTTTTTTTTCTCTCTCTCTGACTTGGGCGTCTCAAGAAGAGCCTTTCATCATACAAGCTTTACTTTTTGCCTCCAAGTCTTCCCAAGTTTTTTTTTTCCCTTCTTTTAAGAAGATGTATTTACATAAAAAAAAAGAAACCACATTTTATACTGAACTTATGTGTGTCTATCTGCATCGCGAGAAGATAGTAAGATAAGGATATGCCAGAGAAGAAGGTTCGGATAGCCATTGCAAATGGATGAAGTGCGATGCATAAGCAGAGAGAGAAAGGGCGCACCAGAGGGCAGGGCGGGGCGAAAGAGCGCATCGAGAGAGAGCCCACGGCCGGGGAGTGCAGGGCTTGGAGTACATACAAAGACACATGTTGAAGGGGGTCGTCTCTTGGCATATCGATGGGGGCCGACTGTCTTCCTCTGGCGCACCCGGAAATCACAGCTCGCGTCGACACAGAATTCGATCTCAACAAGGTGTTGTCAGAATATGATAAATAAGTCAGTTAGTATTTTGTGAGATCTTGGGATCCTATGGACTCTTGAAGCTCGCACCGGCTGTCAGTTGATCCCAAGCCACGAGCAAGAAAGACCGATCAAGAATAGATCTCTCGACTTAAGCAACCGACGAGCTGGCAAAAACAGCCTGCAAGTCCATCGACGCTGGTTACGAAGGGGTGGAGACCCCCAAAAAACCTACCCGCCGGGGTATCCACTGCCCCCGTCAATTGCACATGCCCCCCCCCCCCCCCCCCCCTTGGTGAAATAGAAGCCTTGGAAGTTCTGCTGGAATATTGGCATGGATTTCGACTTAGAAATCTTCTGTTTTTCTGGCCGCATGAGTGATCTGATGAGCCCAGCCAAGTACAACTTACAAGCAACGAGAGTAGGCAGGGGATCATCAGTGAGAAGGGGGGAGCCAAGTGACTAGCAAGTTTATCAATATCCTTATCTCCCAAAATTGATTCCCTGGTTGTTGTGCTAAACAGAAAACAGAGCAAGCAAGAGTATGTAGGGTCTTTTGCATCTGCAATCACTTCTTGCCCCCTCAGATCAGAGCTTGTTGATAGCCGAAAAAAAAGAAACAGAAAACAGAAAACAGGAACGGAAATTACCCTGGTGGATTGGGGTCCAACGGGTTGGGGTTTTGGAACCGTGGATTGATTCCCTCGAACTTGAGACAGGAAAAACGTGTGAGGCTGTATATCACATGGATTTCGTTGTGTGTTCTTCTCCCAAAGTTATAGATTTACAAATTATCACCAAAAAAAAAAACAAAAACAATGAAAGAACTTATTCAAAAACAAAAAACGAGCAAAAATTGTGGAGGGAGTTCAATTAGTTTTATTGCTGTAATTTATCAGCAACCAGGTCGATGATTTCTTCGATTTTCTTTCCCACATTGTTCAAGTCTTTGACGGTAGCCTGCCAGACGGGACCATGATGAGGCTCCGCGGCTTTACATCTAGCAATCAAAGCATCTCGTTCCTCCTACAAGACGGTTTTGACAGTAAGTGAGAGGAACAAAAGGAGGGAAAGGATGGGGGGCTCAATTTGATTGACGTACTTGAGTTCCATGCATCTTCAAAAACTTGTAATAGATCCCAAAGAAGTCGCCACAATCAGAATCAGCAACGATCGCCTTCTCGAGCCAATTGCGAACCTTATCCAACTTTCGTTCGGCCCAGAGCAACCTAGCGACGGTGACGATGACTCGGGGATCGTTGTTACACTTCTTCAATGCGTCCGCCCCTCGAGCTTTCCTCTGAGGACGAGGCTCGTACCAGATCGATTGAGAGTAGAGCAAGCCCGAGTTCGGACAATCCTGTAAGGCTCTTGACATCATATTCCTGGCCTGGATCCCGACGGCACTGGCATTGGTACTGCTGCCCGTCGTATGTCCTCCGGCCCGCTCCTCGATCGAACAACTTTCAGACCACAGCTCCTCGTTCTTCGGGTTGTGATGTCGTGCCCGCTCCATGATGGCCCGCGCTTTGATCGTCATACCGACCCTCTCCTCTAGCCTCGAGGAAAGGATCCATAGCGGTATACATTTCGGACATTTCTTCGTCCCAATCGCATACGCCCCACGAGCACCTGAAACGTCTTCCTTCGACTCGAGGATTTGTCCCTTGATCATGTGCAGTTTCTCCGAAGATGGGAACTTGACCAAAGCTTTCTCCGTGATCTCCAGCGCTTCATCTACCGAACCGTGTTGCCGCTCGAAAACCGCATTCTTAATCCATATCTGCATCATCGAAAAGAAAAACAAATGCAAAAGAAGGTGGTCAGGAATTTTGTCAAGTGGGTCTGTATCTCACACTGAGCCTACTCCTTCACAAGCCAACATACTGAAAAAAAGAACACTTACACGTTCCGTACCAGCCACGTCTCTTGCTCTTTTCATCAATTGTTTGGCCGCTTCAATCTGGCCATTCTCCGATTCAAGCTTGACAGCGGCCAACCAGACCTGTTCGCTTTCAGGATTAGCTTCGAAGGCGTCCCCGAGGATTTTACGCGCCCCATCGACGTCGTTGTTCGTTTGCCAACATTCCTTCGCAGCCATCAACCACAAGATTTCGGAGTGAGGACAGCAATTGACAGCACGCTCCAAGAGTTGAAGCAGAGAGGTACTCGTCCCATGCGTCTTTTCCAAGTCTGCCGCCTTTCTCCAAAGCTCGGCCTTGTTGGGAAACACGTTCAGTGCGTAGGAGTATATCGAACGAGCCGTTTCTACATAGCCATTGGCTAATGAGCTCTGGGCATCCTCAATCCACACATCCCGTCGGTCTTCATCCTCTACGTCGAGATGAATGGTTGCCTTGATGATGGCCTGACAGGTAACAAGACTTTGTTGAGATTCGCATTTCTCGGCTTCTTTAATCCATTGTTCCCTCGGTAGTTCCGCGCCGTTCTTCTTGAGCGCCAATACACCCTTGCTCATCAATACTCCTATCCGATCCAATGCCTTCCCCTCTTGTTCTTCGAGCCGACATGCGGCTATCCAAATTTGATGACTGGTCGGAATCGTTTGACGAGCTTTGTTCAAAACCTGCTTGGCCCGATCGGGGCTCTCCAGCCTCGCCAATGTCAACCAAAGCTCGTCTGAGAACGGAACCACTTCTACCGCTCGTTGCAGAAGAATCCGTGCGTCTTGAGGGTTCTCCTCGAGATTAACAGCCTCTGTAGATTATCAAAGAGAAAGTGGTCAGTTGGCATTGTCTCGTGAGCTTCAAGAGTTTGACTTGTGAGAGAATAAATCAACACATACCCTTCCAAAGCTTAACAGAGGTGGGCACATATTCCAGGGCCTTGCGTAAGACCCGTTTCTTGGCAGCGATTTCGTGTTCCAGGCCGACAGCTTTGAGCCATATCTTAACTGAATGGGGGAGATGAATGACCGCATCAGCCAAGACGACTTTAGCATTCTCTTGTGTCTGTAGGGAATGGGTGAAAGGATGATGATATTTCAGTTTTTCATTCAAATTATGAGTCTTCTGATCGTAGTCGCTTACGTTAAGATTGGCATTTTCTAGCCAGGCATCCTCGCTTTGAGGGCATTCCACACAACCTTGGGCCATGATCTTACGCGCGGCGACTTGTTTTCCAGCAGCGACCTCGACTCGAGCGGCAGCGATCCAGCCGGGTGCATGTTTTGGGTTACTTTTCGTCAGACTGGCCAGTAGAGCCCGGGCTCGTTTGATGTCTCCGATCTCAGCTTCGGTCTTGAAGACGATTGAATTCATTTGGGTGAGGTATCCTTTGGGATCGATGGTAGTCGAGCCAGACACGGAATCCTTGACTTGATCCAATTTCAAACCCAGCACTTTGTCTCTTGCGGCTCCGATCTCCACAAAGTTGGTCATCACGCCTGATGTTGATGATTGTTCTCCAGCAGGGGTTATGTCCCCATTCATCTGACGATTATCCAGGCTTGTTTCGAGTCCGACCTGGTCTCGTTGACCGAGAAGTACAGAATCGGGGATCGCATAGGTACGTAGGTTCCCTTCCTTCCTCAGTTTCTTGTGACCTCTACCAGCAATATTTCCGACCTCGGGCAAGTTCTCCCATTCACTATCTGATACGCTACTGAGTGATCGTTTCAAGTCAGCAAATTGGGTTTGGATCTTTGGCCGCTCCTTTTCGAGGCGTTCCTGTTCTAACTTTTCCCGAAGCTCACGTCTGGATTGACCACGTCGCTCGAGATGTAAGTCGATCGATTCGTAAATTTTGTCGGCTTCCTCATCTTCTTGATCGTAGGGGGCGGAGGCGAATAGGTTGGTCTCGTTGTCTGGGTCCTGAAATTGTTCATCATCGCCTTGTACGGTAGCATCCTCTTCTCCTCTGGCTGCTTTGGCGGCAGCAATAGCTTCGGGTGTTGGCCCTTCTCTTGCGGGACCGATATCAGACCGAGTGGTGAATCCGGACGCCCCACGTCCTAATCCGGCCACATAGCTCGGAGGAGCTTGCATTTTGAGGAAAGCATATCTAACATGAAGTATTCCAGAAAGATAGTCAGCAATTCAAGATAGCAGTGTCTGTTTGAGATGAACTTGAGGACTTACTTATCTGCGTTTGACGGCGCCATCGTGGACTTTGGTAAGAATATACGTAATCCGTTGTGAAGTGCTCGGCTGGGCCAAAAAGTTTTGGAGAACTTCTTTGCACAGGCGGGCCTGGGATAACTCTCAAAGACTGTCACAGGCCCTTCACAGGGCTTTCACCAGCACTTCACAGGCCTCTCACAAGTCTTTCAACAGATGCTCTCCTTCACATCATCAACTCAGCAACAATTGATGAAGATTGATGTCTCTCAAGACTCACCGCAAAAAGATGCTCGACTCAAGTCATCAAGAGAGGGCGCTGAGTCTGCATCTTTGAACAACACTTTCTGCAACTTTCAAACTGGACCAAGTGAGGCGCTGTGTGCATACATTCAAGTAAATATCTATCAGGAGTTCTCAACGTCACTTGCTCAAATCATGAGAGTTACATGAGAAATCAGACCTGCCCAGAAAAATTTAAAAGAAACCACAGCCTGTTTAAAATTAAAAGAGACAGACCAGGCAGCTTTTTGTACAAAGTGTCCCACCAAAAAATGTGGGTTGCAGATTCCATGCACAATGAGGATATAACCTAGAAAATGATCTCTAATTTTCTTTCCAACAGATGTTGAGTATATGTAAAACACAGTTGAACATCATGGAACGGGCCAAGAGAAAGTTGACCCGGCCAATTAAAAGATCGACACCTTATGATCAGGACGCCCCAAAATTACCTGATGAAGCCAAAAAAACAGCGTGGTTGTAAGGCGGTATGGCGAGACATAAAATTGAAACAGCGACCTGAACTTCCATCAGTCATCTTCAAATCGCTCCGCCAGTGTTGCGTTTTTTTTTTCTTCCTTCAGACCAATAATGTAGGTGATTTCTTCACCTTTTCCTCCAGCTGTTCTAATTGTCTTATAGATTTCTCAGGGCTTGGTTTCAAGGCTCGGACAGATATCCGGTTTTGCTCGGCTAGCCATCTATCTGTATCCTATAAGATTTTAAGTACACATATACAAGAACATTTTCAATACAGACATATTCCCCCAAGTCATATTCTCTCCTGTTCGTTGGTCGGTTATACGGTTCCTTAATGGGATTATGAGTGAGGCGGTGAGATCGGCTTGAACAAGACGATCGACTCGATCACATGTTCCGAGTCGATATGTCCGATGGCCGATTCGATCTCAGAGCTAGGATTGCCATGCGATGAGGGGTAGATATTCAAGTCGAATCCGAGAGTCAGTTTTTCGACCAACTGTGAAAAAAAGAAGTGTATTCAAGAAACTCTTCATTAGATACGCTTACCTGTGAAGACCTTTCAGTTTGTTCATGTCTGAGGAGTTATAGTTCACTAGTCCACGGCCTACTGGAACCAGTTCTTCTGCAGTTTGATTTGTCTGAGAGCTTGAAGAAGTAGGGAGAGGAAGGTCCGACGACTGTTCTTGCTCGACTGATGCGGGTGGGGCGGATAGAGGAGTGAGAAAACTTCTTGGGACGAGGATAGTGACGGCCTGGGCGACGGCAAAGGTGCCGTAAACGGTGACCAGACCGGCAGGGAGTAGCCTGCCGCCGTTGGCCTCGTCACTGATTGCCTCATAGGCGCCTCTGTCGATCATCACCGAACCCTTGGGCGCCAAGCCGTGGGCGACCCAAAACTTCCGGCTGGTCAGTGGGGTCGGCCGGGGAAGGAAGACGGTGTAGTTCAATTGAGAAGGCCCCGAATCTTCAACTAGTGGAGGCACCAGTATGGCTGGGATCGCGTCGGAAGAGCTGGCTGGCTTGGATTGCAAGTCGGATATAATCGCCGCTATGTTCTGTGGCTTCGTGCCGTTACAGATTATCGTGGCTACACCTGCAGCGGTCGCCAGTTCGGCCGCGATAAGCTTGGTTTCCATCCCCCCTGTTCCCAGGGATGAGCCTAAGGTAGATGTAGATACTAAATATCAATTGAACGCACAAAAGTTAGCAATTTTGATTGTAGATGGCCTTGTCAGATCACAATTCCTCATTATGAAATGCTTAACTAACCCATTTTTCGAACCCCTTCGATATCGTAGACGACCTTGACCATTTGAGCAGATGGATTGGACCGGGGATTGGCGGTGAACAAGCAGTCGACATCGGTCATGAGGAACAGGAAATCGGCATGACACATGGCTGCAGTGACGGCGGAAAGGGTATCGTTGTCACCAAATTTGATCTCGGAGACCGAGATGGTATCGTTCTCATTGATGATCGGAATCACTCCACTGTTCAATAAGGTGCTCAGGGTGGAAGAGGCATTCAAGTACCTCGATCTCTTGTCGAATCATATTCGTTTCCGTCGAAATGCCAAACCCACTTGGATTAACTTTTTTTTTTCTTCGCGTGTTTGGGGAAATGCGTTTGACAAGGCTCACATCTGCCAAATCTCCTCGCGTTAAGAGAATCTGAGCAATCGGCTGGTTGAGACGACTAAAGAGGCTATCCCATAGTGCAATCAAATGACCCTGTCCGATCGCAGCCAACGCCTTTTAATCAATCGTCATAAACAGAGATCATTGAGATCAGCACCAATTATCACTTTGATATAAATTATGAGTAATTGAGCTTACTTGTTTCTCGTTCAATGACTTTGGTTTCTTGCCCCATTTCCCCTGCAAGCCACCATCGAGCAGCGACATTCGTCTCATTCCCATCCCGATAGCGCCGGATGAGACCAAGACGACCTTGTGTCCGATGGCTCTCAAATTGACGCATGTTTCTACCAAGTTGGCCAGCAGACCCAAGCGTGGTTGGAGGTTCTGTTCAGAAAGGATAGACGAAGTTCCTGACATACGTATCGACGCAGTAGTATAGATTAGTTATCAAATCACTGTTAACAATATTTATGAAGTTATGCCTAAAATTCACCTACCTAGTTTGATGACGATTGTCGAACCCCCGACCACGGCGTTTCCATCCTTCGAAGAGGCTCCTTGGGGCGACTTGCTCATATCCGGTTTGATGTTATGCTAGTTGGTTTAATGCTGGCTCGTCTGCCTTTGGTGGTATCTAATTTGTAGTCGTTTTTCAGTTGGCCCGTCTCCTTTGGGGCTTTGAAGAAAGCTGATGGACAAAGTCAAGAGATTGGTGAAATTGGGCTTACATAGGCTTACATGCATATTCAATCAAACCTTAATCTTACGGCTGTCCGGAATCCGGATATCGCATCTTTCCTGGGTGCTTGAACTGCTCAAGGTTGAGCATGACGAGACTAAAAGGTACATGAAGGTGACGGGCAAACTATGTAGTCAGAAAGTAGAAGGGCTAAGTACTGACTCCGAAACATGGATATTTGGATTGTCCATCATAGATGAGCAAGTCAGAAGTCGATCAGGCAAATCAAGAGGTCGTCAATCATTTGCGTGGCAAACCAATGGAAGCAGGGTATAACAAAAATGGCTGATTGGAAAAAAATCAAGGTCTGTTACACCAACACCTTGCGATAGGTATCTGAATGAGTACATAGTAAACAAAAGTTTAAACTAATTGTACATATGACACACGAGCTAAACAAATGCTATCTTCTAATACATAGAAATGAATGAAAAAAGGACAGGCAAAAGTTTATAGAATGAAGACGATTGCTTTGACGCCAAAACTGATCAAGCTACCGGCTGCCAGTCCCGAGGTGAGATAGAACGACAAACAAGTTGCTGCCACCTGTATAATGTACGAGTGTTGGGATGATGGCATCAGCTTTACTTATCCCGCCCCCCCGTTCTCCTGAAAAAAAGTAGGCCGATTACGGTATACAGAATCAAAGAGTGAAAACTCACGTCAACTTCGTTGGGTTTTAGGGTAGGTTCGATAACCCCAGCAGTCATGATGAGTGCGGATAGGTAACCATTCGAGACCGAAAAACAAACCAAAATGATCAAATAAACTAAATATATACAGACCAAAATCAGGGATCAGCTTGGACCAGAACGAGTGGGACGGCGTGCATTTGATGCGTGGTCAGGGGAGGAAGACTGGACATACCTAAATCACTCCTGAAGAAGACGATCGAACTGTAATCGACATTGCAGACCAAAAACAGAGGTATAAACACCGTCCGCATCCCACTCAACGAGTACAGGATAGTTTTCTTCTGGATCAGTCGTTGAGAGAGTCCGGGCAATAGTTGCGGCAAGATTCTGCCGGTCCAATCGCCGAGATTGAAGATGACAAAGTGGAGAGGAATGAAGATTGTTGGCTTGTACCAATTGTCCAGGAATCGAGAGCCGTTCGATGTAGTCATTAACGCGCCAATGTGCGCTCGGTCTGGGTCGTTAGACGATACGATGAATCCTGTGATCGAGGGAAACACTGCCAGGGTGATGAAGAAGTTGTAAAAGATACTCAGGCCCAGGAGCCTGATTTTTCGTTCAACCACGAAGAGATCGGGTCCGGTTGGAATAGGGAGAGGAACAGATAGGCTTTCTGACAATAGGTCAACTGAGGGAGATAATAAGGGTCGTTCGACTGAGTCCTCAGATGCTGAAGCTTGGTGCGACTTTCTTGCCGAATATTTTCGCTGGATGGCCAATTTATAAATCGGTAGTCGGAGCAAGACCAGAAAGCAGAGCAACGCAAATACAGAGAATCCAGTACACAGCGCATAGAACGTAAATGAGCTCTGTCGGATGTGTCCTGCGGTATCGCCAGGGTTTGAAGGGCCAGAAGATGAGTCGAGTTCCTTGATGTTCACCAACAGTTGAGCCACGCTAACTAGCACCCCAATCGCCCCTTGTCCAGATAGGATCGCCTGCAAGTACGTCGACCCAAACCATGCCGAAAGCCCAATGACGCTGGTTTGTAAATACGAAGATCCTAACGCTTCGGCAAGTGTCACAACAATCAAAAATCCGAAAAACCAACTGGCATCAAATAGTATGTATCGGGTGGAGATTAAGAGAATGATCGACAGTGTGGTGATGAGTAACAAGGACGTAATGATGCGAATAGTTGGGTGTTTCTGAAAATCGGTTGTGCCATTAACAATTCGCAAGATTAGAAAATGAGGCAATTGACTTGAGACCACAGTTCACGAGACATACGATATTCTGCTGGGTAGAGGTGGCACGAGACATGAAGACGACGTTGGCGATGGTGAAGACGACGGTGATCCAATTCATGTAGTTGAACTGAAACCGATGACCGGCCAAACGGGATCCGAAGTAGGTGGTCGAGACGAGCATCGAGTTCCATGGGAGTAGGAAAGAAGAACCAAGGATGAAGAAGACCAGATAGGCCAGCAGTTCCTGCGATTTGTTGGGAGCTACCCTGTGAGCCGCGTAGCTCTCGTCCTCCATTCCCGCATGTGGAACGTTAACCCGATGGCCTGATTCGGGCTCACACAAGGTGGTCGCCTCCTGACTGAAATCTACCGAGGAGGGCGAGCAATGGTTGCGATGGGTGGTGTCGCAGTGATTATCAGCTTTGCACGCTGAACTGGAAGGGGATGTTGATGATCCATGGGGTGGCCAGCAAGCAGTTTGGTCGCAGAGTATCAGGATTTGATTCGTTCTGTTCCTGAGGGGTATTGTCATCCCACTCACGTTTGGGTTGATTTTGTTGACATCCCGGCTTCAAGGTTAGCGAGGGGGTGCGGTGGCCTATTTCGAGTACATAGTTGCAAACATCATCCAAAGAATTAGCATCAGTTATTTTTATACACAGCAGGAAGCGTTAGGGGACATAGATACACATACCTTGAGATCAAACAGGTCTGGGCTTATTCTTGACTTGGTTGATGAAAGGGGAAGTTCAAGGGAAAGTTGGAAACATTGGTGTGTGGACTTGTGTGGAAATGCTTAAACCCCCGTTGTGCAGCTTGGCACATAGGCACGGGTAGTCCCAGTCACTCCCCGTCGGCGCGGGCGGTCACGGTGATCGTGGGCCGGGTGACGGAGAGACGGGGGAGTTATGCCCAGCACTTCTGCTTCTGCAGGCAAGCTTTTGCACACCACATGGATTATCGAGCAAAGCTTATGGCGGTGGACCGGATGTCCGGAAATCGTAAACTGTCTATGAGGGAGCCACATAGGGCTGTGTAGCCTACTTTGGCCGGACCAACCAGGTTAAAACGGCAGCTTGCCGACCTCCTGTTCTTTCTTTCATTCCTCGATACATCACTCTCGACGTGGACGAGTTTTTATTTTCATTGATTCCTTATACCACAAACTGCACAATTGACATGTCTCCCTTCTTAAAAGAGGTTGCCCGGGATCAAGCCTCAGAAATGTTGCCCGAGGTGGTTGATCCTATGGGTGTTGCAGGATCTGAAGCATGCACGCACGCCCTAGAATCAGATCAAACTTCTGCAGAGGGACCTTTTGTCGAGCCAGAGTTAGAGACCTTTGAACTCGAAGTGCCGACGCTATATCACGGTAAACCTCGTGCGTTTTTTTTTTGCCGGAAAAATCCAGCATTCTTCATGTTCCTTGAGCCATATTCCATCAGCCGCTATATTTCTTTCCGGGCGTCACTAACCAATCACATCACCTCAAACTGCAGCTCACAATTCAGATTCAGAAGATATACCCTCACAGGTAGCTAGTGTCGAAATTAGAGGACGATATATCCCTCATCAGCATGGCATGTGGCGATCAGAAATCAGAAAGAGGTCTTATTCCCTCGGAAATATCCCCGACAACATCTTTTCAAACTCAATTAGAAGAGCACGATCTGCTGATAGTATACAAGACCGAGTTGAAAAATTCTCAATCCTGTATCTGTCGTGGGACCTCCGAGAAGCACTAGAACAAAGGTTTCCTCACCTGTTCCCCCCTGATCCTCTTAGGTGGCAACCTCGCTTTTCTAGAGTGGTTCCACCTTCGGTCCCAGGCTTGTGTCACTTGATTGGAGATTTCACTGCAGCTAAAAACAGGTTAGGATTAAAGACGCCCACTTATATAAATTTAAGGTTGAAGCATTACTAACAAAAGGGTATGGAATATTTATCCATCATGGCCTGCATTTTTTCATCCCCAAAATTGGATTCATCATAGAATCCTGATAACAAAGACACACTGCTTGTACCCTGAAGTGTCAAATTTGATACCGTTTCCCAGCTGCTTGATAGGTGCCCAGTTTTCACCTCGCCTCAAATCGACAAAATTGCTGGGAATTCTGCATTAATGGTGATGCAAGACCTGACTCTATAGCATCATGATTTCTAAAAATAGGCTTCCGACTTGTTGTCGATTCATTTCATCCAAAATCAAGGGTCAAACACCTCAACCTATTCTTAAATCTGGCGGAGAAAGGCACTTGGGACTGGCAAGCTACCATCAAAGTAAAACATTCCACCTATCTGTTATCATTCATATGTTCCAAATTTTTTTACTTATTTGTTGATTTGAGTCCTGAATCTGCACCGGCTAACTCATCCTCTCTCATTTTTTCATTGCTCTTCTGGTTTCTCCTTATGCATCCAAAGGCAATCTTTCCGCTTGATGGTAAAATTCATGAGACTGCTGAGAGAACCCGAATTGAACGGAGGCGGGAAAAATCGATGGGGCTTCGTTTGGGAGTAGGCGAAGTAAGCCCTTACCAGTTCTGCACGAGCGTCAGCTTCTCTGACGCAAATGCTTCATTCGTCCATGGTTCAATTCTTGAAAAACAAATTCCTGCCATTTGGTCCTTGAAAATGGATTGCGTTATTGATTGGTTGACTCGACCAGTATGGCGCGGCGTCAATCAACCGCGTTCAATCGGACACGCAGGAGATTTACACCGTTCCACATGTCTCAACTTCGGGAGTCGAAACCGCGTGGCTTACCCTCACAATGACTGAAGATAAAGCCTTAAAATCTGGGGTAGCGTGCGCAATTTCATTCATTCATTCCCCCTTTTTTGCTATCCATTTCCAAAGTTGTCCAAGCCCTGGTAGCCTCACTAATCATTACTGTTTGATTCTGACATTTCCTCAACACACAAATATACATGAATGTGATGCATATTTTTTCTTTAAAAAATTGAAAGTCCTTCTATATACTTTGCTGCCCTGCTTGAGCTTCACACTCCGACAAAGGCATTTGAAGCTACACTTGAGGTCCGCACGCAGTCTCGTGAGGAGCTCCCTTTCAAATGGTGGGCGAGCCCAAAGTGAGCATCATCCAGCCATCCTTCCTTCATCCAATTGAACCCTCTCTTGTGTTTTATTAAAATAAAATCATCTCCTTTTCCAACAGGAAATGGGTGATAAAATATGATGGTAAAACTGAGTTTGGGCATTTAGACCTCAGCACATAAGTTTTCCATACAAAGGAGACATGAAAAAAGTGGTAAAGAATTGAGTTAACTTGACAACCAACAAAAATATACTTCCTCACAAGAGAAAAACTACATATGCTGATGAATTCTGAGTCCAAGCCTGCCAACTTTGATTTTTGTTTTCAATTTTTTCCCCTCTCTTTTTCAATCACAATACTTGTTGAAAAAACCAGACCTTTTCACTTCTCCATTTGTAAATAATCTGACTAAAATCAAAGACGTATCTAACAAGCACAAACCATATATATTAAAGAATTTATGAATTTTTATGGCTGTTTTTCTACCTCAAAGTAGCAACAAATAGCTTATGACATGTAGTAACACCTATATGAGTCCAATGATCAGTTTGAATCTACAGCATCTACAAAAAACTTTGTCATGGGTCAAGATGGAAAAATGACCAGGAAAATCAAACTGACAATATCTTGCCATTTGATAAGCATTTCTATATGTGCTGACATCTGCATAATCTTGGTGTAGCTTTTGAGCATGCTCCACAAAAATCAAAATAGTAGCCATACATAAATAACTTGATGCTTTCAGATGCTCAAAATGTGTGCCTGAAAAAGCAAAAACATGAACAGAAGCTTATTTCATTGCAGCTGTTACGTAAATAGTATTAGTTGTAACCTAAAATGTACTTCAATGTGGGTTTCTTTCCGCACAAAACTCTAAAATTGGTACCATTCCAACACAAAAGCTTTGTGGTTTCTACACAAAAATCTATCTTCAGCTTGGGCGGTTACACAATTTTTTCTTGGTAAACTGGGTTGAAATTTAGCTTGGCAGTAACACCAACTCAATATTCTAAGTGGGTTGGATTGCAGAAACCAAGCCTGAAATTCCTTGAATGTGACAACCATTTCTGGAATTGCTGTACATCCATGTGTCTTGGGCTGTGCAGGCTGTCATTTGCATTATATATCTCCTTCATCGGAATGCGTGCAAATTCGATGGGCTGCTAGTTCTCCTTTTGTTTGGCATTGTTGAAGCCAAATCGGAGAGCTTGTCTCCCGCAGATCCCCAGGCTGTTGCACGCGACAGGTGGCTGTGGACAGCAGTGAGGAAAACATGAACTCCGCCGGAAGTAACTGACAAACAGAGACCAGGCATAATTCGGCCGCAAGGCATGAGGTTAAAAGGGCAGCACCTTGGTCTACTCTTCTGTGTGCTTGACTGCTCAGTTAATACAGCCAATCCAGAAAAGGATGGCATCCCCTCCTCAAATGCACCAGCTAGCTTGTGTGCAGATACTACCGGTTCATGAGCCAGTAAGGTTTTGGTTTGAGCTAGAAGCTCTTATTCTCCTTCAATCCAGCAGGGCACTTAACCTTACCCAGATCACGAATAGGATGGATCTGCACAAGCGAGCTGGTGCAGTTGAGGAGAAGAGGCCATCCTTTTCTGGATTGGCTGTAATCCCTTTTGAATTTTTTTAGATTATTCATGAATTGAAACCAGTAACCCTTTTTCATTATCCGGCCACTCAGTTTTTTACTCGTGATGCATCGCTTATTGAATGTTTCCCGTGACCAAGGTCTTATAATTTCGGAGATGACTGATCACCCTGGTGTCGTATCTGAGACATCCGCTCAAGAATTACAAATCGCCTTCAAAGCAGTCACTGATGGAAGTTCCGTTGAGCTTGGGCTGGAGACGTTTGAAGTTGAAGTGCCTACGCTATACCCTATGATTGAACCTCGTGAGTTTTTCCAATGCTAAGTATTTCATTTGGGCATCCATCACGACGGGCTGCTATGATTGCCGCACCTTACTGGCATCCTTTGAGAGCTCACTACAGCTTATACTCCGATCCAAGTCTTTTCGCAGGTAGCAAAGGCCCAACTTGTGCTGCCACCAGTTGACAGTTCTAACCGTTACACCCAACACCAAATCAGAGTCAGAAAAAGATCTGACTCTGTGGATGCCGTCACCGACAGTTGGAATGCCATCAATTGGTCTCTAATTACCACACGCGAATCACAAATGACTCACAGATCATGCTCTGTTGGTTCAATACCAGAACATCAAGCCAGAGTCAAATTTCGATCTCACCACAAGATAATATACTCTCAATCGCGCCATAAAAGAATCGACCTACCCTTGGACGCCCAACGAGCGCTGTATCCTCTACCTCCACCTCGAAAGAAGCAAATGCTAGTTTCAAGTGCGCGTCACTTGATTGGCGATGTCGCTGAAGCTAAAAACAGGTCAGAATTTAAGATGCTTGGTGCCTTTAATTTTGAGCTTGAATTCACAGAATTTTGGCCAAGAAAGTATGTGTCAATTGAGTGCAGGGCTCATTGCCCATTTGGCTTCTCTTTTCCAAAATTCGATTGATCATAGATTATTGATTACCAAGACACACTGCTTGTACCCTGAGGTCTCCAATCTAATACCATTTCCCAGCTGCTTGATTGGTAATTTGTTCTCTATGCGCTTCAAATCAACTTCTAACTCGCACCGATTGTTATTAACGTAAATTGCGGGCTCACTCCCTCACATCACAAATCCTGAAAATATACATCAAATCAACGCATAGGATTTCGACTTGTTGTCCATCCGTGCCACCCAAAATCAAGGGTCAAACACCTCAGAATAAGATTGGTGTTGAGGAAAAAACATGAGAAATATGACCGCTCACTCCTGACGGTGATGGGATCACCTGTCATCAAGGTAAACTTATGAGCTATTTTTTCTTCCTATCTTTTTGACAAAGTTTTGCTAATGATCTCTGATCCACTTCAATCCCCTATCTCCACCCACTTTGAACTTTTCTGTTTCTTCTCACTTCTATACAGGCAATCTATCCGGTTGATGGTAAGATTCACGAGACTGGTAGCCGAACCTCAGTTGAAACAACGCGCCAAACTTCAGTCGGGGTTCAATTGGGAGTCGATCAAGTAAGTATAACTAGGGTTTCCGGTATTAATTCCTCTTTCCTCTCTGACATAAACGCGTCATCTGCTCTTGGGTTTGAAAATTCCACCACCAAATTTTGTCGTTCGGATCGGGGTGTTATGATTGATCCACATCATCAGTATGGCACGGCGACACTAAACCGAGCTCAATCCGTTAAACACCACGGATACACTGCTCCATATGTCTCAGCTTCGGGCGTCCATACCTCGGCGCTTGACCTCACAATGAGTGAAGATAGTTCTTTGAAAGATGGGGTAGCGTACGCAGCATTTTGTCTTTTTTTTTTTTTTTGAATGGACCGAAACAAGACTAATTTATGTGCATCCGCGTCCACTTGAATTTTTCAATAAAAAAATGTATCAGTCGCTCGTTATATTTTGCTGCCCTGCTTGAGTTTGATAGTGCGGCGGACAGGTCTTTTGAAGCTAGCTTGATGGTCGAAACGCAGTCTCAAAAGGAGTTGCCTTTCAAATTATGGTCTAGCCCAAAGTGAGTATGAATCTGATCTTATTTCTTTCCCCAGTCGAGCGCGCTGGAAATATTAATTGTTTTCCCTTGCCAACAGGACATGGGTCTTGGATTACGATGGCAAAACAGAACTGGGGCAATTAAACTTGAGCACATAAATAAGTCTTCCGTTGAGTAAGAAATCCAAACATCTCAAAAAGATCAAAAATTCTGCCGTGAAAATCATACACGAAACTGGCCCCAAAAACACGTGATGAAAATATTGCGGTCTTACTCTTGTCTCTCCGATAGAAAATCTCTCAAAAGATGTGCTTCTATTCTCTTATCAGACAGTTGTGACTATGATTGAAGCTATGGACTTGTTTTGAAGATCAATGTGTGCAGTGTAGTTCTTTCTCCTCTAAGTAGACTAGGAATAGATAATTAATCAATCATCAGCTCGAACTCATTTAAACCATTGACCACCTCCCATCTACATAGTCTCTCCAGGATATTCAGAAGCAGGGTCCCAGGGAGTAGCTTATACTCAAAGAAAGCAAGGATGGAGAAAGTAACAAGCAAAATGAATGTAACGCCGTCTCTCTGCTTGTTCGGAATTCGCCGGTGCAATCTCTGCGTGAGCCCGCAATTCTACAAGAAGCTCATTTTGCGGAAAAAATTGCAGACCCTCCTGATCATCAGGGGCTGCCGATTAAGGCACCTGTCGGTTTTGGGGGGCGCATGGTGCTTGCAAAAAAATTGATCCCCTCATGATGATTTACAGCCTTAGCCAATAAATTCATCCAATGAGACTTGTCAGTGTACGGAGTTCATCTTGGACATATAGGCGGAGGAAGAGACTCTAAAAACAAGGTGCACTTTGGATGAAGATAATGTCAATGAAGCAGGCCGAATAAATACAACAAGTTTGAATCAAGAACGTTGCGCATTGGGGACCGCATGGTTCAGCTGCCGACTTGCTATTGAGCTGCTCAACCGTCCAGAATTCGTGTTTTTGTTTGCGCCTCGGGACGAATGGTTTGTCTGAAGGATGTCCAAGAAACCCACATGACAATCATCATAAGCCAAAACATAAATGTGAATGTGACGTTGAACTACAAAAAATTTACCAACCGTGAGCAGCCTTGTCCAATCCTATAGTACCTTCTTGAATTAAGGATACATCAGACACACACTTCCCACCATTCTAACTGATAATCATTCGAGATTTGCTGTGTAGACCTGATGTTCCCAAGGAAACAGTAAATGAATTAATTGGATGAGAATGATACCCGATAATTTAATGTAGATAACAAGTGTGGTAGTATGTAGTTCTCAAGTTATATCTTATTTACTTTTTTTTGTGAAGAAATAATTAAAGGTACAAATTCAACACACAACTACAAAAAATGATGGAACAGTAAAAAAAGGAGTAAGAGAGGGAGAGAGAGAAAAGGGCAATGTTCAATTGAATAATCAGAACCATAAGATAAAATATGTAAAGCCAATGCAAATGTTTCAAAAAAAAAAGTAAGACTATTGGGGATGGAGGGCGGAGATAGGTACAAATCGGACAACCATGAATACACCCATAAAACTGAAGATTGAACAGTGAACACGAGATATCCAAAATCCACACAGGGGGGTTAAGATAAGAGAAGGCAAGTCAAGTAAAGCCGACGCCCAAAGGGTCGATATCAGCTTGTTGGGCCCTACAACTAGTCTCCTGTTGCGAAAGGGAAGAGCCGCTTTTGAAGCTCAACGGGGCCTTCTGAGTGTTGGGATCTTTGGCAGGATTAGTTGAGCTCAACAGCGTATCAATATCATCGTGAGAGATCGGGGGGAGATGTCGGGGACTGTGGGCGCGAGGCTCAAGGGTCGATAAGATCGACCGGGGCTCATCTTCCGATGAAGTTTGCCAAGGGTCATTGATGGGCAAGGAGAGGGCGCCGTGACTATGTTCGTGACTTGCTGGTCGAGCAGGGGTAGGAGAAGAATTGAGGGGCGAGGATGACGGACGAGGGTCGGGCGCAGACCAGGGATTCAGATCCGGATTGAGCGGATATTGTTGATGCTGAGGCGAGAGCGAGCGTCGATTGTTGGTGCTCGTGCTAGGAGCCGGCGATCTGGAAGGGGATTGGTGGTGGTAGACACGTGGCGAAGTGGCGGGCCCCGAGCCCCTTGCAACTTCCTCGTAGCCCTTCTTTAAGCGGTCCCATGTACTCCATCCCATGATCTTGGCTTGTTGAAAGGCGTTTTGGAATTGATCGGCGGCAGGATTCGGACTGGTCGAAAACTGTGTTTCAGAGTAACTGCTTGATAGCTGTGAACTTGTGGTGCTTGTTGCAGCATCATTAATACTAGAACTCGAGACGAAAGAACGCGTTTTCAAGTTACTGGGTAAGGTTTTTGGTGTTGATGGATCCTGTGGACCATTGGATGCTCGAAGGGGACCAGGAGGCGGACTTGCAACGGTTTCAAACGTCAAGTTTTCCAGAGTTTCGGAACATTCCGTGATTTCATCCGTCTGTGAGGACACGGGCTCGACATGGGTAAAATCTAGATTTGGACTAGGATCTGGAACTTTGGGAGGATTCATTTCTTCGTTCGGACATCCAAAGATCTCCCACCAGAATATCACATCTTTCACCTCGGGATAAAGAACGCCTTGATCTGTATTCAATCTGTTGCTTGGGTCGTCTAACGATGGATCGTATTGTGGGTTTTTGTACTTTGAAATGTCATTTGGGGGGAGGAATAATTCCCATACCGAACGTGTCAGACTTGAAGCTTTAGCCTCGATCCTCTCCTTTTCACAATCAAATAGGAACGTCCCATAATTTCCAGCGTGAAGCTCTTCATGGAGTCGTTCGAGATAACACGAGTTAAACTCAAATCGTTTTGGATATTGACATTGGAGTTGATAAACACAGTCGAGAAATTGATGGAAGACGGGTGAGGTTTCTTTGTATGCATGTGAATAGCCAACCGAGTGACCGAAGTTCAGTTGTTTCTGTATTGAAGTTACCCAGGCACCGCTCCCTGAAATGCTTTCGTCGGGATCATCTCGTGCGATATTTGAGGAGTAGTTCGAATGATTGGGCGAGTCTCCAAAACTAACTCTTTCACGCCCGGAAATGACGATCCCACTTCGATCAGAAAACTTGTGGCCAAAGCTGAGCCAATCCTTTTCCACCAGGACTGCAAAGCCTTGGAAGGTTCGGTAGTAAGGATCTAAACAAACTTGCGAAAGAGCTGATAGCTGCGATGTCCGATCCCATCCATCAGAGCAATGAATGAGCACATGTGAATTGTACACATGGACTGTCCGTGTGATGAGACTAGTGCCTTCAAGAATCGCTCCGATATGTTTTAGCCATCCGCTTCGCTTCAGTGAGTCCAATGATACAGGAGTTCCGGTCACGAATGATTCATGAATGGCTGATACAACTTTGCCCAGGGAGTCGCGCATCACATGAATGTTATCGATCCCTAGGTAGGCTTTGCGACATCCTTTATAGTACTCCATGTTTTCGGTGCCTGCTCCTTTAACCGTATTCGCCATGGCGTTGGTCGTTGGCCGGGCATCGATGATCAGATTAGAAGAGGTGGCCCCATAAACAACTTGCTGCGACGGTTGATCGCCTACGGCCACTGGACCCGTGTGAAGTGAGTGCGAGTGAAAAATTGCCTCGATCAGTTTTTCATCTTGTATGGAACGAGCGTTTTTAAATCCGACCATCGGTTGGCTAGAGCGAGTGATTGAGGACTAGTCCAGGGTCGTTGATCGTAAAGGCGGGTGTAAATATTTGGTACATCGGACTGAACGACGAGAAGAACAAAGAATAATAATAACTTACACCATTGGCCCAATGTACATAGGTTCCGATGGGAAGCCTTCCCTTACTGCGATATTTGACGGCGTAGGTGAGGGTAGTGTCACTGATTTTCGATGGGGTCAACAACACAGACGGATATGTTGAGCAAAACTAAGAAAGATGATGAAGGGGTCATTGTTTTGTTGGTGGTGGGTTCATCTCCAGGTTGGTAAATCCAAGAAAGGAACGCCGTTTTTTTTTTTGTTGACTACATGGATGATAGAAAGAACTTAGAATGGAATGTAGCGCACGTTGAAATTCTTGTTAATTGTCGTTAATCGCCAGGGGTTATTCTCAGATTTTTTGGAAGATTCGCCAATCACTTTCATCCGGGTGAATTCGGCATGAGGGTCATAAGAATCCCATCCTGGTAAGGTGGATGAGGGGTCTGTTGAGGATGGGTTTGACTTGGAGGTAGCGCCTTGCACGAATGCAAATAATTGCTCCTTTTCGCCAGGTTTTCGGTTTGAGGTTAAGGCTTTGAGGGAATCCCAGACGTCATCCAATTCATTTGGAGATGAAAACGAGAGAGTATAGAAAACAAAAGTGGCCAGTCGAATCAGGAGAGTCGGTTCTCGATGGCGTGGCAGATGTTCAACCGCTGTGAGTAAACTGTGGGCAATCTGACGGAGAAAAGGCAAAATGAGGCGAACGAGGTGAGCATTTGTTGGTCATCTTCCTGATTCTGCTCCTGAGCGCACCCAAACATCTTCAGCTTTACCGGGACTTCCAGGACTGGTGCCACACGATTTGCTCGATTCAGCATTCAGTTGGTTGCTCGGAGTTTCATCAGGACCCGAATTGAGGCTATGACTCCAAATCAAATGATGAGGTGTGATCAGGAGTGAGCCGGTGAGACCAGGTGGGTCGTTAGAGTCTTGGGTAGCGCTGGAAGAGGGGGATGGTGACCCGAACTGGTGCGAAAGTTTAGCGAGACGAACATGTTCTACCTAGAGGACAAGGTAGAAGAGTGGGGTCAATGATCGAAGCGTGAGTTCCAAGCCAGACAAGAAGGGGACAAACCTTTGGTACTTTGATGACCTCCATGGAGAATGAAGCTTTCTTTTACAAACCTCGGTGAGACTGAAGAAGTTCCGGGTTGACTTGGGAATGGATGGGTTCGGAGGAGGATGAACTTGATGAGGTAATTGGTTTTCACAGGTGTTTATCAATTTACTCTGCACAGCACCAAAACCCAAAGTCAAAGTCCAACAAAAAAAAATCAAAACTCACACATCACACTCGAATCAACAAGCCAATGGCATTAAAGGGGCACAAACAAGCAAGAACACTGAGAAACACACATGAATGTATGCACAGCCAACGAAGAAAATCCACAAAAAGGAAAGAAAAAATCCCATACCAAATTCACCAACTGGCTTCATGCATCATCAGATTCCAGAGCAACTGGGAAGCATACAAACACACCCAAATCATCCTGATGTTGGAGGTAGAATAGTGAGATTCTTTCTTCATTGGAACAACAACAACATCAGAGATCCAAACTTGAATGGCTGTGTGGTTGTTGTGAAGGATAAACATAAGAGAAGTGATGATATTCAGGATAAGCCTGACAAGCTTGTGGCTTTCCATGGAGTACTGACTCATGATCATTTGATCAGAGATTATTGGTATGAGAAAACCGCTTTTGAGTTTCTTGTAATATTTCTGAGCCTTGAGCTCTCTTGCTGTGTTCAAATTTTCACAACTAGATCAAGCACATACATAGAGGCAAGACTTCCTTTTTTGTTTTCAAGTATGAATCCATCTAACTTGAGTTGATTCTCTTTTGAGTGAGGTTTCCAAAACTTGACAAGGAATATCTGGCCTTCATGCAGAAATGATGAGCAGCAAAACTGGAAAGGATTGTTTACATCAATACTCCTGTTGGAATTTCATCTTCTTATGTACTCAGCCAGCCCTCCTTTGCCTCTCTTCTTTCTATTTCTTCTTGATAAGGTTTAACTTGAACTCTACAGATCTACACCCTCATTGCCTGAATTCGTCTCCTTTATAGTCTGTCATGATCTCTTAGTCTATGAACCCTGTCTGAGGAGGGTCCATCTTCTCTCATGAAGTCTTGCTTACATGTTGGTGTCTTTTGCCATACCTGATTGTTCTTCATTTTTTTCCCCTTTACAATCTATGCATTATGCATTGTCTCAACCACATTTTTACCTCTTGTTATAACTTATATCTAGCAATTTGAAGTGCTTGATCTTATTCATTTCAAGGCAAGCAAAACGTACAGACAATTGAGGAAAAAGTTAGTCCAGACCTGGCATAATGCCACTATGCCTATACACTACTTGCCCAAAAAAGGCTCCCCCTAAAATGAGAAGGCTCTCTTCATGCAATCAGTACACTCTGAAGTACTCTTCCCACACCCCCCACCTTCCACAACAGTGGCACTCAAAACAGCCAGATCCTCATCCAGCATAGCATTTCTTGCTTCTAATTGTGGGCAATTCTTGCTTGCACCAACATGTACATATGTGACATCCAGGCTGAAATCTAGCCCCACGGCCACAGCAGTGCCGCGGTCCCTTGCTAGAGATGAACATTTTTGTTTCTTCCAAGAAGCTATCATCAACCCCGCTGATATCCGAGCCTCTCAGTCAGACCAGTAAAGGGACAGATGAGAAGACCCAAATTACAGACCAAAAATGAAACAAGCATTTCAAGTGGTCCTCGTTTGAATCATCCTTGTATGAAAAATATGAGAGAGATCGAGAAGGACAGAAATGAGGAGAGCAAGAGAAACAAGGGTGCCTGGTTTAGTGGACAAGATGGAAGATGTTCACACGTTAACCCCTGATGTAGCAAATAGCACTGCTTATAAAAAAGTGTTGTCTATGTAAGATGGGGGCATCAAGTGATGAAGAAATGAGTCAAATGATCGCCAGGTGGGTAAGAGAGACCTTGTCTAGTGAGTGTAAAAAAGACACAGAGATGATGGCTCGTCGAGCTAGACGGGCTCAAGGTGGCAAAGATTTTTTTTGAAAAAAAAGTAGTGGGATAAGCCTGGTCGCGTCGTAAGATGATCGCGAAGTTGGTCTTGGATTACTTTTGCATTTTAGTCTAGTAAACGGGCAAGGGCAAAAATACGATTTGGCAATAATGGACCCCAAAGAGATGAAGAAAAAGAGAGAAGAAGAAGTCGACAGGAGGAGCATTTAGAGGACCTGCAAAGAATGGGTCCTACTACCCAAGTACGTAATCTTTGATCTAGAAACAGGAGTGCGGTCAGGAGAGATCTAAGTCGGAGGACATCGAGAGAGAGAGAGGGGGGGGGGGGACAAAGTTCGTAGACGACATGAGGGGCTCATAAGCGGTGTACGACGAAAAAGATGCTGGTGCAGGGAAGATCGGGGTATCGAGATGAGAGAGAAGTGTGTTTTTTTGGTTTGTTTTCAAGGAGATCAAGCTTCGAAGGGGAACGGATGAACAAAGATGGGGGGGGGGAAGAAAGGTTACACTCAGAAAAGAGAAAAATGAGGCAGTAATCGTGAAAGGATAATTAAGAGAAGGTATAGAATAGGAAACCCAAGTACGGATAAGGGGCTGCTCTAGTTGGAGATTGTCGTCCCATCAGAATTTGAGCTGCTTTGGTTGTTCCCATGGATAGTTAGGGTTTCCGAAGTGGCCATAGGCAGCGGTTTGAGTGTAGATGGGTCTTTGCAGACCTAGCTCTTTCACTAAATAGTTTATCAGAGGGGTCAGCAACCAAGCGGATCGCAGGAGTGAGGATTAGACTACTTACCAACAACACCGGGTCTCAAATCGAAGTTGCAGCGGATGATGTCGACTAGCTCGGCGTCGGTGAATCCCTTGGATGTCCCATAGGAGTCCACATGGATACTGAGCGGCTCGGCGACTCCGATGGCGTAGGACAATTGGACCAAGATCCGTCGGGCCAATCCGGCGGCGATGATGGATTTGGCAATCCATCGGGCCAGGTAGGCTCCTGATCGGTCGACCTTCGACCAGTCTTTCCCGGAGAAAGCGCCTCCACCGTGGGCACCCCATCCTCCGTATGCTGTGTAAAAAACATTTCGATGGCTTAGCTAAATCAGGCAGGTAGAGAACATGTCAGATGAGAGGGCTCACAGTCGACGATGATCTTTCGACCTGTCAGTCCGGCATCACCCTGAGGACCACCGATAACGAACCTCCCGGCAGGTTGGATGTGGTAGATGGTTTGGTCGTCGAGCAAATGGCAAGGGATGACCTGCTTGACGATCTTTTCCATGACAGCTTCTCGGAGGTCTTCGGTGGAGATCTCTTCGGCATGCTGGGTAGAAACGACGATGGTGTCGACTCGGATCGGCACGACTGCCCCGGTATCTTTTTCCTTCTTGTACTCGATCGTGACTTGAGTCTTGGAGTCCGGACGGAGCCAGTTGAGTCCACCCTCCTTCCGCCTCTCTTCGGCCAGTTTGGCGTTGAGTTGGTGGGCCAGGACAAGCGTCAGGGGCATCAGCTCGGCGGTTTCGTCGGTGGCATAGCCGAACATGATACCCTGGTCTCCGGCACCATGGTTTTCGAGACTTCCGTGATCCAAACCCTGTGCGATATCAGGAGATTGCTGTTCGATGGCCACGAGGACGTTACAAGTCTTGTAGTCGAATCCCTTGTCGGAATGGTCGTATCCGATTCGCTTGATGGTCTCACGAATCACTTTCTGGAAGTCGATTGGCGATCGAGTCGTGATCTCACCGAAGACCATGATCTGTAGGGTGAAGGGAGCTTGTTAGAGAGAAGTATTCCGTCTGCTCCCATAATTGTTTCTGCAAGTGAGAGGAAAAAAACAAACCATTCCGGTCTTACTGGCGGTCTCACAGGCGACCTTGGACCATGGGTCATCTTTGAGGCATGCATCTAGAATTGCATCAGAAACCTGCGATTTGACGGACGATGAAAGAGTTAGAAAATCAAGAATCGCTTGGTAAACAGTATGTCCAAGGCTTTCCGAGGGGAAAAGAAGTGATCGGGGAGGAAGGGAGGTGGGGACGGATGTTTGATCGGTGGTTTATGTAATGACGTCGAAGCGACTGACCTGATCACAGATTTTATCCGGGTGGCCTTCACCGACCTGAAAGCGATCGAAAGGGGGGGGAAAGAGAAGTATTTGGTCTGGTCAGGGGTGTCTATAAGCGGAAAGAAGCAGGAGGAGAACAACTCACAGATTCTGAGGTGAAGAGAAAGTGACCCTCGGGCAGGGTAGGCTTGCTAGAAAGCACTGAGTTGGCGGCAGGCATGATGACGGGCTGGGGAGAAAGACGTTCGACTGGTTGAGGAGACGCGTGAAGTGGTTGGGGCTGACTCTGAAAGGGTAAGAGGCAAGTCAAGTCAACAGACAGTATAGGAATGGCAAGAGTCTTCAGTGGTAACAATATCGCAGTGGTTATCTTTCAAGAAGTTTATTATCTCTTGATGAGTCAACAAATCTCCTTCAAAAAAAGAAAATAAAAATAAAAAAAAGCTTGTCTGTCGGACTATGCAGCTTCAGATGGTCGAAGTTGTGGTTTTCCTGTCCAGAAGGAATCTCGCGCATTCATTTTCACCCTGGTCCGGTCCGGAATGGGCAGACAAGTTACAGAAAACTGTGCCAGGCCGAGTTGCAGAGACTGTAAAGTTACAGAATGCAGCTGGGTTCGGACCATCTCAGTCTCTGCTGACATCTCGCGTTCCATGCATCTCTGCAATCGGCCTCCTATGAACGCGCCGGACCACGTGCCGATAATCTCCGCCAAGAAAATAGGAGCAAGCTCTCGGGAACCGCATGGGAACCATTAGACATGTGCACAGCGACATATATTTATGTACCCAGGATTGACGGCAGTGGCTTCCCTCACCGTTGTCTTCGTGTTCGTGCAGTTTTTAATGTTCAAGAGGACGGTTGGGAGATAGCAAGTACCAAGGCAAGAGTCATTCGAATCGACTTACATGATGAAGTTTCCTGAGTTCTCGTCTATTTATTTCCTTTGAAGCTGGGTGTCTAGCTGGAAGGACTCTATGGGGTGAAAGTGGAGTGTTAGCCCAAGGTCGAGTTTCTTTGTCGTTCTTTGTGTGTTGGATGATGATTGTCGAGTGAGTGGGCAGAAGATCCAAAGAAGGCGCTTCTTATAAGGAAGGGTCCAAAGCGACTACTGCCCACACAGACCACAGGGTTGCGTGCTTGAGGATCCAAATTGGCTGGTCCAGCTGTGCCGATGGTGCAATCGCAGAGCCGCAGAGAGTCAGATCGAACCTGTTCAGATCAATCAGAACTTGGCTCTCTGCTTGCTTCCTATGTATGTACAATATCAACAGACTTGGATCCCCTTCCAGCCGAGGACCATCCATCCGAAAAAGAAAAAAAGAAGAAGAAAGCGAAAAAATTGTGGAGCTGCTGCAACATATCCCCAATGACCAGCCTTCGATCCTTTCCACTTCCAGCTCTGTGCAGGGCAGGCAAACTCAGCTTGCCTGCGTAAACAGTGGTTCTCGTTCCGCCAGAGGATGCGCTGCCTAGCCAGATGCATCCAGCAACAGAGCCGACCGGAAGGAAGACACGAAAGGAAGACCCATCTGGTCCCAGCAAAGCGACTTTTCCGCGGGGCCATCAGGTATTGCCTTAATACTAGAAGACGTACTGTCGACGCATCATCACCATCAGGAATGGAGGACCGTGATTGGTCGAAATTTGGGATTAAGCATCGAGCCGACCGCCCATGTTCGACACCAGTCCATGAGGATGGATCTTCATAGTCGATCACTGCCGAATCCCGACCGGAAAGCTTGCAGTTTTCGGCCGCATGATCTCTGCTTGCCTGCGACACCACGTAAAGGGATGTGTGTGTTTGTCACCAACTGCAAACTGACACCGCAAGGGAACGCTTACAAAACGATCGTCCGGCGCACGTCTGGTCCATAAATGGCACCCAGATCAAGGCTGGTGGATGCAGAGAATTGATTGATACAGCACATGTTCAAGTCTGATTTAGAAATCTGTCTTCTTTGGGGCAACTGTTTTTTTTTTGGCTCGAGGTTGATTGGAAGAAAGCCGTGAAGGAAGTGGGAATAAGGCTTCAAGTTCCAGCTGTCATGCTTCTTTACATGCCTTGGGTTTGGCAACTTGCTAGCTGACAGTCCGAGCAATGCCCACTTAGGCTGCAGATATTGCAGACTGCTCTTACATATTATCTCCTTGTGTTTACATTTATTAACGGGTCGATGATTTGTTATAAAACAGTTACCTAGCAGTAGTCACGCTCTTTTGTTACCAAACTCTCAATCAATTAGATATTCTGCAAAACACTATTGCTTATGTTCTATAAATACCGGTTGTACTTTCTGCCTCTTATGTTCCCTCAAGAGACTCATATCTTGTTATTAATTTATTTCTCATAGCAAAAAACCTCTCAGTATTACCGTCTCAAAAGCATAACTGAAAAGTTTCAGTTCTCTGAAATTACAGAATAGTCTCCGTTAAGAAAGTCTCAAAAGTTCGGCAAAAGTTGCCATATTCTTTACCCAAATCATGACTAGCTAATTGATGATCTATTAGCGGGGTTCACATTTGAATTTTTTGCTTCTGACCCTACTTAAAATTTGCTTCGTTTTATCATAAAATTGAGAACTTGCTGAGCCCCCTCTGGACACAACAACTCAAATAGGTGCTAAATCATCTGAAAACCTAAATTGGTGTTGATATGCTCGGACTTGGGCTTTCTGAGGAGTGTGAGATTGGATCAGATCCCAAATCATCTGACACCTGGACGGTGTGTGCATTACTACTACTAGGATTGGAAAGCTCATGCTCCTCAGTTCTTTTGAGGCCAACAAGAAAAACGAAGTTCAGCCAGGTAAAGGTTTTTTTTTTTTTGGTTGTAGACTTGCTTGACTTACGGCATCGACGTTTCCGATGATCTCGACAGTTGCATATATCTTCCGGGTATTCTACTGTGACGAGAAGTAGCCGTCCGCATCCCCTCCATGGCATTAGACGCGGTCTCCCTTATTCTTTCCGCGGCAGTGGAACGAACCGCTTCGATTTTTCCATGGGCAGCGGTACCGAAGACTCTGATTGATTGGTTGGCAGTGAGACCTGCCTGTTTTATCGATTCTCCGGCTCTGGGGAGATTATCTTGCATCCATTTGACGCCATTCACACCAGCCTTGTAAATCAACTGACCGCAGGTATCGACAATGGCCAGACAACAACCCAACCCGACGAGCGAACCGACCGGACATCCAAAGCACATGGCCAGTTGGCATACACACTCGTAGGGAGTATCACATGTGCAGCAACAGGGAAATTCAGTAAGATTGACGAATGGCGTCGAGTATATCAAGTAATCGTTCTCGTCAAATATGTCAACCCTTCCATACATGTATCTCAGAGTATTTTGGGGTTTGAGCATATCGTAAAACTCATTATGTTCGTCGTTTAGCTTATAGCGGTATCCACCCCTTGCATGTTTCTTCAAAAAATCTTCAATGATCATTTTTTCCTCTGGGCTTGCTTTCCTAACCTTATTGCCGCTACTGTCTATCTTGTCGGGAACTTTTTTCATCACCATCTGCTTGGGTGGCACTGGAACGTCTAACAATTTGCGGTGGCGTAGTTGATTATTGTGGTCTAGTGTGAATTGGACGTATACTTCAGGATATGGAGCATCCTTTATGGGATCGAGGTGCGTTGGAACGGCAACAAGTCCGACGGGGGAAGCCCAGGAATATCTTAAAGCAGAGTATGCGAGAAAGAAGATAGAAAACCTGAACATAGCAGTGGCTCGAAATCCAAGAATGAAAGATTCGATCCTCCTAGGGTGTTGGTTGAGAAGAGGTTTGGAAGTCGCTTGTGAAAGTAGCGTTTAGGTGGACATGGCGAAAAAAAAAAAAAAAACTAAGCAAACCTGTGATCAAATAGCCATCCAGAGTGAAGCTCGCCGGGAGTCGGACAAACCGCTCCTTAGCAATCCTGAGACATGCATCGCTCAAACCATCTCCACAACCTCCACTCACTGAGGCATCTCTGTAAGATCATATTGCTGACGAGCCCAGGCCGAGCTGCGATGGTGCAGGAGATGAAAAGCTGCCGTCGCTCAGTGGCTGCTGCATTGCATCGGAAAACGGGGTCAGAAAGATTGTAGTAGTGCAGTCAATGTACAATATTTTATACTTCGGACTGTCGTCGCTAGACCTCCAACTGCCCCCCCCCCCCACTTTATATGAAGTTCAATGTTGTTGGAGATGGAGAAATCGTGCATATCATAATCTTGTCTATATTTGTCCCTCAACAAGTGCCGGAGCAGATGTCAGGGTAATTTAAGGGACGAATGCAGTCGGGAAACACACCTATGAATAGTCATCGCAGCTGTTCGCAAGTATCAAGTTCCTGAGCCATCAGGAGCTGAACTCCGCCGGGACGAGGGCGATATTTGTGGGGCCAGACACTCATGAGACAAGCCTCGGTGATATTAGTCTGCTTGGCAAGCATCGTCATCGCTAACTCCAGCTCTCGCAGCGCCATATAAATTGATATAATCCAGGACTGAGTTGCGGCTGTGCGGAAAAAGTTGTGTTACCTCCGGCACTCCGGCACCAAGTTGCCGATACAGAAGCAGGTATCAGAAAGATTGTGTGTCAATGGTGGGGGAACCCGAAGAGGTTTGTACTTTGGTTGATATCTATGTAAAATATGTTGGATGGAGTGTAATCAACTTGCGTGATTTTGATTTCGATCCGGAGGTCGCGTCGAGGGGCGGAATATAGTCAACAGTTTGGCCGGCTGATGGATGGATGGGTTGGGGGGTTGGATGGTGCTCAGGAAATCAGAACACACACTAGGCCTTCGATGGAAAAACTTGCAAGAAGAGGGCAAAATAGACATATCCATTCGCTCAGCCTCAAGGCGTCAAGATCAATTGTAAAATGTGTAAGATAATCGAAACCTAAAATCTTCTCAACGATATTTGACTTTGATGACACTGCGGGGAATGTCGTGTTGTAGAGGTGTATCTCTAACTTTTCAAATAGCATAGAAAAAGAGCACCCCTACATAAATATTTGATCTTCCGGCAAAACCGAGCTAGATTTCACACTGCATTGGCTTTTTGGAGTTTTCAAATGATTTGAAGTTTATATTGCATCATTTTCTTTGATGAAAGATGAAACTTCTACCCAAAGAAAAGAAGAAAAAAACCAAAGTGTTGGGAGTGTTGGTACAGAAAAGAAAAGAAACAAACATCTTAAAGAGTAGAAGGGAACAGAAAAAGAAGAAAAGAAAGGTCTTCCATCAAAAGATCATAGGTGAAGCAAATGGAGCCCGAGTATCTACGCATATAAAAGTCACATTTTTTTGGTGTTTGTTTAGGGCAGTAAGGAGGGAAGGAGAATTTTCGATATGAATTTGAATGATCACCACAATGGCAAGGGATGACCTGCTTGACGATCTTTTGCATGACGGCTTCTCGGAGGTCTTCGGTGGAGATCTCTTCGGCATGCTGGGTAGAAACGACGATGGTGTCGACTCGGATCGGCGCGACTGCGCCGGTATCCTTCTCCTTCTTGTACTCGATCGTGACTTGAGTCTTTGAGTCCGGACGGAGCCAGTTGGGTCCCCCCCTTCTTCCGCCTCTCCTCGGCCAGTTTGGCGTTGAGTCGGTGGGCCAAGACAAGCGTGAGGGGCATCAGCTCAGCGGTTTCGTCGGCGGCATAGCCGAACATGATATGTACCCTGGTCTCCAGCACCATGCTTTTCGAGACTTCCGTGATCTAAACCCTGCGCGATATCAGGAGATTGCTGTTCGATGGCCACGAGGACGATACAAGTCTTGTAGTCGAATCCCTTTTTTTCTTTTTTTTTAAGAAGTGCAGGTCGGAATGGTCGCATCCGATTCGCTTGATAGTCTCAATCACTTTCATCGGCGATCGAGTCGTGATCTCACCGAAAACCATGATCTGTACGGCAAAGGGATACCTGCCAGTTCTTACTTAGACCTACAGACTCAACCAGATGCCCCTTGCTTTTCAATATTGCCTGTTTGCAATATTAAGAGTTGGTGCTTTGGCTACAGTATCTTCGATGTCTTGAGACATAAATATAAGGGAATATGATGCTTTTTTGGCAATCAAGCAGTCGGTTTTCTTTCCTTTCCCTTTCATACCTAACAAGAAACAATTCTTTCTTCCTAGGCGAGTTTACCTCTTTGGGCTACTGCTGTTATGTCACGTTGCAATGGTCACTCAAGCCAGACAACGTCTCTTCATGAAGCATACATGGTAAGGAACAAGGAGTATCCGTGGTCGCCCAGTGCGCAACATGAAGAGAATCGATTCTCAATCTGAAGTTGATGGAAAACAACTAACTCTGTAGTGTAATGATTTCTGAACGTGCCAAGTCATAAGATTTCAAACGAAAGATCAAAAAGAAGGTAAGCTAACAAAAGACAGTAAAGTCGCTCAAACATGTTTTTTGCCGGAAATTCTTAGGCCTAGCTAGAGAGAAGAACAGATAGTTAAGTAAGGTCCACACTGAGGATTATAGAAAATCAATTTCTTTAAAAAGAGAATTATAAAAAAAAGATCCAGATAAAATAAGGTCGGTCTTCTTGACACGACCAGAGGTTAGAAATAGCCAAAAAAAGTAATAGGTTGATGCAATCCGAATATGTTGATTATGCTTGTTACGACAAGCGATTCAAATCACGAGGGCGCTTGGCCCGGACGAAAATCAGAGGAGATTGGGGATAGCCGCTTGTTTGGGCTGTTGGTCAAGAGAACCTGGTTTTGGCTTCTGGTCGGAAGAATCTTGTCCTGGCTTCTGGTCGGAAGACCCTTCTTCGGGCTTCTGTTCCGAAGACTCTTGCTCGGGCTTCTGTTCCGAAGACTCTTTCTCGGGCTTCTGGCCGTAAGAATCTTGTTCGGGCTTCTGGTCGGAAGATTCGATGTGCTTGGTCTTCTTGGGGAAGTAAGGTTGGACGCTGTTGAAGTTTGGCTGATCAACCCATTCCTCCTGTGATGACAACCACAAATGAACAGAGTACACATCAATAAACCATCATCAAGCAGAGTGATGAAGCACATAGAAAGGGACGTACTGCGCAATGGGAGCTGTCGGCCTCTCCTTCTTTGATCAAGGACCAAGGAGCACTCTAAAAAAACGGGGGAAGAAAGGTCAGTGCGTGTCGGCAGTACAATGGCCATGTGGTCCATGTGATGCAAAACTTACCTGATCGAAAGCGCCGGCACCATACATGACGAAACCAGCGAGAGAGGGGTATGACTATTTTCGGGACGCACAAATGGTTAGTCGAGTGGCATGGAAACTGGGGCCCAACAAGCTAGAAACATACCTTGGAAACTACCTTCGCAAACTTGACAAGTGTTCGCGTGCATGAAGGGTCGCTACCACCAGCAAGCGTTCCGACGATTGCTTGCCTTTTGTGTTCTTTAAGGATTTTGATAACAGGATCAACAATGTCCGATACATCAACGCCTTGGCATCGCTGAGACTTGGCATTCTTCGGTCCCAATGTCTGAAAAAATGGAGGTAATGTATCAGCTCAGTCGATAGTTAGTTTGAGTTCAAGTACCATCAATCATCATGGCGCTTACCTGGGCAAGATCGAAAACGATGCCATCGGTGGTCCCATCAGGGTTTTGGATGTGTTGCATTCTTTCGAAATCTTTGGGGAAATCCCTGAAGGTGTTGAAAGTGGTGCCGTTGGAAGGTGCAAAGGATGGCAAGATGATGGCGTTTTGCGCCCCGCTCTTTCGGATGCTCGTAACGGCGGCTTGAATGGTCTCATTCCACTTTCTTGGAATCACTAGAGATTGAAAAACAAATTGGACAGATGAGTATCGGTGGATTCAGATAGTGGGCTATTGGGGTATATGGACTCACCGCCACCCTGAGGGATTGACAACAAATGAAAGATTACTCGTCGGTCGTGTTGGAAATGCGCGGCCATCTTTCCCCAGAACTCGACGAAAGAAGCGTTGGCGACATCCTTGATGAGAGGGCCATCCTTGTGGACGGTAACATTCGATGTGAAGTTGCTAAATTGGACAGCAGACATCGAGAGAGAGACTACGGCTGCCGCATTTCGCGAAGTGACGGTGGCTACGACATCAGTGTAAACTTCTAGCTTGGTGACATTGTGCTTTATTGTTGTTGAGATTTGCGCAATGGGCAATAAGAGTCAGTCACCATTGATCGCGCATGATTCTGAAGATTCTGAAGAGGTATGTACGGTCGCATACCTGGAGGGTCTCCCATGAAAGAGGGAGCTTGATCAAGCTGACATCACGGTCTTCCAAGTAATGAATAGCTTGGTCGAAATCAGGTAGAGTGAAAGGATTGGCGGCCTCGGTGTTGCTGGGGGCTTTGGACACGGTCTGGCTCGTGATGTTTGATCCAAATTCCATGCCGGATAGAGTGACACCAGCGAATGCTGGAAGTTTAGGAATTCGGAGCGGTGCCGGTGATAACGGCTTTAGCTTGTCGTTGCTAATGGCCAATCCCGCTACCTGGTTGGCCAGCGCTAGCGCACAAGCGGCAACCAAAACTTGATAGAGCTTGCACGTCATGTCGTTGTTCGAACAGTTAAAGATTGGATGGCGACGTTAATATGTACGGGGAGAAAGAGAAACTTGGTGTCTCCTATAAAATTTATCTGGGGATGAGGCGGCACTAGAAATGAGAGACGTTGAACTTTGGTGTTGGGTGCCGGAACTGTCTGATTGGAGAGCCGACCAGAGATCTCTTTATATGCCTGCCTCCGAGCGGTGTATGTATGTGGGTGCTTTTTGGGAAGAAGTGGTAATATACAGCGCACGACATGCGAATATGTTGCGTCTTACATAACGCCACCAGTAGGTACACAAGCTGCTAAAAGAACCATACAACACCTTCCAACATTCCGCGATGTCGAAACAGGCAAAACAGACAGAGCGCCGGTGGTGGTGGATGGTTGGACTTGGTCTTGTGGGGATAAATGCAACCAAAAACCCCAATCAATCTGAATGTGGATGTGGAGATATAGGGCTGCCGACCCGAGCCTCCGATATGTCCATAGACAGGCTGGAAGATGTGAGAGTAACAACGCCCAACCCTTTGCCCCTAGCGGTTGCGCTCTAATGAAGAAGAAAATTGAAACTCGAGGTGGTCATAAAATATGCCGGGCTCATGACGAGGATACATACATGGGCTGAGGTTAGTATTGAAAAGGCCTGACCAGCACCTTGGGAGTGCCCTGCCGATAGCAGACCCATGGTGTCCGAACTAGTTGTTACATTTTTTGTTGTCATCGGAGTCTCGGAGGACGGGCTCATCACGAAGTTACCTCCAAGACTAGAGGCTTCGCCATCCCAATTGGTGCTTTGGACTGCACCCTATGTATTTTACAGGTTCTTTAAACCTTTTAATCTGACGTGCTTTTGGCCTTCTATGTGGTCGTCACACCATCTCCCATCGAGTTCTTGATCACGACCAAGTTCGCGATATAGGATTGCATGTACCGTGCACACTGGATTATTCATTACAGTAGGCCTTTGTAATAATGTATGCCAGGCGAACCACTTAATAATTGAAGCCTCACCCATTCAACTTCCTCTTTTTAAAAAGGCTACACAGTGCTACACAGTGCTGTTAAGGCTGGCGCTACATTTTATTGTAACGTGCTACCAGCCCCGAGAAGCTCGTGTTCCGCCGGCAAGCGAATATGTATGTAAATACATGTGCAGTCAGGTCAGCGTGCCAGTTGGAATTTGAGCCTCAGTGGACACCGGAAATCATTGACCTGTGCCAGTGAAGACGCACTTTGATAGACTTTGATGAGGTTCATTTGCTGACAGTCCATATTTGCACACCGGGTTCGCGGCAGACACACGGGGTGGAAGAAACACGTGGATCAGGCAATCCACCTCGGGAGTCGGATCACGGTTGCAGCGCGTTATGTTGAGACTTGAGCCGCAATATCAGGTGTCAACCAATATGCACACCTACCCGAAGTCGCAGCACGATTGGTGTATAATTTTGGTTCCGATCCGGAATGATGACTTGAAGTTGAAGTAGTGAATGCGGTGGTTGTTCGTCCTGTCCCCGGCCACTGGGCCAGTGGCTCGCCAAGAAGGAGTCATTTTCGACGAGCTGCTACAACAGGCGCCAGCTTGCCGAGCAAAAAATTATACTGGACGAGGGGTACATCGAGAATTACCAGCTCGCCGGAAATGATTACTCTTCGGCGAGCGTATAGTAATATATAAAATGCACAGGCCTCCCCGACGAGTAGCCAGAAGATTTTTCTCAAGAATGGATGCGGACTAGTCAAACGGTCATTTCTATTCCGGTTAAGCCTGGTTCCACATTTCCACTGCACAAAGGGTTTTCTGAGGTGGCCGAGCGAATTACAGCGACGCAACGATACGCGACGACCCCCAGTGATCCTCATTGATCGGGACCGAAACTTGATGCCGTGAAGCGCAGGGTCACGGGTGGCGCTCATCTCATCATTTCCGAGAGCAATTTAACCCCAATTTCCCCGAACTTAACTTGAAGCCGCCGCCCTCTCCATTTTCGCTTGGGGGGGACCGCTAGCCGAAAGGGATCCGGCGAGCAGGGCTTATACCATATCGCTGTGAGGGAATCCCCCGTGGCGGACTGATGCAGAGGCACCATCCACCGAGGCAAATCCTATAGATGGTGAGAATGATCACTAGGCTCCCACTGTTATATAAAACACCTTCATGAAACATATCATGAGGCATGCAGAAATGTTTTGGGCGAGATACCGACTCTGAGCCAGAAAACCAAAAAATAATCTAGCACGATTGCTCTGAAAGCCCCCAAACCGAGTAACAGAGTCTGTATATCGGACTGCAGACTTGCTTTGCAAGGGCCATTATATGATGCCCAGACGGATTACCCTTATTCCTCCGCAGCCTCCCCTTCATGCTCACTCGTTACCTTTCAATCCCTCGATCTTTCACTCCAGCAAGCCGCAAGTATCATGCATTTTGCCCATAAGGTTTCCTCATGGAGTCTGTGCCTTGCGACGTGCGCTACAGCAACTTTGGCCTCCATCGCTGTTCCCGCCTCCTCAGCTTCGGTCAAACCTCAGACAGTTGTCGGGCCTCAAATTTCATCGACACCGTCCCCTGCAGTCAACTCACAAGGTGCTCTTCCCGCACCAATCCCAGCCGCGAATCTTCCCTGTGTCGCTCAGAATCTAACGGCAGATACTTGGAATCGTCTAAAAATTGACAAGTATCTGGCGGAGTATCCCGGCGGTCATACCCTCTCACTAGAAGTAAGTGGCTGCAAACATTGTCCGCGCTATGGATCAGGCAAAAAGTTTTCTGTTCTTTTTTATCATCACTTCATCATGGTTATTGCGGGGTGCCTAATGACCGGCATGGATGGGTGTCTTTAGCAATACGCAGATTCAACAGGCGCCCAAAATTTCCGATGCGGGATTGAGGAATACTGCACCAGTGGTCAAATATGCAATCCTGTTGCTGCCCCAGACTGGTATGTACTGGTAGCCGCCCAGGAGTGGAACAATTGCATGAACTCTGTCTTCAAGGCTGTTCATTTCTCAGTTACCACCGTCCAAGGTCAGATTCCCAGCCGTCTCATATGCCATTGAACTTGACAACAAACCGCTCACCGTGCTTGATGTCTCTGACTTGATTATGATCGTCCCACCCTCGTGCTTCGGCTGATCGCAGGCATGATAACCCTGATGGTCACAGGCTTGTAAGTTGGGCCAATCTATGGCGTTTCTCAAAGTTTGGTCTTCTGACAACCAAGCTGACAATTCCACATTGCTCTGATCGTCTTTCACAGAGCCGAGCAGAATATTCAAGCCCATGAGATTGCTTTTGGCATAGGCGCTATGACAGCTTTACTAACTTCTGCAGCTGCAATCGTGGGCATTGGAGCGGCAGCACTATTCCTGGCCGGCTTTATTGGCGCGTTGGCCCCGATCGCCGCGGCTGCCGGATACACCGTAGTAGTGGCAGCTCCAACCGCACTTACAGGTTTTGCAGCAAGCTCACTCTTGGCCAACAAACCGTCAGACAAGAAGAGTTTCATCAAGGTTTGGACCACAATTAGCTATATCGTATATCTATGCGCTTGGGTAACTAACACCCATCCTTACTGTTTTTAATAGTGGGCATCTGTCGGCAATCTGTTTTCGCAATGGGAAATCCACATGCAATCTATGATCACCAATACCACTCAAACCGTCATCAGCTCCCCTATCAGCTCGAACACTGGAATCAGTAGTGTACTGCGAAACGGGGCCTTCTTGTTTGAGAGCCAAACGAAGTCGACCTCCGACCTACAAACCGATTATGAAACGGTTTTACAAGCCAGGTCCCTCAACTTGGTTCTACGAGCCATGGTCAGTAATTCCCTCTGACTAGCACCACCAGATCAGTTACTGAATAACACATTTACCCTCCTCTGTCCAATAGGGAGCTTTTGTAACCAGAGGCAGTGTTAGCAATCTTACCAACTATGCGTGGATTAAGCTACATGCTTCAGCCCTTGAATCTAATTTACATTTTTGTTTAGGACGTGTGCAATGGCAAAGGAACCAACGGAGCCTGGGGAGGAAAAGGCAACTTATCGTACTGCGGACCGGACAAAGTGTCAGAGATTCATTCAGCTATTCGCCCACCTGATCAAATCAATTGATCAAACAAAATAATCTTCCCTTTTTCAATAGAATGATGAACATTGTGCTTGCACGAGGTGACAGAACTCAGAACAAGATCCAAAACGCTAGATTTATCGCTACTAAATTCGGATTCACAACCGAGTACATCGTAACTCAATCGTGGAATTGCCAGCAGAAGTACAAGCAATTCGAATTCGATCCCTACCATAACGCGTAAGTACCTTGATCAACCGGATTTGACGAGTTTCTTGATTGAAATGTGATTTTCTTCAATGTTTTCTACAGTCCTTTGCCCTCAGACGCCAATGCGGACTGCGTCATGAACCTCCCGGTTTGCGACTTGACAGACGAGAGTGAGTCCCAAAACGCTATCATATTGAATGCGCTGTCCATATTGTGTCACTGATATGTCCCTTTTGCAGGAATAAACCAAGCGCGACATGGCAACCATCACCACACAACCAAGGCATGCAGAAGCCAGGGTGGTCTGCCTATCTGAGGAATTACTGACAATGCCAAATTTTCCTGTTGGGATGTTCATTTTGTGATTTGGTTTGAGAGATAACCCGAACCCGCATGCTAATATATTCCCTCAGCTTCTGTTGTTTTTATTTTCCTGATTCCTGTTGCTCCTGGTGTGATAATACGAAGTTGAATCATTACTTATTCGCAATTCTCAGGTGAAAGTGGTAAGAAAAAAACACTAAAAAAAGACTGGCAAAAGAAACACACAAGCATCCCAATAGAAGAAAGAATAGGCAAAGAAAACAAACACTCAAAATTCAACTTTTTTTGAATATTGTTACATGTTGTGGTTGGAATATCCTGAATCACTCCCAACAACTTGAGTCCTTGACCAAAATGTAATTACAGTAACTGACCAACCAACTGCGTTTCCAGTTCTCCAATGTTTCATCTTGGATTTTTCCATCTGTAAATTTTTTTCCAGAATGGATAAATCAAAAATAAATTGAGGTCACCTGGCAATATGTGACAGTGTGATACGTAAAAGAGATACCTCCAAACTTAAACAATCTTGAAGCACAATATAATTGTCCACTGGCTCTAGGAAGGACAAATTGACTTTCCACCAGTTCTACACCCTATGATTGATAAATAAGATAGCATGAAAGTTTGAACCAAAAACTGATTAGCATTTCATCAACATGATAGATAAAAGAATCAATATTCAAGCCAATTATCAACCACCTCAAAGAAAAAGAAAAACACAGCCGGTGCATTCTTCACAGAATTTCATCCTGAACTGATAGTGATAAGTATTGGATAGAGATTGTTCGTTCGTACTTGGGTACCTGTTGGTACCTAGGTACCTGTTGAATTTTTTCAAAAAATAGGTACCAAGTACCGCACCAGGCACCTCCCGGTGGGTACCGGCGGTACTTTTGGCGGGTACCGCGGGTACCTCCCCTCTCTTTCTAACCTAGGTTCACTTTCAGATTACCAAGTCACTTTTTTATTATTATTTTTTTCATATTTATTGTAAAATATCAGTCCCAAGTCACTTTTTTTCCATTCTTTCATATTTATTGTGAAATGTTGACAACAAATTGGAAGAATCCTACTGTGTTATTATATTTTCATATTTATTGAAAATATCATTCCCAAGTCACTGTTTTTCCTTTTGTCATATTTGTTGTAAGACATCTTAAACTAATTGGAAGAACCTTACTTCATTATTATTAGGGTAATATAGGGTCTTAGTTAAACGACTCCCAAATATTGGAGTTCCGACTCCCAAATATTTGGGACGTCGCTAAGACCCCTTCCAACTCCCAAATATTTGGGAGTCGTTTAACTAAGACCCTATTATTATTATTTTCATATTTATTGTAAAATATTACTCAAGTCACTTTTTTGGCATTTTTTTCATATTTGTTGTCAAGTATCTACATCTAATGGGAAGAATCCTGCCTTTTTCATATTTATTGTAAAACATCAATCCCAAGTCAATTTTTTCATTTGTTCACATTTAATAATTTATTTTAAAGCTTAAACTGTCTACAAATTATATCTAATTAGATTATTAGAAGAATCTTCATCGTTGTCCAAAACTATCACCTTCCTTTTTAATTTTTGGTTAGACTTCTTGTTATCCTTGAGTCCCTGTTTCCATGTAGCCAAGGTACCTTCTTGGAGTTCTTGGAGTAGAAGGCCACCATCATTTTGGTAGGGAAGTGAGGGGGTACCTGTAGCGGTACCTAGGTACCTGTTCAATTTTTCACAAAAATAGGTACCAAGTACCGCACCTGGCACCTCCCAACGGGTGCGGGGCGGGTGTGAAGGGTACCCCCCAAGTGGTACTAGGTACCTAGCAAAGGGTACCGCGGAACGATCTCTAGTATTGGAAGACTTCCATCAAATCTGGAGCCCTTCCATAATCATATGTTGATTCAGACTCAAAAAGTCTAGATTTTGGCATGGGATTTGAAATCTAGCTTTTGACCCTCTGAATCAATTCTGCCCCCCCCAGATGTGGATGGGAAGTCCTACACTGTCCAATTATTTCCAAATCTGGTTACTGATGCAATTTTTGCTATTTGCCATTCAACTAATGTATGGCATGAGAACCCCCCTAAAACCAAAAGAAAACACAAGGATAGAAGGTCATTTTCACTCCAGTTCCCAAATCACATCACCAAGAAAGTTGTCAGCCTTAGAGATACTCCAGAGTATCCAAAAGACTGCTAAATGAATATTAAGTATTAAAATACTCCACATGTAATATAATATGTAGTAATATTATTTAATAAAACAATATTTCATAAGATTATAAAGGGGGTTGTCCACTGGAAGTATCCCCAAATTCCCACTTCTTCAAGGACTTTGTATATATTCAAACTCTTGAAGGACAAAAGGAATAAAAATATATAAATTTACAGAATAAAATTAATGTATATTAAATTAGGGTTAAATATACATTTAGGGTAACCTTAGAAATTTTATTCTACAAGCATAATCAATTTATTAAAACTTGTAGAAAAGAAATTACCACACTATGTCAAGAGTGTGGCACTTTCTACTAGTAGTATTCTATTTAAGGAGACACATGATGTAATTGGCTATAAATATGCATCATGATGTCATGGGACATAGAATACACAGTATTTGAAATACCTTGAATTATTCCCATTACATCAGGGGAATAATTCTACCATGGTAAACTAAAAGAGAGATTCTAGAATATTCTAAGGAGGGCCTCAAGGGGACCTCTAGAATATTTAAGGAGGCCTTCTCCTGCCTAGGATTGGTTCCTCAGCATATTCACCCCCAACAAACTAAGTGAGTACAGTGAATATTCTCCTCCTACTTTTTAGAGTAGTCTTTTTATCATCCAATCCAACCCTACCTTCTTACTGGAATTATTATTAAGCTGAGAGTTATCCCAGACTCAACACTTAAGTAATTCCTTAAAAAGTAGTTGCTGCAAGACCACCACCTCTGACTGTAGCCTTTCAGCTCAGGTGCTTGCCAGCTACTTCTTGCAATATTAATTATTGCTTCCAAACACTCTACAATAACATATTTTGTTATTGTCTCCTACAGTGCTCTCTTGATTATTCAAGTGTCTTTAACTGAGGAGTGTGGACTTTATAACCTCTTAAGTGGGAAGTTTGGACCACTTAATACTTTGAGGGTGACTAGGAGTAATCTTGGTCTTTAAACTGAGTCCTTCAGCACAGTGATAGTACTTGGCTTTTATATTATTAAGCCAAAGTTTCATACACATAGCTGACAAAAGTACTGTATAATAGATATGCCAATATTGATAGCAAAGGTCACACCTTGGCACCTCATTCCAGTTGCCCAGCACACAATGATGCCATGGGTTCATTTCCAGAAAGTAAGAACTACTTGACTGAGTTGATGAATGGGCAAAGCAGAAGGAACAGCTCAGAAGGCTAATCAGAACTTGTCTGTGAAAGATGTAAGTACAGAATGAAAAGGCATGGGTGACATGGGCATGTAGAGACAGAGAAACTTTGCTGTATTTGTACAACATCTTTCTATGTAGGCCAGAGGAGTGATTGGATTTACATACATTTATACACACACATATATATACTTAAGAAAAAAGAAAGGAAATATGGAGGAATGTTTTGGGGGTGTAGATATAAATGAGCTTGTATGCGCATCGTCGGGGTACGATCAGCCTTATACAAATCTCCGTGTAAGTCGTGCTATGCGAAAGATTTTTCTTCTTCTTTCTTTTCTTTTTGTGTTGTGAATCTGGATCAATCGTCGTCCTCAAAGGGCTATTTTCATACGGGTTGACCAATGTCACCAGTAATCCGGACAAACAGAACCGAAGGGAAAAAAAGGAACAGTCACAATCAAGATTTGTCCAAGAAGAAGAAACAATGATAACCAGACAAGGTTATAGCACAAGGAAGAGAGAATAAAAAAACACTGACGTTGCGAGTATACTCCAGGGATTCCTCGTCGTCGTCTCGCACCTTAGCCTGATGATGTTGAGGAAGGATAGCCGAGGATTGGGCGGAGGGAATCTTAGCGAGGGCCGGGACGGAAGCGTCGGCCTTGGAGCCAGCGAGTCTTTCGCGGTCGTGAGGAGCTGTGTGAAAGAATATATCTGGAGGGTCAAGACCTACTATGTACTTAAGGGAAGGATGTGAAAAAGATAGAAAGGATATGTTCTGACTTGAGGATGGATGAGAATCTTCTACTTGGTATCCTTCCACTACTGCCCGCGGGGTCTCTGAAGATCCATGATGGGACGACATTACAGGCCCGCCGAGTGTTCGTGCCGATGACTGGGTGCTGGGATTGGTACGGTTGGTATTGGCATATCTAGAGGCGTGTGGGAGAGCAGGAGTGATCCTAGAATTCCTACGAAGCACACCACAACAACAGATTATCTCTCAACATTTTTATCTTTGGTAATTCTGAGATAATAATAATAAAAAAGTATCTCTTACTTGGTGGTAGATGGTGCTGAAGGGTTGGGGTGATTGGCAGGATTTGGGGAAACAGGATTCGACGAAGAAGATGGTCGGCCGACGTGTTCATAGCCGCCCTCCAGACTCTCCGCCTGGGAGGGAGGCTGGTTTGGTAATTGGATCTCTTGCATCTTAGCCTTAGCTTTCTCCAACCACATCGACATCGTCTTCTTGCCGGCTACAGGGCAGTCAGAGATTAGTCTTGCATATGTATGCGTAGAGCGAGAAGGGCGACGTACTTTCGGCCAACTTGCCGATCTCCTCAGCAATCTTCTGGATCTCGTCCTTTCCTCCACTGGACAGGCCGGGCTGGCCGCCAATTGGGTCAGCCAAAGCCTGCTCGACTGGTTGGGCAGGCCCAGGTCTGACGAAGCTCCGATTAGGCGGCGTGTTGCGCTTGATTCGTGGCTGGTAGGGCAGGTTTGAGATCTGCTGCTGTTCTTGTGACCCTTGTTGCTGTTGACTCTCTTGTAAGGATAATTGTCGGGCTAGTTCTTCGTCCGATTGGACCAACGATTCCTGATAAATCAAAGGCACTCTTGGTCAGTCTTTCAAGGCAAAAACTAATACGTTGTGCTACTAGACCGGAGCCACCATCTTGTACTTTGACTAAGGTGACGGAATATAACTGACTTGTGCTGAGGGTTTATAGGTGGGGTCACTAATGGCGAGTAGGTCGGATATACAGGCAGAAACGACATTCCCGTGAGCAGCTAAAACGTCTTCAAGGATAGAGGGTTGAATCTGGGGGAAGATGGCCAGAAGCTCTTGAACTTGAGGACTGAATTGATCGGCCTGCTCGTGATCCGATCGGTTTGGATCTTGGGCCAGATTCTGCTCGGTTGTTGTTGATGGACGGTCATTTGGTTTTGTTTGGCTTTCGATTGGCGGCACTTGGGTTTCTTGCTGATGTTGATTCTCTTGCGGCTTTCTTACTTTTTCTTCGGGTAACGGCAGGCTTTCTGTGTCTGGTTCTTCTGGTTGTTGGCTCAGGTCTGGTGCCGGTTCTTTCTCTTTCGCCTCCTCCACTTCTTCCTCTTTCATTTTCGGTAGCTCTTTGCCCTTTACCAATCCTTCCCCCTGCTCCTTCCCTGCGCCTCCCTCTATAACCGCCTCACGTTCGCTCTCTGCTTCAACATTGCGGTCAGCTGGATGATGGTCCTTCGTGCCGGATTGTTCGCCCGCCTCTTTCAGCTGATTATTAGTGAGTCCAGTTCCTTCTGCGTTTTCTATTTCTTGCTGTTTTGCTGGTGATGTTTCTTGAGTTGGCTCGGTCGAGTTCATGTTTTCGGTATTGTGATCGAGGGGGTTATAGTGTTTGGATGTCGGAGTATGTAGAGGGTGGTTGGCAGTGGAGTCTGCTTGCTGAGTCACTATGTATGCACCACTCCAGCGGGGACTTGGAACACCATCCGACCGAGGGTGACCCGGGGGAAACAACATCTAACCATTTATGTACAGCTACAGCTAACACAGGAAAGCTTGCGGTTTCGCGAGCTAGAAAATTACGACCCAAATTTTTTACGACTTCATGCAGGTGCCTGTATACCTTCCAAATCTTCCTATTCTTCGCAACCATTCCCTATATTTCTCTCTCTACTATATCCCATACCATGGCCCCCGATCCCGGCCCCAACACCAGCTGCCCCAACGCCATCCGCCCCAACCACCACCAGCCGTCGTCGCTGCCTCCGATTTTCCAGCTCACAAATTCCAAAGTTTGCATCTCACAATCCGCCTTTGAACTCTGACATTCGGACGATCACAAGCCTTATCGACCCAACTTGATCGCCAGCGTGAGTTTTCCCTGGACATTGTACAATATGAAGTGGAAAGCAGCTGACAGACACCAAACTTGAAGTGCTTGGTAATGGCCGACGCTTCGAATTTCCGCCGATTTCCCCCACTGCCTTTTGAAAATGCGCCCGATGGCTCGCAGGAGTCTTGGTTAGAGCCCTCACTATCAGCCGACCCCAAAGCCGAGGCCTTCCGGTTGTTCCAAGACAACACCTGCACCGAGAGTCAATTCAGGGCCGCCGGAATGGCAGGAAATGCCTCCGAGCGGGCATCTGGCCGAACCTCGGACACCGCGCCTCCAAAAGCCCAACTGCGAGCGATATATCTGGACTACCTTGTCTATTACAGACATGTGGCAAGCCAACTGGGTAAAGCAGGTAAAGCTTCCGGCTCCAAAGAATGGGATCGGGTTGCGCCGCCCTCGAAGTCTGAGACGGTTTGGAAGGTCGACCTCTCTTACTATACGTGGGCCGATTGTCAGCAAGAGATCATCCGGCTGTGCGCCCCAACCCGCAAGCACATCGGTGATCACCTGCGCCGGCTGCAGGAGCAAGGCTTGCTTAAATGGCTTTGTATTCTTCATCGGGACCCCCGATGCGGTCAGAATAAAAACTATTATGTCACCAACGACGCGGACTTTGCGCCATTTGTCCAGGCGGTCGGCAATAACTCGAGCAACAAGGCAATGATCAAGATCCTCATGGACGATCCTAATAAGTCCGCGAAGGACTCCGAGGAGGTAAGCCTTCTCATCGTTATTCATTTGGGTGCCTGGGGCTGACTTGGGTGCCCATCTGCATTTCTACAGGCCAAAAAGGTGGACGACAGTTTGGCCATGAACTACGCAGACGAGGACACTCGTCTGGCGCTTCAGCGCGTTCATACCCGCCTGGCAGTCAATGTGAGTTGGTTTGTTAATATGCTTGCTAGGTCATGTCCAAACGCCTGATGGGCTGGCCCCGTTTGTCTGTCTAGCCCAAATCCGATGTGGGCGCCCAGGAGCGAATGCGTCTGGTAGCTGATATCACCCACCACATCAGAACCAAGTACGGGTGCGACGCAGAGTCCATGCGGGTGCAAGATCCAGAAGATCCGAAGCGATCCATCCGAGTGACAACCGATGCCCTCCGAGCCTGGAGCCGCGCAATGCTCCATGGCGCTAAAGGTGTCGACTTGGATACGCCTCCTAAATGCAAGGAGTGCGTCCCGGAGGATGTCCAGGTGCTTACCGTGGACGAGATGGCTGCGAAACAGGAAGCGCGAATGTCGCGCCACAAGCGAGGGGCTTCTCCTTCCAGATCACCCTCAAAATCCCTCGGAGGGTCTTCGCGCACCTTGTCCCTGGGCCTTGACAGCCAACCGAGCGGGTTAGTATTTACTCCCGTACGTCGCTCAGCCACCGGACGGATCCTACCCCCACGATTGATCCCCGCGGAAGGTTTCCCATCAGGTGATGGCCGTGGGGCTGTGCAGCGCCGTTTGTCACACCAGACAAATAGCCCATCAATCTCGGTTTCCGGCGATACTCCCACCTCACGCGCCAGTGTTGATCTCACTGGTCCGGAGGACGTCGGCCTGGAGGCGGATATGGAGGAGACCTGGCGGACCTGCAGCCCCATTGGGGCTGCTGGCTCGGGACGTGTGAGCAGTTCTAGCACCGACATAGAGGTCGTCCCCGGCAGAGGCGGAGGCATTCTCCGCTCGCCTTCACGCAAGCTCGCGCGCAGCCCGGTGGGGAATGGGATCGAGCACAACTTCAGCAGGCTGGAATTCGAGCGACCTCGTTCGCCATCAACTATGTTGTCGGTTTCCCCAACTCGCAAGCGGCCCGGTTCGCAGTCGTCTTCCTATCCGTCCATGGACCTGACCAACAAACCACCGCTCAACGATTTGGGCCGCGCCCTCACGATCGACGGTTTTCTTGCCCTCTGTAACTTCTCAGAGGACGACCACGTGCCGAGGGTCCTCATCAGCCTCAGCCACATTAGACGATGGGACTTCTTCCTCGACACGACCCTCCATGTACTCCAGCAGATGGGGTTCCCCTACCCAATTGCTACCCAGCTTTTGAAGGGTGCAAAATGGTTGGAGTCAACTCATGTCCAACAACCCTTGGCGCCCACAGGCGAAAACATTCCCAACCTTGTCTTGATCCCACGCGAAGCAGCAACCGGCCCGGCTTTCGGGTCATCTGACGCCATGGTGAGCAACAAACCCAACGAGTCCCACTCAACCCACGAGGCCCACTCTGCGAATGACAACCCTGACAATCAGCCAGTGGCAGGACCCTCTCGCGAGGTTGGACCCCTAGACTCTCAGCCCAACCCCAACGAACCGATCGATCACGAGGAGGATGCAGATGGTGAAGATGATGATGTGGAGGAGGGGTTCCCTGGTCAAGAATACCAACCCTCCCCAGTTTATTGATACTCTCATATCATTTCTCATTTTGATTACCTCAATTGTCCAAGTTTTCTCTATTCCTAATATCTTTTTCTATTTCCTATTGTCTGACCGTTATTATTCTTGCATTCGCACATGATGTAGTTCCTGTTTTTTTTTTCAAACTAGTACTAGCTCGATCTTGCGTTGTACTCGTTTGCGGTTCCATTCTTTTTTTCAGGAATCAAGTCATGTGTGAAAACCATAACTAAACCGCCACTAGTGTCCCACCCGAGTGTCCCACCCGGCTGAGGGACACCTCATGCGAAATAATAATCACGGTGATTCATAGGCCTGACTCACCAGAGTGGTGATCATCCTATGCTTGAACGGGAGAAACTGACGACAAGACACATTGAAAGTCTCGCGGCCGGTTCTCAAAGGGATCACATGCTCATGTGGCATCGCATGAGGATTATGAACAGTCTCGCAGCCGGTTCTCAAAGGGATCACATCGCCATGTGGAATTGCATGAGGATATTGATAGTACTGGCATTGTATTCAAAACTAGTAGACCAAGACTTGGAGACATTAAACTAAGACGCAGACAAACAACCAGGCAGATCAGATAATGAGAAGCAGACAGGGACATGGGGACATGGCATGGTGGGGCAAACTAGCAAACTAAGTGGGGGCACAGTCGGAAAGCAAACCAAGAAAACATGGGGACTAGCAAACTAATTGGGGGCACAGTCTGAGAGCAAACCAAGAAAAAATGGGGGCAGAGTCACAATTCCGGGGATCGACAGCCGACAAGGTCGATCGTAAGGCAATGAGGGGATCACCGGCTGTAGGGCATTGATATGCAATATCAAGCTCTATAGCCGCAACCTCTGAATAGGGCCCTCACCAATTCGGGGGTGACAAAGGTAGGCAAGAAATCCTTGATGATCTCGGCATCCGCCAGGGTACCGGTTAAAATTTCGGCACGTTTCAACTTCGACTTGAGGACCGAGAAAACTTTCTCGATGGGATTGAGGTCGGGCGAGTATGGGGGGAGATAGAACAATAACACATCGGCCGCGTCACAAATCTCGGCGATCCGACCGCCGTGGTGAATAGGCGCATTGTCCATGACAATGATGCTGTTTGGACCTGGGAACGGGTTCATGACCGGTATCTACAAGCACCCCAAGCCAGATTAGCTCATATCAATTGAATCCAAATCAACCATGTTACAGAGTAGAAACTCACCAAGACCTCCTCGATAAAATACTCCATGTCCAGGCGGCACATTGTGCCCTCCTGGGCAATACTTGCAAGGAGCCCGTCGCAAGAGACCGCCGGCAATACGGAGATTCGGCTGGATCTCAACGGTCTTGGCAACCGTTGAGTACGACGCCCGCGGGGCGCCCACGCTCGGTCTCGGGAGTGGGTGCCAAGTGACACACCACACTCGTCTGCGGCCCAAGGTCAGCAGGAGGCAACCTATCGCTGATGTATGGACAGTGAAACTTACCAAGAAAGACGAGGTAGCTGGCGTCAAAGCCTCCAATCTCATCGACGTAGCCAGCGCGAGCCATCTCACTTTGAGCCGGATTAACCGTCCTCGCGACCTTCTTGGTCATATCTAGCCGGAACTTCAACTCGGCTAAAATGGTGCTTGCCGGGTGGAGAGTCCCCGTCATTGCCTGAATGTGGCTCTGGATCTCATCCACGTACAGGGTCGGTTTGGCCTCCAATGCGTTCAAAACAAACTCGGCCTCTTCTCGGGTGAAAGCCAAGGGACGACCTCGGTCAAGATACAAGCTGGGATCCCGGACCACATCCGCCGTTTGTCGGTAGAGCCGGATCCATCTGATTAGAGAATCGGGTGATACGGTGTACCCAATTGTATCATTGATGGCATTGAGAGACTTCCCATCCTGGCTCATCTTTACGACGATCGCTTTGACATCGCGAGCATATTTCACAAAAACCATGACCGCTGCAAAGAAACACAGCATGAGTGAGACAATTGATGGCGAGGATAGAAGCAGATGAGACAGACCAATTGAAGGAGAGTTGATCTCAGGAACAGAATGAATGGCCGAGGGAAAAGCAGCTGGAAAATTTGCAATGTAGGGATATTGGTGGATGATGGCTGGTGGGGGCTGGAGGTGGTTGGGGCGGCGGGCGTTGGGGCAGCTGGTGTTGGGGCCGGGATCGGGGGCCATGGTATGGGATATAGTAGAGAGAGAAATATAGGGAATGGTTGCGAAGAATAGGAAGATTTGGAAGGTATACAGGCACCTGCATGAAGTCGTAAAAAATTTGGGTCGTAATTTTCTAGCTCGCGAAACCGCAAGCTTTCCTGTGTTAGCTGTATTTCGGAAAGGGTTGTCCACTTGGACTCGCGAAATCTTTTTTATTTTTTTATTTTTTATTTTTTTTTATTTTTTTACTGAACTGGACCTGTCAGAACTGAACTAGCGATGACAGCTGTACCTCCTCGGCTGTAGTTCAGTACAAAGAAAAATTTAAAAATTTTCAAAAAAAAAAAAAAATTGCAAGAGACAACTGGACAACCCTTTCCGAAATAGCTGTATGTAAATACATTTCTTGCGGAATTCTCTGATGTTTTATTTCTTCCTGTTAACTTCAAACTACAACAGGGTAAAATTATCCTTTCACTTAGGTCATCCCTGAACCAGATAAATTTCTTATAGATTTGCACTCTCAGCCAATAGGATCATGGGCCACATTATGTAAACATTGACTACTCTAGATGGGTAAAATAAAAATGATATGACATCCAGACAAAGTTGCACTACCAAATATCGTAAACCAAAAGAAATTGTGCAGGTTTCTTCTTTCAGTGATTGAGAAGTCATGAAAACAGAATTAGGAAATGAAAATCTGATATCAGGTGATCCTACTGATTCCAAACAGATAACTATGTAAACCAGGTTTGAAGAGCATGAAATCAATCACTAATCCATTTATTCATAAACAATTGAATAATTCTATATAAGAAAATACTTGAACATCAAAAATTCAAATTGGGAGCACCTGTGAAAAGATTCAAAGATTTGGCTTCCAAATCTTGAAGCACACGTTGATGACTTGTAAAAAGACTCTCTATATACAACTGATTTGATAACCAATTTGACAGTTCATTTTCTGCATTCATAGAATCTGTGAAAGTGTCTGAAAATTCTTCATACATTTTGATTATTCTATGGTGGTAGATCTCATAGGTGGATCTGACTCCTATCGGATTCAACTTGCATTCTCCTGGGGACCTCTTGATAAATGCATAAAATAAGATTGCTGATTCCTTTGTTTGTTTGATACTTGAGAACAATAAGAAGAGCTTGAATTTTGATTCAAAGATTTCAGGAGATTTAACCAAGGTTCTTGAGTGGTATTTCATCATCCCCAAAAGTACTTCATGGTCAATGAAATGCAAAAATTGACAACTAAGTGAAATAAAATGTAAATTGTCAAAGCTGATATGGTTCCTGTTTGTAAGATTATAGAGTGTTTTGATTAGGGCTTCCAAACACAGTATATCTATGTATTTATTTCCCACAGAATAAAATCCAGCTGTAAAAGATTCAAGATTCCTTGGCTTTCCTAGTTTGTCATTTTCAAAAAGAACTTTCAAAAATTCATCAATTGAGAAGTATTTCAAAAAGATTTTCCACTCATGATCAGGTTTTTCATTTTTGAAAATTTTCTTTCCTTCACAAATTAAACTTTTGGCCAAGACGTAAAAATTGATTATTAATGCCTGCTTGGGGCTGAGAGCTACATTATAAATCAGAAACAAAAAAAAGTATGAATCAGCATTAAATTTTTGCCTTTCAGAAACAGATACAAAAAAATATCAATTGAAAAATTATGATGAGGAGCTTACCTTTCAAGGACTTATTGAAAACTGGCAAGTACCAACATTCAGTAATACCAGTTTTCCATCCGGTAATCCTATAACCTTTCCTTAACCAAATGTTGAAATCAATGTAGGAAGATAGTTGTTCCAATGATTCCTTGTCATTGAGATTGAAGTATCTCTGCACAGTGTCTTCATTGATGGATCCATGTTTGTACAATAAATCAATTGCTGTGTAAAAATACTCTCTGAATGGTTCAAATTCTGGAGATATTGATAAATCTCTTGGTGATTGTGGGAGTAATTTCAAAGCTTTGAATTGATTTTTCATGCTGCATAATTCTTCTAGAATCAAGTGCCCAATTTTTTTGAATTCTTTATTCAACTTTTCTTCAAGAAGTTCATGTGATATTCTTTGAAGTGAGGCTTTTTTCTGGTTGAATTCAGCTTCTGATAATAGTGCTTCCGTCAGTTTGATCTTGAGATAGGATTTCATTAGTTCCAAAAATCTCAATTGAATCACTTTTGAAAGTTTCTTATTCAAATTCTTGCAATTTGTGATCAAATCTGTGCAGATTCTCAAATGCTATCCTTCCACTCCCATCTTGACTTCTTGCAATTTTTCCAAGATATCATTTTCCAAGTATGAAAGACAAAGTGAATCATACTTAAAGGAATCAAATCTTTCTATAAACAGGAAAAACTCACTTCAGCCATTTGTTTAGGATTGGCAGAATATTAGAAGACATACCAGGAATTCTTTTCCAAGTTCCGAAGATATCTGATTCTAGAAATTCAATCATCATTACTATTTTGATATTACCCATTTTCAACACATGAAATTTGTGAGAATAAATTTGGATGACTGACGCAATTGATTATCCAAAGAATGCCAATGCGGTAAAGCATTATCTAGGATAGTAAAGAGTTTCTTTAAACTATCCCTCTCCTCATTAGTATGAGCTGCTGTAATTTTATCTCCAAGAAAAGTTGAAGGTTCCAATTCCAAAGAATTTGATGGACCTATTTCCACAGAGTCTGTTGAGATTTTTTCCAAATTCTGTGATGGTCTTGTTTCCATCAGAGAATATGGTGATGTTGTTTCCAAAGAATGTGATGTTGTGGTATCAGGACTTCTATGCACATTATGAACAGGCACACACTCTTTGAAAAATGATTTGACAGCTTGGAGATTTTCAATATGCAGGAGAAAATCAGATGGAAAATAGGAATCAATCATGTGCCATGGGTTTTCATATGGAAAAAAATATTCACCTTTGAAGAATGTACCACCATCTTCCCTTGTTTTGATTTTACTTTGAATAGATGGGGTCTCCAAAGAGCCACAAGCAGCTGAAATGAAGCAAATACCAAGAATCAAAATTTCAAATGTTGAGCTATCATGTTCACTATTAAGATATAATCAAAGAATCTCTGGGGGTTCAGAGCAAGTTGTTTTTGGTTTTAAAGAGAGCTCCTGAACCAGACCATTCAGATATTCACCTCCCAAACACACCCATTATCAAATACAGTGTGAGATACATGAGCTCTCACTTTCTCCACATCTATATGGCTAAAGGTCCCAGAATTAGTATGGGGTGATAGTGATATGTAGCAAATCTATATGGCTAAATGTCTCATAATTAGTACAGGGTGATAGTGATATGTAGCATATCTATAAATTATATCTTAAGTTTAGGATTAAAATTCAACATCTTTCAGTAAAAACAATTTATCTCAGGATTAGAAAATCCTTTCAGTGAGAGCCTCAGAATACCAGCCAGATAAGGTTGATTCTCTTGTCCTTATTCTACTTTTTACTCCATTAGATTTGGATCTTCTGTTCCTATTGCTTCATGTTTTTGCTGGTGTAACTTGCATTTCCTGTTGTTTCTCTTTCTATAAATACCACAAGAGCTTTGTTACACAAAGCAGGAGGCCAAGAAAAAGGGGAGTGGGGTTGGCTCTGCTCTGCTACGCTTTTAAAAGCAGAGTGGCTGCTACACTTTTTGCTCCATAAATTGTGGTAAAAAATATTATATTTTAGCAAGCTTTTTCCATACATGTTGCAACGGTGGGCCGCTACACTAACCGTAGCGGTTAGTGTAGCGTAACGAAGCAGAATTCCCGTTAGCGTTAAGCGTAGCGTAGCGGAATTCCGCCATGACACCGCTAACGCTACGCGTGTGGGCCGCAAAAAAGGGCCCACTACTCTGCGCTACAGCGGTTTTTAGCGGGTTTTAGCCGCTTTTTCTGCTAAAAGCACTGTAGCGCAGCGTAGCATAGCGAAAATGCGCTACAAAAGCGCTAACACTACGAATTTTTGGCGCAAAAAAAGCGCCGCTACGCTACGCTTTTTGGGACAAAAGTGTAGCGTAGCGTAGCGGCCCACCGCTGCATGTTGTTAAAAACATCAGATTTTCACAAGCTTTTATGTAAGTAGAATCACTTACATTGTAATAATTGTTCTTTTCCCATAGAAATCAATCAAAAGCAGGTGTAATGCTCCTAGTGTTCAATTTTGTGTTACTTATTGTGTTTCTCAAAAGCCTTGGACCAATCTCCCTTTTTTATTAAAAAATATTCATTTATGTCCAAATTAAGTGGCTTTTGGGTGGCACACGTTTTCAAGAGGCCAGCCATGTGAGTTCCACCTCATGATATGTACAGTGCCTAGACAGTGAAAAGTGGCTGCTTATTTTGGATTCCAGAGCTCCAAAACACAAATTTGAAATCATGAGACTTGGTCAGCTGGTGCATAATAGGTCCCAAAAAATGAATATGAAATAATAAAAGCAAAAAATAAAGTTTCAAAATTTGTGAAAAATAAAAAATAAAATTGATTTTTTTCAAAAGCTTTGATATTCATTTTGGGGGAGTGGGAGTGCTGAGAGAACAAAAGATTGGGAAATGAGAAGAATGATTATAAATGAAAATTTTGGAAAAACTGGTTTTCAGATGGCTTCAAACAGCTGTTGAGTGGAGCATTCACCAGCCCACATTGCAGCAAAGCACTAGAATTTACTGTTTTGGCTCCAATCTGGACCACCAACCTGGCTAAACCTTTTTTGGTTCCAATTTTTTTTCATTTATAATCATTCTTCCCATGTTCCATTCTTTCTTTCTCTCAGCACTCTCACTCCCCCAAAATGAAAATCAAAGCTTTTGAAAAAAATCAAGTTTATTTTTTATTTTTCATGAATTTCAAACTTTATTTTTTGCTTTTATTATTTCATATTCATTTTTTGGGACCTATTATGCACCACCTGACCCAGTCTCATGACTTCAAGTTTGTATTTCAGATCTCTGGAATCCAAAATAAGCAGCCACTTTTCACTGTCT